TAGCATTGAATAATTCTATCTCAACATCCTTCAGACAAGATACCACAACTCTAATGACACCTCAGTCAAAAAATGTTCCTGGTCAATGAACTGATTATCACAAGAACACCATCCAGAAAGAGACAAGAGTGAGAAGAATGCCAGCCGCCTTCCTCTTCATTAAGTTGGGCACCTCAGGTGGTCTCTTCAGACAGCTCATCCCAATTCCCACTTCCTCTTAGTCTCTTCTTTTTAGCCCTTACCCCTCTCTGCCTCCTAACCCCTCCATCCTTGTGTGTCTGTGGCTCCCCTCACCCTGACTCACTTCCTGCTTCTGTGCTCATCTTTCTGAGTCACCTTTGCTGATCCCTTTACTAACCCTACACATTTAGGCTTCTCCATGAATTCTACCCTTCAACCACCACCCCCAACCATCTCTTTGATTTCCCCATATATTTAAAAAAAATCTGAATCGTGGCAGAACACACATAACCAGAATTACCATCTTCCTGGGGTTTTTTTAAGATTTTATTTATTTATTTGACAGAGAGAGACACAGCAGGAGAGGGAACACAAGCAGGGGGAGTGGGGGAGGGAGAAGTAGGCTTCCCGCAGAGCAGGGAGCCCGATGCAGGGCTCGAACCCAGGACCCTGGGATCATGACCTGAGCCGAAGGCAGACGCCCAACGACTGAGCCACCCAGGCGCCCCATCTTCACTGTTTTTAAGTGTCCAGTTCAGGAGTATTAAGTAAATCCACAGTGTTGTGCAGTGGATCTCCAAAACTCTTTTCATCTTGGGGAACTGAAACTCTGTCGCCATTGAACACGTCCCCATTTCCCCTCCCCCCGGCCCCTGGCAACCACTGTTGTGCTTTCTGTTTCTGTGAGTTTGATTACTTTACTACCTCTTGTAAGTAGAATCATATAATATTTCTCTTTTGGTAAACTGCCTTATTTCAGTTAGCATGATGTCCTCAAGGTTCATCCATGTTGTAGCACATGTCAGAATTTCCTTCCTCTTGGAGGCTGAATAATACTCCACTGTATGTATACACCCCTTTTTGTTTATCCATCCATCTGTGGACAGACACTTGAGTCGCTTCTACCTTTGTCATTTGTGAATAATGCTACGGGGAGCATGTGTGCAGATATCTCTGTGAGATTCTGCTTGCAGTCTCTTGGGCATACCCCCAGAGTGGAATTGCCGGGTCATACGGTAATTCTGTTTTTAGTTTTTGAGGTAAGTGCCCTACTGTTTTACACAAATGTGCAGGGGTTCCAGTTTTCTACATCCTGGGCAACACTTGTTCCTTTGTTGTTGTTGTTAGTAGCCATCTTAATGGCTGTGAGTTGGTTCTCACTGTGGTTTTGAGTTGCATTTCCCTAATGATTGGTGACGTGCAGCACCTTTTCCTATGCCTGCTGGCCATTGGTAGATCTTCTCTGCGTAAATGTCTACTCAAATCCTTTGCTTATATTTAAAATCAGGTTGCTGTTGTTGAGTTGCTTCAGCTCCTTCTGTGGAGGGGGGTCTCCCCCTTCCCGTGGCCATAGCTGCCTCCTCTCTCTGGTCTGTGCACCTGCCCTTTATCCCGAGCCCTACGATGCGCTGCTGTCACCCTCACCACCCAGACTGCAGACTTCGGGCTCCTCTCTGACTTCCTGTGTCTTATTTCTCATGTGCAGGTGGTTGTCAGTTCTGTCTCCACCAGCCTGGCCTGATCCGTCCTCTCCCTTGTGCTGTCAGAACCACCGCCCCAGTTCCAGGGTGCCCCGGGTAATCTCACGCCAGTACATTTGGGTGTTGACTCATCTCTGATCTCGGGTGAAATCTCGGGGTGAGGTAGCGTGGGTGAAGGGTGGTGTAGAGCTTGAAAGAACATACTTAATAATATTTTATATTTGGAAAACAAAAAAGAAACTTTTTTATATGACACAGAATATAGTTCATAACATTCATTCTTGACTGTGGCTGGGGGGCGGTGGGGGTGGGCTGTGCACACAGCAGATTATCTTTTAGGAACAGCGATTTACAGTATTGATATTGATCAGAATGATGAAATATATGTGGAGCATTTAAACTATGCCAGGCACCAAGTATTTTATTCATAATATCTTGTTCAATCTCATGACAACCTTATGAGGTGGTTGGTATTATCCAGAAATGGAAGCTGAAGCCTGGAGAGGCCCCAGGTCACCCATCTAGGAAGTGGTAGATGTGGTATTTCAGCTCTGGAAATCTGGCTCTAGAACTTTCTGTATTGTTAGAGGAAGCACAAGGCTTTTCTATTTTCCAAAAAAAGGGGCACGTGTTAAGTGGAACGGAGAAAACCTGGACTCAGGAACCCAGGCTTCTCATCTCCTCACTGCCCGGCCCCCACCCTCCCCCCCCGCCATCTTGCCAGCCAGAGTTCTCTCTCTGTCCTTTTTGGGCATTGTGGCCTGTGAGCGATTCCTGAGGTGGGTCCAGACACAATCTCCCCTCTCTTACTTGCATGTGCTATCACTCTGGAGCACCCTCCTCCTACTGTTGCCTCATTTTTTTTTTTTTTTTTAAGATTTATTTATTTATTTTAGAGAGCACGACTCTGTACTGAGCACAGAGCCCGACTCAGGGCTCGGTCTCATGACCCTGAGATCACAGCCTGAGCTGAAACCAAGAGTCGGACACCCAACCAGCCAAGCCACTCAGGCGCCCCCGCCTCAGTGGTATTTCTCCAAGGAGGCCTGATCCCTCATCCAAGCTGGACTCACTCTCCAGTTCCCCCTCCTTGTGCTTACCACGGGGCTCAGAGTGAAGGGAAAGCACCACGACCTCCCCCCAGAGTGTGCAGGCATGTTCATGGCCTTCCCAGCTAGACTGTAGGCAATCTGAGGTAAGACCTGCTTACTGACACCGAAACCCTTCGGTCTCCCTCTGTGCCAAGCACAGAGTGCGGTGGGAAAACGGTAAGTTACTGATATTTCCCAAATGGAGGCTCAGGTCATCATAAAATCCAGAGCTGTGGTTTTGGCTCTTAATTTTTGTGGATCCACCAGAGTTCCCATCTTCAGAACAGACCCGGGCGTTGATCTTTGGATCAGAGGCCCTGGCTCCCCTCTTCTCACTGGACCTTGATGCTGTTCTCTTTTCAGGGCTTTGCTTTTCCTGCTGCCCACAGCAGTTTTGTTAAGCAAACAGGAAGCTGCTCCAGGGAACTTACAGCCCGTGCTAAAGTGAGCAGTGGCTGGGAGAGGAATAAGGGAGCTGGACTGTGTCTGCAGGGGAGTGAGGCCCAGAGACACTGGCTCGCTGGGCCTCCACAGAGGCTGGTTCCCTGTGTGTTTGTGGGGAAGGCTCTGGAGGGGCAAAGGCAGGGGCGGGTGGGGGTGCATCTGTTCCTCAGTTGCCCCCGAGTTGGACAACAGCGACGGGAGAGGCAGTGGGAAAAGGCAAAAGTCACTTCGGTCATGGAGTCAGAAGAAAAAGTCAAGTCCTCTTTCTTTCTTCTTCCAGAGGCTAAGTGCTGTGGAAGAGGCTTTCCTCCCTCTTTGAAGGAGAGTTCCTTTCTTTTAAATTGCCCAGGATGCCTCCCTCTGGCTTTCTGTCGAGCTCCTCCTGCCCCACCCGACTTCGGATCCCACGACAGGCCTGTGTGACACCCCAGCCCCAGGCTGCTCACTTCCCTTGCTCCCGCGTCCTGCAGCCATCTGCACAGGGTCTGGGGGGCCCTCGGCACTACAGGAAGCCCTGAACGTATCCGACTCCCTCAGCCTTGGCTCTCCGTTTATTGGTTTTTCTGGGTCCTCTCCTTGCCCATAAGGCCTGGGGAGAAAACTTCCCTCGTGGGTAGAGATTGACCCCTGATGGTGACCCACAGCTTAGAGCCATTTGGGATCATAGACCCCGGCACTCAGAATGCACAAGGCCTCATTTGTTGTCAAGAAGCATCTGGCAGGTAGGCATTTGACCCAGTTTTAGGCATGTTTGCCCCCTGGCCACCCTTAGGGCCCCGTGGAGCTCTTGAGTGAGGAGAGGAGCCAGCTTTGTGCTTTGGGGACCCGGGTAGCCACAGGGTCCTCTGACTGTGACAGAGTTCCATTTTGAGAAAGCCTTCTAAATTTCTTTAAGAAAAACTTGAGGGGCACTTGGGTGGCTCTGTCTGTTAAGCATCTGCCTTTCGCTCAGGTCATGATCCCAGGGTTCTGGGATCGAGCCCCATGTCAGGCTCTTTGCTCAGCGGGGAGTCTGCTTCTCCCTCTGCCTGCCACTCCCCCTGCTTCTGTTCTCTCTCTCACGCTCTCTCTCTCTCTGTCAAATAAATAAAATCTTTTTAAAAAAAGAAAAACTTGAAATAGTCTGCTATATTTTTCTTCTTCATATTTCAGATTCTTTTGACACACATAAATGGTTTTCCTCCCATTTTCTCAGAATGCCCTAACCTAAACTCATCATTTTTGATTATCTGCTATCTGGGGGAACGTAGACAGGTCTCTAGTTGATTTGTAATGTAGGGTTCAGAGGGAGAAGTGGGCTGATAGTCTTATTATTACAGTTAATTGTGTGACTAATGAAGGTAGGCGTTATCAAATGTCACAGGTAATGGAATAGTTTCTATGATGTGGGAAAACCTTTCTGGTTTCACATACAGGACCGAGGAGAATAGCAGGGACAGTGCCAATGCTGCTGTATGTTTGCAAAATCTACACACATTCTTACGTACAGATGGATAAAAAGGAGGGACCAAAGATCTCTCACTCTGAACTGCAGTGTTTCTTCTTCCTGTTTGTAAATAGGGGGGTGTTCCCCCGTGAGTCTCTGTTGTGCTTGGATGGGTTTGAAGATTTGGGTAGGGAGAGCACTTTTCAGAATTCCTTCTTAGACCTGAAAACCCAAGGCCCTGCCTTCCTGTAAATGCCCCCAGAGGAGGGGCTGTTTTCAGAGCCTTTCATGTAGGGCTTTGACCTTTCACAAGGGAACTCGAGGCATGGGGTCACCAGATCTGCATCCAGAGTCCCTGCTTCTGCACCCCCCTTCCAGGTGCCAGCAGACGTTGAGAAGTGTCAGGATCGGATGGAGTGTTTCAACGCCGATCTGAAAGCCGACATGGAGAGATGGCAGAACAACAAGAGGCAGGACTTCCGGCAGCTGCTCATGGGAATGGCCGACAAGAACATCCAGTATTATGAGAAGGTAAGGGGCGCGCCGGCAAGACCCCGGCCCTCTCGCGGAGGAAGCACGAGGAATGGCCAGAGCCTTTTGCGAGGGCCAGCCAGAAACGCAGAAGCAGAGGGCCCGCCAGCCCCACCTGCTTCCCTTATTTTGTGCGTCTGGTCTGGCGGCCCCTGCGTGGTCCTTGCCCCGCTGTGCGAGATGGGGGCGCAGACTTTGGAAGCAGAGCCCCTCCCGCTCCCGGTGCCCACAGGGCTCTCCTGGTACACGCGGCTCGTGGAAGCAGCACTTTTCTCGCCCGTGCCCCTTGGGGCTGGCGGACAGCTGCTTCCCAGAGTCCGAGGGCCTGCCGTGTGGGCGTGTTCAGTTAAAGGGGGCTTTGAGGTGACCCCAGGCCGCTGTGTGGTTCTGCCTGCGGGGGTTCCTCACTCTTATAGTGCCGTAGATGCCGCCGAATCCTTACCAAAATACTGTCCGGTTGTTTTTAAGACTTCAAAATACTGTTTGTAAATAGCCCCCCCAAAAAGTATGTAGGATTACAAAGGAAAACTATTAAAAACGTGGTTCCCCCCCCCCATGAATCCCCTTGATTTGTGGAGTTTGCACCCTTCTCTCTCTCTCTCTCTCTCTCTCTCTCTCTCTCTCACACACACACACACACACACACACACGCACACAGACCCACTTAGGGCGCTCATCAAGCTCCAGCAAAGTCTCTCACTCAGGGTTTGCTCTTGGCATTGCTAAACCCAGATCGTTTCTGCTGCTGAGAAACCCTGATATTCCTTGGAAGCTTAAAGTTAGAGATGAAGCATGGCCCAGTCACAATTCCACAAGTACCTGTAGACGTGAAACCAAGTGGGACAAGCATTAACTCGGCTGTTCCCACTGCAGTTCTAGAAACACGTCCTCATCCCAGACTAGAAGAATCCATATCTTCTGAAGGCTTCTGCTGTTCGGAGGCAGCGTGCCTGCATCTTTCTTTGGAGGAGGGCTGAGGAGAACAGTCACAGATTAGCCCTTACTGGCCAGGCCTTCGGGAGGGCTGATTGAGAGGGAGAGAGGAAGGTGCCGTCCTCCTTCCCCCAGGACCGTTTTTATAGAGCCCCTGCCGTGGCTGCCGGCACAGAGATGGACGCTGCGCATATGTCACCTCCTTAAATTTAACCCCCAACGTAACAACATGAAGTAGGTTTTATGGTTCTCCACGTGAAGCTGAAAAAACAGAGGCGCAGTAAGGTTTTAAGACTGCCCAAGGTTACACAGCTTGAGTGACTGAACTAGGGTCAGACTCGGTTCTGCTGCGGCCACTCATGCACACTGTCGCTGTGGTGGGCAGGGGACGTGCATCTCTGGGGCCAGTTCTGACTGCGCAAAGATAGAAAGGTCACTCCGTGTGAACTGGCTGTGCCTTAGGCAGGGTGCCTCTCTGTGTCTGCCTCTTCCCCTGTAAAATGGGACTGATCCTTCTTCATTGAGGATTGTGAAGACAGTCAAACGATGCATCTCCGAGTCCCTAGAACATACCTGGCACATGGTAGACCCTCAGGGAGTGGTACTACCTTCCCTGATCCCCTCCCCACACCTCTGCTGTCCGACAGCCCTCCTGCTACACGGAAGCCGACCTGATCGGATGTGTCCATCACGCCTCCTCGTGATTAGTGCCAGCACTCCCGAGGCCCCGGCCCCAGGACTCAAACCCAGGGCTTGTATCTTCCCAGATACCGCAAGTAGGGGCGCTGTCGTGGGGGCCTCCTCTTGGCTGCCACACACATTTAACATGGCCTGCTGTGTCCCTGCCGTGCACCAGGGACTGGGGATAGGTTGCTAAATGAAACAGCAGGACCCCTGCCATCAAGGAGCCCTCTGTGCAGTGGAAGATACGCATTAATCCAGAAATCCTGTCACTTCAGAGTAAGCTACGTGCTCTACAGGGAAAGCACAGGAAACCTTGGAAGAAAATACTGGGTGCACAGTTCAGATCAGGGATGGAAGGAGGGAAGTGGAGTGGGCAGGAGAGGCTGATCTGAGGAAATAACATTTAACCTGGGTCTCAGAGACAAAGACTTGGAGAACAGGGAACAACATATGCAAGGGCCCTGAGATGGGAAGAAGTTTGAGCATTTGAAGACTGGAAAGAAATCTGGTGTGGCCTTGGTTCCCTATTGCTGACAGAGAAGGACCTTTCTAGATCTGAGATGATGGCCTAGGGAGAGAGCAGGGCCCAGGTGCCATGGACCCTGCATGGGGTCTCTCACTGCAAGCAAGTTCCTGAAAGCTCCCCAGCCTTCCTTATGGAGGGCAGGGTCCTAGTCTAGTTTCTTCTCTGACTTCAGAGTCACTAAGGAAGGAAGCATGGAGCAATTTCGCCACCCTGCTCCCCAGCTTGACCGAAGAATGCCTCTCTCCTCCTATCTGCTCAGAGCTCCTCCCCAGATGACTCAGCACAAAGTCCTGCTTCAGCCCGAGCTGCTTCTAAGGAAGGCCTTGTGTGGTTCTTCTGGCCTGCCCTTCATGCAAGAGATGGCTCAAAGGGAGGATCCTTTCGCTAAGTAGGGTGCTCCTACAGTCTTTAAGTTCAGTGCATACGGACACTGGCCCTTCACAAGGATCTGGAATGAAAGGGGATTGGTGTAGTGGAAAGATTTGGCCACTTACTAGCTACATGTCTTAGGCAAGTTATATAACCTCTCTGGGTCTCATTTTCTCCATCTATGAAGTGTGTGTGTGTGTAATAAGTAATAATTCTACTTCATAGAATTGTGAGGACTAGCAATAGTGAATGTAAAATACATCGTGTTTGGACCCAGTGAAACTCAATAAATAGAGTCCCCCCCTCCATTTTCCCTTTTGGGAGATCCAAGAGTGGCCCATACAACCAAAGCTGAGGTCAGTAAAGAAGAGCGGGGTTTCAGAGCCCCCTCTTGAGTCAGGTGGCTGGGCCATGCCAATATGATTTGCATCCTCAGCAAGTCCTACCCACCACCTGGAGCAATGTCTTCAACCTGGCTGAGGACGTCGGGCCCCATGGAAGGCTTGCAGCCTCTTACCTTTTCTGCTTTTTGAAGGAAAAGAATGTCTTCCAGTGAGTACCTTTCCACTCACCAGCTATGAGCTCCAGGGACAGTGCATGTAGGCCTTGCCGAGACCCTGCTGTCTTTGGTAGAGATGGGGGTGATGTATTCAAACACCTGTCACCTTCCTAGTTTCTAATAACAATGGATAATAATGTGTAGATGTTGGACGTGACATGCATACATTACTTAGCCAGTACATAAGACGGAGAGATTAACAGTGAGAGGCTAGATCAGAGGAGAACAAAGAGCCTGATCCTGAAATCTGATATTGATACTGTGCGTGTGTGTGCGTTGTCATTTCAGTGCCTCATGGCGTGGGAGTCGATCATTCCACTACTGCAGGAGAAACAAGAGGCCAAGTAAGTCCCCTCCTGGGACAGAGACTCTCCTGCCTACACAGGGCATGGTGTACTGGAACGCCCCTGTCGTGCAGAGAGACGGCACTGAGAAGCATCTCTCCTTTGTGTATTTCTTTCCCTGCCCGCCCCTCACCCCCTTCGTCTGCCCGCCGGTGGTTTTCCATTAGTTTCTATTCCTTAGTGGAGTCCGCAAGGCTATCATCATCTCTCCACGAAACAGCATTCCTCCGTGGCGCGAAGGAACCTACGAAATGGAACACTAAGAAGATTTGCAGCCGAGGGACGAGACGACCCAGCTGACATTCTGACATCGCATTATGGTTTCCTGTTTGCGGGGACCGCAGAGTTGCCTGTGGTGGAAGAGAGCCCGGGTTTTGCTTTTCAAGGACACGAGGAAGGCACGGACGGGAGGCAGCCCCTGTTGTCCGTGGACACGTGGTGACTGCGGAACGGACCCCCGTGGGGCAGTGACTTGTCTCGGCCTAGAAGGAGGTGTCGGTACCTCCGTGGAAAGCCCTTAACTAACGTACGGTGGCCTGCAGCTGTGTGTGCGGCCCGCCGCCTGCTTGTGATGAGCGACAGCTGTCTTGTTGCTTCTGGTTCATTCAGGACCGTTTATTTCAGTGTCTGTATGCATCTGTGCTAGAGCGAGCGAGCCAGTGTCCTTGTCCTCACGCGATACCTCGGGAAGCCGAGGGGGGCAGTGCTCCCCAAACTTGTTTCTGACACTAGAATGCAGCAGACTGGAAACTTGTAAAATGGGGGGGAAAAAGGTGCATTTTTCTCTGTGAAGTTCTTCGATGTTCTCTTTTGCCTTGTGAAGTGCCGTCAGAGTAGAGATTAGTCCTGTTGTGGGGAATCCGTGTTGTCTGGAAGTCAGAGTAGCTCCCCAGTTGCTGGGCTCGGTGGGCACACACCAGGCCCCATCCCCACGCCTGCCCTGGGCAGTTTGCCTTTACCTCACCCGAAATTCCTCATTTAATGTTTTCCTGCCGTGTCCACTGAATGTTTGGGCAAACTTTTGGTGAGAGGCTGTTAACGCTGTCGTGACCCAGTTGAGATTTTGTAAACTCAACATGAATGTTCTACATGAAGTGCTTTAACCCTTGATAATTCCCCGGTCAGGAAGAGAAGTCAGTAACCGGATGGGCCTCGGAGATGACAAGTGTAACAGAGAACGTCTTTGCTTCTAGATAAGCTAGGATCTCCTCCATTTGCAGCCAAACCCCTGGGGACCGCCAGCTGCATCTCCAGTCTTCACTTCGAACCACGACCAGGTTTGCTCTCTTTGCAAATCAACACAAAGCAGACAAAAGAGGATCTATCTTCCAACTCATCTTGTTTCCTCCTGAAATGAAGCTGCCTAGGTCACGTTGTGTCCTTTCATCTGTGGCTCATCCCCTCTGAAATGATAAATCTGAGCCTCAAAGAGGCGGTAGTCTGTTTGTAGCGAAGCGAGCTGTGGGCCAAGATGCGGGCGCAGACACAAGTTAACCCGCAGATGCGGGGCACTGTGCGGCATGTCAAGATCGCTCCGTCCCGCGTCCACCTGCGGTGCTGACCCCGGGCGGCCGCCGCTGTGACGTCAGCGGCACGGCGGTTCTGTTCATCGTGTGTGAATGAGTCACAGTTTAAATTAGAAGTTTTGTTATCATTTGGTACTTGCCTGTACCGTCAGACCCACTCATGCCATTCCAAGATCCTGCAGTGCAGGATTTTCAGCTTGGCACAATTAGAAACGATCTCTTCGAAGCAGAAGGGTAAGGACAGTCCAGCCGCCCTGAGTGGCGAGTCCGTGTTTCATGCTACCTCTACACCATCCCGTCGGTGCGGGTCTGGACGTCTGGGTCCGACCTGACAGTTTGCTGGTAGAACAGGGTTGTGTATCTAATAGTGGGTCGATGGCCCTCTATCGATATTTTGTGGAAGGCACTAGACTGACCTTAGCAGCAAGTGCTCATCAGCAGGAACGCGCGAAGCCTTGCCTTGTGGAATGTGTGCTTTAAAAATGTTGTCCAGTGTAACGAGTGCTTGGAAAGAACTGTGGAAAGAGTTACGGGAAGACCAGAACCTCATCTGCTGCTAGTTGCCAATGCCCGGGAGCATTCCTGTGTTAAGGTTAGTTGGGAAAGAAAGCAACCCTTCAAAAAAGTCCTCGGGTTCCTCGCTGGGACGCACGGGAAGGGAGTGGGGGGATGTAGTCATTCCATACATTATTGGAGGCAGAAGACTGGCCGAGGGGAATCCAGCATCTCGGGGTTTGTCTTTCTCTCTTTGTGCCCCACGTGATGTTTCTGTGCTTGAAGACACCAGGGAGAGCGGGAGCATTGACAGCAGAGCTGGGAGAACCAGCGCACGTTACAGACTTCCCTGGAGAGATGCACTTTCCCCGAGAAGGGACCCTCGCCCCTTCCTCTTCAGGCTGGCGTCCGATGAGGTGAGGAGGCTGGCCCATACAGAAGGCACGGTAGGCCGTGAGGGAGGGTCCCTCAGCCCCTGAGGCTCCACAACCCCGGGCATCTGCCCCTTGCCCTCGGTGGGCACAAAGGTGATTCCCTGTGCGAAGTCACTTGGAGACTTGCGTGCCAAAGACTGCCTTGTAAGAGGCTTCCTCGCCCCATCCTTCTTGGCTCCAAAGTCATGGGGCTGAGCTCACTCCCTCTTCTCTCGTATTTATGTCCGGGGGGCTTTTGCTTGAAGACACGCTTGACCTCAGGCAGACAGACTTGGACAGATTTTGAGTCTCGAGCACATGGCCGTGGAATGGAGAGTGGTCCCTGTCCACTGTCCCTTGGGTGTGGGAAGTGAAAGGTTCATTCACCCAGGTTAAAAATCCAGGCTGAGGCAGAAGAGAGAATTCTTAGACACCGAGCAGATGTTAGAGAAGCAGGTGTTGAAGTGAGCAGCTGTGCTTCGTGGCAGGGTCCGGACACTGCGCTTCTTCTCATGTGCCGGCCCCACAAGAAGATTCTAGGCTCCTCCGCCCAAAGCAGAGAACTACTGCTCTTCCCGAACGAGGAGGAAACACGTTACACTGCCAGGTGTGGGGTTGGGTTTCATCCTTTAATAGGACTTAATAATGATTCCCGGTGACCCCAGATAAGTGCAATTATGGAGAGGATGGCTCGTATTTCACTGTGCTGCTTGTTGAACTCGCCAGACACCTGTCTTTAGGTGAATAACGACAGGTACGACTCCGGGGATCGTGGTGAATGTAACGGAAGTTTGTCTTCGTGCCAAATTTCAGCCACAACTGGAGTGCGTGCTGCATGCTGTGGAATTAAATGTTTTGTCAGTCACCATCCACACGAGGGATTTAAATGCTCTTGTGAGGCCGCCTTTGTGTTGAAATGGCAGGAAGTCGTGCTTTAGAGGACGGAGGGCATGGTGGCTGGGTGGGCATTTGCAAGTGGAGTTTCTCTCTTGGGATGGCAGGTATCAACCCAGGACACACCCGGAGGCCGAGGGCCTGGGCCTGGGCCCTGCCGTCCATGGCACTGAAATCCCGGGCCCCTGGCTTTGTTCTGACGCCATTCATTGGACTGAGAGTAGTCCTTCTTTAGACTCTGTCCTGAGAGAGGGCAGGAGAGTGAGATCCACCCCCCCCCACACACACACACCAGGTCTGTGTTGGCCTTGTCTGTGTGGGTCTCGGGACGGCTTCCCTGAGGAACGCCCCTGCTCAGAAGGTGGACCACCTGTGGTCAGGGCCGGGCTCAGCAAGCCTGCTCCCCGCCTTCCCAGATGCCTACTCAAAAGGCCCGTGGAAACTGAGCAGTCTCCCCGTAAGGCTGGAGTAAAACTGGCTTTGGTGATCCCCGCTTACAAAACATTTTGGGAATTTGGGTTTGCCTTCTCGCTTTCAAGAGTCCTCGAGATGGTAACACATCGGACAGGCCCTCTTATGTTTTCTCCATTCAGGTGGCAGGTGTTATTTGTCAGTAGAGTTGAGGAAAATGTCCTCCCCTGCGCCCGACGGACCTATGGAGCTGGGTGTGTCGGAGTTGTTCCCTGCTCCCTCATGCTTTCTTGATTTAGCGAATAAACCAGAAACCTGATTTTTTCATCAGTCCACCCAGTAGGTGGTTAGCTTTCTGGTTTTAAGGATGGTTGGTCTCCCTACAGTTGCCCGGATGAGAGCGTGCCCAGGGCTGTCTGCATTAGAAAAGGCGGAGGAAGGACCTTTGTGTCAGGGACTTTGACTGTTGTTCCTTAATCAGATGTGTTTGAAATGCATTCTGGGGCATGGCTATCTAACCTGTTCTGTGTGGCAGCAAAAAAACAGATGTTTTTACTACTCTAGATAGCCTGCAGGTAAGTGCTTTGGAAAAAATAACTTCAACAAAACCAATAAGGTATTTGAGTCATGTAGAAACATTCTGTCTAGTTAGCACTTGAAAATCAACAAACCCAGACTTTTAAAAAGGCCCACAGACTGTTGAAAGCCTAACTCTGCTTTTTGAGAATGGTCAATGCCTATTAATCTGCCTTATCTGCCTAATCTGTTTTAGATTCTGGATAGAAGTTTTTAGACCTGTAACTGGTTGTTCAGCTTAATGCTAGAGGTCTAACGTAGCCCATCCTCAGCCCTCTTAAAGAAACAAAAATGTGGGGTTCATAATTAGGGCTGCCTTTTGGGAGGAGAAAGCTAAGTGTTGCTATTGCCAAATGATATTTTTGATAATGTAAGGAAACACAGGGACCACTGAACCGCTTTTGTTTGTTTGTTTGTTTTAAAGTGTGAAAGATTAACTCAGTGCTTTTCTGCACACTCTTGATTGTAGAGGTCATATGGTGTCGGCATCGACAAATCACAGAGATACAAAGAACTCTAGATTATGACAATATTAATGGTTTACCCCGATTCTACTGAACAGCTTTTAAAAAGATAACCGGGGAACGGGCCGGGGGGTGGGCCTCAGATCAGCATATTTCAGATGGAAATTCTCCACAGGTTGAAATGCCAAAAACGTAAAACCTACTGTGTTGCCTCACATACTTTAGTCCATTTTCGCAGAGCTTTCCCTATTAACGCCAGTGACTGAGTATTACACGCGCACCTCCCCTGGCTGCACCACCCCCCTCACCGGGTGATCCCGGGCTCCCCATGGGCCAGGTCTCAGAGCAGGTGACACCTGTCAACACCCCCGCTCGACAGGTGGTTCAGTCTCAGACCAGCCCTGCAGTCACAATGGTACTGGAAGGACAGAAGGGGGATGGCTGTTTCCCCAGTGTGGAAACAGGGAGGGGAGGGGAGGTTGCAGACAAAGTGTGAATCACTGTGATCAAAGGACACCTAGGTCAGCTGGGCTTTTGTGGAGCCACAAACCAGCAGCTCTTCACAGTCAGCACGGTTCACCGGGACACTCCTGAGGTTTTGGTCCTGTCCAGTAGATGCCCTGTCCGTTGTACGTCTTGTGTGCCGACCCCCTTGATGTCTGTGTGTTGGGAATACATTGAGAGAGGATGTCCATCTGATATCTTCCCATACAATAAACTGCCAGCAAACTTTCTAACTTGTATTTTAACTGTTGAAAAAGAGATTCAAAACTTTTGCGTAGGTCATGTCCAAAGGATGGACTGTATTTCTTATTTTTAGAAATCATTCTTCACATTTAAAATTTTAACAGAAGCCCCCACCCCGAGGTATTGATAAAGTCCTCCGTGTAAATGTGTTTCTCTTCTCTCCATGCTGCCAATAAGCCAAATCAAAAGCTGTGAAGAAAAAAAAAAAAAGTGCTCAAGAAGGTGTGTAGATGAGAAAGTGATTTATCTCCAGGTCAAAGTCTCTGTTTCATGAAGCTACCAAACGTTAAAAAGAATGTCACCTTTTTTTTTTTCCTTTGTTATGGAACCCAGAGATTGTAAAAGAAAGAAGTTTTTGTTGCATTTTTGATGCTGGCACGAGGTTTTTGTCCCCTTTTTTTCATATATCTGTGTATAAAAAATTCTGTCCATTGTTTACTATGAAATTAAGTATTACATTTTGGGGTAAACAAAAGAATTTGTATTGCTTGATAAACTATTAGCTTGTAAATTTAAAAGGTTTCCTCAATTAACTTAATGGACCAATAAACCTATGAAAGATGCTTTCTTTACCTTGAGTCCTGTTGTCCTTTGCGCCACTCCGTACAGCAAGAAGACGTGCGTGCCCTGTGTTGTGTTTCCTTGTTTTCTCCACAGAGATGAATGAGCCTGTAGGAATCAGGATGTACAGAGCAGCAGGAAAAACACGTAACTGAACTATTTTAATTCTTTTTCACGTCTCTGTAGACTTACCCTCAGTTTACCTTCTCCTGTGTCTTACAAGTTGGCACCAATCGGAGGAGATGAAGAAACTACCTAGTATCTGTATGTAACCGCCGTGATTGGCGGGCAGGTTGGCAGGGCTGGCTTGATCCCACGACCCTGAGATCATGACCTGAGCCAGAATCAAGAGGCACATGTTTAACCAACTGGGCCACCTAGGCACCCCTGCCATGATGGTTTTTTTGGTTTTTGTTTTTTTGTTTTTTTGGGTTTTTTTTAAAGATTTTATTTATTTATTTGACAGAGAAAGACACAGCGAGAGAGGGAACACAAGCAAGGGGAGTGGGAGAGGGAGAAGCAGACTCCCTGCTGAGCAGGCAGCCCGATGCGGGACTCGATCCAGGGACTCCAGGATCATGACCTGAGCCGAAGGCAGTCGCTTAACCAACTGAGCCACCCAGGCGCCCCTGGTTTTTGTTTTTTTTAAATCTGTAAGGCAAGAAGAAATGTCTGTGTTTAATTAGAGTGTTAGAGTGTGTTTCGAAGAGAGACTAGAATGCTCAGTCTAGCTTATACCTAATGACGGCAATCCACCAGAAATGGACTTGAGCTGACAGTAGACATCACTAATACAAGACTGTAGTCATACAAAATGAGGCAGCAAGGTGGGATAAGAGAGATTTGGGATCGGATCTCAGCTTTCCTACCTGCTAGCTCTGTGGCTTTAGGGAAGTCCCATCCCTCTGAACTTTAGTATTTTGATCTTTGAGATGAAAACCTGCTTTCCCAGAAGGGTTGCCAACAGGACTAGCAAGCAGTAAAGTCTACAGAGCACCCGAGTGCCAGAACTCACTATGTAATAGCTCTTACGGGAAGACTCTTCTATTACTTGTATAAATATGGCCAACTTAAATATCAAGCGTTCCCATAACAATCCTTCCCGTTTGCTTTGTCAATTGAAAAAGCGGGGGGGGGGGGGGTATGTATTTCTTGTAACTGCTTTAAGAAGGTGCTGGAGATAGTATGCTGGAGGACTGTGGTCAGACTGAAGCCCTAGGGAATAGATGGGACTAGATCATAAAAGTCATGGCAAGAGGTGATAGGAATAGAGATGGATTCAAGAGATTTCTGTGGTGAGGGGAAGGGCTCAGAGATGATGTGGAGGTCTCCAGCCCGGGAGCTGGGAGGTGATGCCATTCACTGACCTGTAAAAACAGGATGAACATATAAAGGTTGGAGTAAGCTTAGATGGTGGAGAGGGAGAAGAATTTGGTTTGGATTTTTGTTTGAGGAAATCTAGGTGGAGGTGTCGACCAGTTGTTGGGAAGAGGTTCTGGAATCCCTGGGAGCAGACTAGGTTACCTGGGGAGAGTACAAAGGGCAGGGCTTTCTGGGCCTCAGGAATTAAGGATGCAGGGAGAGGAGCAGGGGGGCGAAGGGGAAGTTCTTAAGGAGAAAAAGGCCCAAAGATAAAAATACTGTTTTTAAGCTTGAGAGCTTGTGAAAAACACAGGTTGTTGGGCCCTACCTCTAGAGTTTGATTTGGATAGAGCCTAAGAATTTGCATCTCTAACAGCTTCCTCAGGGGTGTTGATGCTGGGCTGGTCCAGAAACGACACTTTGAGAACATCAAAGGGATTAGAACATCCTTTAGAAGAATTGGTGACCTGGGGCAAGTGTCCAAAAACTGCTGTCTTGGTGACGGGCGGGGTTGAAAAGAAACCGGTGCTGGGGCTTCGAGAGCCCAGCTCTGCTTAAAACCCAGAAGCTCATGGCAAGGGCGAGTGTGGGCAAGTAAGGAAATGTTTCGGATGTTGCAAGCCAGCTTTTCAGGAACAGGGAATGGAGCAGCCAACGATAAGATTCATCCAGGTTGGGGAGCCGATCAGGGGCTGGGACAGCAGGCAAGGAGTCCAGAGGAAGGAGCATAACTGTGAGAGTTTAGAGAGGTGAGCGTGGCCTTGAACTCCTCCTCCCTTCCCCCCTCCTCCATCCACATTGCCTGTCTCAGCGAGAGGCTCTGCCTTCTTCCTAGTTGCCCGAACCCCGAATCTGAGCATTCTTGCCTCCATCTGCCTCATCCTCTGCAGTTCATCTGTCCCTGGCTCCCATTGACCACTAGCTCCCAAGGATTCTCTAAGTCCCTCTACTTTTCTCGATCCTTGTAGCTCCTTATCCAGCATCAGTCTTCCATCGTCCGTCACCTAGATTACTGCATCTCTGCTCTTGCCTCCTTTCTGCAAGTAGTGCTTGCTCCTTCTGCTCCTCCCCACCCCCCGACCCCCCAGTTCATTCTCAGGGATGCAAGAGCATGTTCCATGCCCCTGCCTGAAAATTTCTACCAGCTTGCCCCATTACTTTAAAGAGAAACCTTTTTCTTTAAGCCTCTGTTTGTGTGTTGTTCCTCCTTACCTCCCCAGTCTCGTGTCTTGATCCTGTCCCTTTGATACCTGCCCCTCCCTCCTCCCCTCCCCTTATATTGAATTCCTCTATCTGGAGATATTTTCACCTTCAGGCCTTCCAACTTGTGATTCCTTTTTCCTGGACTGGCCCTTAACTTCTGGCCTCGGTAACTCCTTATGCTTCCAGTCTTTCCATTCGCCACTTCTTCTGAGAAGCCTTCCCTGCTTTCCTAAATCTGGGTTATTTGCTCCCTTATGTTAGCATGTATCATAGGATGCATTGTTGCTGGCTGATCTGTCTTCTACACCTGCTAGAGAGCACATGCTGTCCTGGCAGGAGCCGTCACATTCTTGCCATATCTCAGCACCTAGCCTGGTTCTGGGACCTCAGGAGACATGCCAGAAAGTTTAGTTTCTTCCTTGCAAGGGATCAGAGATGCAGACTCCCTGAGCCCAAATCCTTGGAGCTTTAAATGCATTCTGTAGCTTTAAGTTTTACCCCAGTATAAGAATGCCATGCCTGGAGTTACAGAGGGAGTCTGGCCAGAGAAGAATGATTCACACACATACAATAAATGTCAATTTTATTAGGAAGTGAGTCTGCTTTTCTGTATGTATAGGTAAAATAGGCTATAAAAATAGGTACCTCAACATAAAATGGCTCTTAGCATATCTCCACTCCCCTCTCCCTTCACACCACCCACTTTGGGAAGTATTGTTGACTGAAAATATTCAGTATAATATTCCACTAAAGAAAGTCTTTTGATATTTGCTTCTTAAAAGCAACAGTAACAACGGCAATAAAACTACCCTGAAGCCAAGAGCCGGAGCCCCAAATCTTCTAAAACATTGGGAGTTCTTATAAAACATCCGCTCTGTGTTTCCCTTAGGCTGTTGAAAATGTATGCTTTGAGTTTTCACATGGGACTCCCAGCACAGCACCCAGGTGACTAGTTAGCTGTACCTTGGAGTCCTGGAGACAGTTCCTGGAAGAAAGGGGGCTACCGTCTGAAGCCCCTTGTGCGTCTGGCATGACTGTGTATGCAGCCTGCATATAACCCTTGAAATTTCACACTCTACTGCCCCCGGAACCCAACCTCTGTCTAGCAGGGACATCTGAAAGCTGAGAAAGTACTTCCATCACCAAGAAAGTGGTGTTCCCCACCCACCAGGGACCCCTGAGCTGGAGCGGGTCATTCTGAGGCCAACTCTGGCTGGGACTTGGGGTTTGGGGGCGGTGGGTTGCCTTGGTCACCAGCACCCAGTCCCTTCCTTTGCCTTCAGAGGGCCTCTGCCGTTGCTGGTCCTCGCAGCTCCCATAGGTCAGTGCCTTCATGTCTCCGTGATGTCTCCATATTGCAACCACGAGGCTTGTTTATAGGCCACGATGCTGTAAGAATTTACAATCCAGAATTACAAGCCAGCAGTTGGAATGGGGCAAAGGGTGTGCCTTTTCCTTCCCACCAACAGCCGCCTGAGAGGCTCTGTCCATCATGCCCAGAAGACTGTTCCGAGTGGAGAGATGGCCCAAGGAAACTTCTCCCACTCCAGGCCCATTCCAGTCCTAAAACATCTCAAGCCCTTTGCGTCTACATTTTCCTTTTCCTAGAATCTCTCTCCATCTCACTTCTGCCTGATGATGACCTCCCACATGTATTTCAAGATCAAGACTGGCTAATCCCAAGCAGAATTGGCTGCCTCATCTTGTGCCTTTCCATAGCCCCTTTATCTCTTCCACAAATCCTCATTACATTGTTTTCAAATATTTGTAGCTAAAGGGATGCATAGGAATTCGGAGCTCTGAGTCAAAGTCTTGGATGTGTGACGTTTGGCATGTCCTTCCACCTCCGGGGTCCTTGGGTTTTCCTGTGTTTGAGCTCTAGGAGCCTCAGTTTCTAAGCTAGAGCACAGCTCTTCCTGGCTGATGGCCAACTCCTGGAGCTGCTGGATGGGGTGTGAGCGAAATTCCAAACCTTCTAAGGGAGAGCTTTGTGAGAACTTCCAAGAACTCTGACTTCCCATCTTCAATAAGCCCCAGGGCTCTACAGGGAGGAGCACTTACTGTACTTGAAACAAAACTCGTATTACAAAGCTGGCAGGGAAGCCCAGCCGTGGAGGCAGCTAGCCCAGGACCTCGTGAATGCCAGGCTTCAGGCTTGACTCCAGCTGAGCCTGCGCAGACCCGGCCGCTCAGCCACGAGGGGGTGGCCAGCCCCCGCCTTCAGGGTCGGCCAACAGGCAGCTCTGGGGGGGGTGGAGGTTCACCGTGCTGGCGAGGAGGGGCCACACCCTTCTAACATCATTCCTTAAATATTTTTTGAGTACTTCTTACATGCCAGGCTCTCTGCTGGACACGGAAGATTCGTTCCTGCCCTCAGGCAGCCTACAGTCGGGTGGGCAGGCTTGTGTAAAGATAATCACTAACCATCAACTGTCGTGCTATGAAGGAAAGTATAGGAAGCTTTGGGAGCATATGATAGAAGGACCTAATTCAGATTGAGAAGGGGATTGTCTCAAATCCTTTTTGAGAAAATCGTGTTTAAGACCGTAGCTAGCTGGGTTAAGAAGGAGGGCACGGGTGCAGAAGGGGGAAGGACATGAGGGGCAGCCACTGGGGCTGACGCATGGGGTCGGGGAGGGTGGTGAGCGGCAGAAACAGGCACTAGGAAGGTTGGCAAGGCCAGATTACGCGGGGCCTTGTGGTCCGTGGGAAGACATTCGGGTTGTATCCTAAAAGCAGTGAGAGCCAAGTGCGGAGCTTTGAGCAGGAGATGACATGATCTGTTTAAACACTTGAAGGAAATTGCTCTGGGCACCTGGTGGAGGGAGGATGGGGGGGTGGATCAAGAGTGGACCTGGGGGGCATGGTTCAGAGGCTAATCCAGTCGTTCAAGTGCTCGGGCCTCAGGGTAGTAGCAGTAGCAATAAAAAGAAAAGGATGAAATCGAGGCCTGCTTTGAAGGTAGAATCAGTGAGGCCTGATGGATTGGAGGTGAGGGGAGGTGGAGAAGAGGGAGGACATTGGTGACTCAGATTTCTCTTCCTTCCTGAGTGGTGGTGCCTTTTAGTGAGGTGGCACAGACTGGAGAGGCAACAGGCGTAGGAGGGCATCAAGAACCCAATTTTGGAAACTTAGATGGTAATTTGAAGTTTTGAAAGTACTTTAGTTTGCTTAGAGAATATGAAGTGAGAACCCAGAGCAGAGCCCCAAAGAATCTTCCATTTGGAGATTTGCCGAGAAGCGATAAGGCGTTGACAAAGCCCAGTGATGGTGAAGAGTGACCACCGGTGTGGGGGCCGTGAGGAAATCATGTGGGATGAGGACTGCAGGGAGTCCACTGGATCCAGCCTTGAAGACTGGTTAGTGGCCTTAGTGAGAAGAGCTCTCTGGTGGTCGAGGGGGGGTGCCTCAGGTGGGTGGGTTGAAACGTGAGTGGGAGGTGAGGACACAGAAGGTGCACACCAACCTTTGCAGAAGCTGACCGTGGAGCGGATGGAGGTTGAGGAGAGAGAGGGTGGTAGATCACGTGTCAGCTCAGTGAGCATTCAGGAGAGAGCAGCTGGCTCGCGCAGGGAGCTCTCTAAGGAGATGGGACCCAGACACTGGTGACTCTTCTAAGAAGCGGTGCCCTGTGGCGGGTCGGAGACTGCCTGGGTTCAACTCTTGTCTCCGCCACTTACTGGCTGTGGAACATTTGGCAAGTTACAGAATACCTTAGGGTCTCTGTCTCCTTATTTGCAAAAATAATGATAGTGATGACCTCAGAGGACTTTGGGGGAAGATTCAATTCATTAAAATATATACAATATTTTAAGTGGTAGCTGGCACATGATAAAAGGGCTATTTACATGTTTGCTATTATTACTATTATTTTAAAAAGGGTGGGGAGGGCGGAGAAGAATAGAGAGGCAAGTAGGTTGCCGGTGGATGGAGCCAGACAGTTACTCCTTTAGCATCTCCCAATTGCACAGAAGAAGAGCAAGTAGGAGAAGGCGGGTTCTCCAACAGTAACGTGAAATTGGCTCACTTCGGTACCAGGAAGGGCTGGGGGCAGAGTCCCTTCTTGCAAACAGGCTGTTGGCAGCTCTGGCTCAGGGACTTCTCCTCCCAGCCTTCTGCCCTCCGCTGTGTCCTCTGTTCCCCTGCTCTGACGTGCCTTTCTGGGCTTTTATGTTGTTGGAATGTAGCTTTTCTCTCTGTAGTTAGAAAGTTCTATTGGTTTTCCCTGGTGCTCTCGCTTGATTGATGGTACAGCCTTGGCCTCGTCTTGCTGTAAGAATTTTTCAGGATCTTGTTCATTTAGTGACTCCATGGAAGGGAAAGGTAATGGAAACACTCCCTTTATACCAGAGTTCTCAATCTTCGTTATATATTCAAATCACCTGGAGAGCTTTTAAAAAGTCCTGTGCCCAGGCTGCACTCCAGATTGACTAAGTCAGAATCTCTGGGGGTGGGATCCAGAGATCAGGGATTTTTAAACCTTTTTAGGTGATTCTAGCATGCAGCGAATGAGGCTTTATATGCCTGCATGTCTCTTTACTGCTAAATGACTACAAGAGAGAGAAATAATGATCAACTACTTCAGTGCCTCATTCACATACGCACTCAAGTATTTACCTGATGGATTCAAGATTCTGTCCCTGCATCTGTGATAGAAGATTGCGAAGACCCTGCAGGGCCTAAGGAAGACACCTTTCACAGAAAGTATGACCAAATCCAAGTGCATGTTACATAGTGCACTGGGGTGAGGGGTTGAGAGTGGCCCACATCCTTCATGTGCGACTAAAGTCTCTTAACAAAGGCCCAGCAACGAAACTGTAGAAAGGAACCAATTACTGTATTTTCTCATGGCTTTCATCTGCCCATTTATCTGTCTAGCTATGCCACACATTAACTAGTCAGGCTTTCTTTCTTTTGTTTTGTTTTCCTTTGTTTGTTTAGGTTAATGAGACTATTTCACCCATCTCCCAGTCAAATAGGGCTGGATAACTTCCAAGTGGCACAGCTACTGATCCATTACTTACTTGGGCAAACAGCTGGGAAATTTGCATTGCATGCTAGGTCTAGCTGAACCCAACCCATTCAGCAAAGACTCACATAAAAATAGGGCTCAGGAAAAGGCCTAAGGGCTGGGCAGTCTGAGGACAGGTCTGGCTCAGTCCCACACCTTGAATAATTGAGAACAGGGCCAAGAGGGTGCTCTTGATCATGCTGTTGCTTGCACAAATTCTCAGCTGTTGACCTTCCTTCTTCCCTCCCTCCCTTCGTTCCTTCCTTCATTTGTTCCTTCCTTCCCTCCTTCCTTCCTTTTCTGATCTTCCCATCTTTCTTTTCTCAACCATGAAATAGAGCAAAGAGCCTTCATGATTGATGGCTCAAGAGGCTCAACCTTTTGTGTAGGCAGGGAGCTACGTTATGACATGATATGAGAATTCTAGCAAGGGCCTTACTGCCACCCACTTTCCGCTTCTTCCAACCTGCCTTCAACTGGTTTCTACTGGGCTGTCTGTAATACCACCATTACTGATACATAGAGCTCTCTGTGCTACCAGGCAGGTCCCCTAAAATGCAAATCTTTATCAAATCCCTTGCCCCTTAGTGTGGATACATTTACTGTATTCCTTTCTCCTCTGGTGGGATTGATACAAGCATGACAGGACCTCGCTAAATGAGGAGGGGTAAATGGGCCCAAACCATCCAAGGCTGTGCTAATGTAGTAGCCACTGGTTGCACTGGCCCCTGAGCACTTGAAACATGTGCAGATTGAGTCCAAACTGAGACGTGCCGTCAGCATAAAATACATACCAGATTTCAAAGACTTAAAAAAAACCCAAACCGCACTGATACTTTTGTAAATTGATTACATGTTAGAGTGATATTTTGGATATATTGGTTCAAATCAAATGTGTTACTAAAATTAATTTCACCTGTTACTTGTATCATTTTCAAATGTTACTAGAAAACCTAAAATCACGTATACGGCTTGCAGTGTGGCTTGCACTGGTGACTTGCACTGGAGAGGGCTGATCAAAGACCATTTGGGTCCATTTTGGTGATGTCCTAGGCTGGTGCTCTTACCCTGGGAGTGGAGTTCCTCTCTTTGGCTTCTCCAGCGGTCTTCCTGTCTGTTATTTCTCTGACTTGAATGCTCTTATTTGACAAATGAGACAACTCCCCCAGAGAGGTCAAAGGAATTTCCTAAGTCATCCGGGGAGCTCACACAGTCCAGTGGCGTGTGAGATTGCGGGGGCGGGGAGGGGGCACTGAGCACAGAGGCCTCCAGGTGCCAAAGCCCTTGGAGGGCCTGGCAAGAATACTCAGAAGTGAGGCAGATGGTTCTCATCTAAAAGGACCTAAACAAAAGGGGTGGAAGTGGTTCAAGAGGATTTCTAATCCCAGCCTCTGATTACAAGGAAGTGTATGAGGCTCTTATAAAAAAACCATATTACCTAACTGCCAGGAAGTATGCCAGCTGTGTGTGGCCCTATGTTCTTATTTAGGACTTTGGGGGTTTCCCATATTGCCATATTATTAGCTTGTGGGGAACAGGAGGACTTTTTCTTTGTGGGAGAGCCGACTCAGAACCCTAATGCCTAAATGCTACAAATATAATTCTTTATGATAATAGGCTGGAGATGGTCCAGCAGGCCCTGATATATGCCCCAGGGCCCTAGCCCAAACCACAGACACCACTCCTGTCTTACCCAATTGGGATGATCGCCAGGAAGGAGAGAAAGGAGGAGAGAGCAAAACAGGTGCCGACGAACTTTTCCATGGTGAGCTGATAGATCTTGTTGTACACCGTGGAGGTCACCACCCCAGTCAGAGCCAGGGACAGCTGCAGGATGACGAACACCTTTCCTGTGGAAGGGACGGGGGTTACCAAGAAGATGTGCTGCTGTCCCTTCCATGTTACCAGCTAGCCGAGTTGCCAGGGAGCTCTCAGGAGGCTCTGCATCCCTCCCAGAACTCCCTCTCCCATCTCGGCTCACTCCACTGGGACCCCTGCCTCTATCCAGCTGGATCTTTCTGCGGCCCGTGGATAGTAGCATCCTCCTCTGACTGTGGCTTTTCAGTGACTGACTTTCTGAGTCTTTCCCACCCTCCTGTTTTCACCTGCTCTGCCCTGGCTGGACCCCAGAGTGTTCCTAGTGTATTCAAGGCAGCTTCTGGAACTCTCGGGGGACTTCTGCAAGTCTGAACCCTGTGCCTCAAGCCAAGCAGCTCTGAAACGGGCCAGGCAGAGAACTTCAGAGAGACTTCTTTTACTTACCATAAGAAGAGCCCTTTATGAGTTTGGACATTGCTGATCGGATGGTTGTGATGGGGATGAGAGCGAACAGCATGACGGCTCGGGCTGGAAGGAAATCACACAAGAACACTCCTTATTGTGCCCAGCCTTGGCCAAGGAGTAAATCAGAAAAAAGCAAAAGCCTCACCAGGACCCTCCCTCTCCCTGCAGCCCCCATGGGCTTGCCCTGGAAGTAGTGGTTTCTCTGCTGGAGGACTAGCACCCCCCACCCTGGGGCAGGCTGAGTCCCTGAGCTCTGACGGTGCCAGAGATGCCACAGACCCACCTGTGAGGTGGCGGGGCACAGCTGACATGGTGATGGATAGGGAAGGGTGTCTGCATTGGCAGAGTGAAGTGGCATCTAGGGAAGTGGACCTGATGATGGAGTGACTCGAGACTCCTCGCCTTGTCGCTGGGACAGAGGTGTCCTCTGGCACCATTCACGACCCCCTCTGGGAGACGGTGGCGGGAGCTTTGGCAAACTGCATCCAGGAACGTGTGCCACGTTACACAGCTGCCACACGCCCTTCCTTCCCTCAAGCCTTACTCATAATCCCAGTGCGGTGTGTGCTTAAGTGTGTGTGTGTGGAGAGAGAAGAGGAGAGGTCGAGGTGGCGGGAAGGGGAGAGGGGCACTCTGGCCTTTGCACGTGGCCCATCTAACGGGCAGGTGGCCAGACCTAAGTTGCCATTTGGTTAGGTGTCTCCCGAGATGCGTGACCTCAGCCAAGGGACAGCCTGTGGTAACTGTCTAGAGTTGTTTTTTCTAATACGTTAGCCACTAGCCACATGTGACTATGTAAATGAATTAAAATAAAATCAGATTTAAAATTCTGTTCTTTAGTTGTGCCAGCCACATTTCAAGTGCTCAGTAGCCACACGTGGCTAGTGGCTACTATATTGGGTGGCACAGATTTAGAACATGTCTGTCATTGTAGAAAGTTCTATTAGGGCTCTCTGCCTGTGGTCGTCAGACGGAAACTTCATTCTGCTTCCTTGAGAGAATTTATGACATTGGTTGTGGAAGGCATTTATGGGGAGTTTTCATGCATTTTTGAACAGCCCGTGCTTCGCCTGAAATGATTTTAATGAAGGGACCTTTCCAGCCCGATTACGTTAATGTTTTATCCCTTTAAAATTGGAGAGAAGAAATCCAACCCCTTCTCCTAAGGCCAATCCGAAACCTTCCCTCCTGACTGCAGGCACCACTGACCAACCCTCCCCTGACCTCCTAGAGCCACGGGCACCACTCTGATAACGTGTCAGTGGGCAACACAGATAACACGGTACAGTGCAACTAGATTAACTCGATGGCACATAATCCTGTCTCCCTTCCTAGGCAGTAGGTCCAGTCCCTGGTGCTGAGCTGGGACACCTAGGCCACACCATGCCACACCACACCTAAGCCATAGCATGTCAGCCCCCTGACTCTAGGGGTCCGCAGTGTCCTTGTCCTGCCTCCCCGGGAACGCCAGACTCACCGATGTAGAACATGTATGTCTCTTTCACAAACGCCAAGAGGAGGGCTCCTGACCCAAAAGAGACCATACCGATCATGATCATGGTGGTGTCCTGCAAGCAGCGGGAGAAGACCAGGACGCCCAGGAAGCTGGTGATGAAGATGGTGTACCCCGCAGCCATACCATAGCCCACCTGCACCTGGTTCCAACTGAGAGGCTCCCTTAGCAGGAAAAGGGGTATCACATCCACTGTGCCCGCCACGGCCAGGTCATATATGATGGCAGCCAGAAAGAGCAGGGCAATGATAGTCCTTGGGGGCTGTGCTTTCCCAGGAGAGGGAGGGTGCCCCACCACACTCTGCTCGTCTAACTGATCAGGATCCAGGGCACGATAGGTGCCAACCGTGCCCGACACCGTATTCACGGCGGGGAGCGCCTTGCTGGGACCTGCCGTCGACTCAGGGACCTTCAGGACCAAGAGGCTGTAGAGAAGGGCGAAAGTGGCACAGCTCACGCTGCAGGCCGTCAGCACCAGGCCCTGCCCGGAGTGCCCCGTCATCTGCTTGAAGAGATGCCCGGAGGCCATGCTCCCGCAGAACCCCGCCAGGCCCAGGATCAGGTCGAGGAGGATGAGGCGCAGGGAGCGGCGGCCCTCGGAGGAGCCCAGGGAGCCCAGGGCCATGACGCCCGACCAGAAGGCCGAGAAGCCGCCGCCCAGCCCGTTCAGCGCCGCCGCGCCGTACAGCACCTCCACGGGCCAGTCCAGCAGCACCTTGAGGAGCAGCCCGAGGCGGCAGAGCAGGAAGCCCAGCAGGGACACGCAGACGGAGATCTTGCGGTGGTAGCGGTCGCTGAGCCAGCCCAGGCAGTAGGCGGACAGCAGGGGCGTCAGGCCCACCACGAGGTTGTAGACGATGTAGAAATTGGAGATGGCCCTCTGCTGCTGGTCCTCCGGGGCGCCCCGGGGCGACGGGCTGGCGCTGTGGTTGGAGGAGGCCCCGGCCGCGAAGGACGCCTTCACCACGAGGAGCAGCCCCGCCTCGTAGAGGGAGGCGGCCACCTGCGTGGAGGCCACCACGGGCTCGATCCAGGTCCTCACCCGGAGGCGAGACAGGAGGCCCCTCCCGGGGCAGGCGGCCTCGGGGCCCATGAGGAGTTTCGGAGAGGGGCCGGATCCGGTCCCAGAGCGCGAGGGTGCGCCGTGCGCCGGGTGCGCGCGGGACGGGACCGAGCAGGGGCGCGGGGCGCGTGTGACAGCGGCCAGCCCTGCGCGGCTGACGACCCCGGGCCGGGCCACTCCTCCCGGCCTTAAAAGGCCGCCGCCGCCCCCGCCCCCGCCCCCGCCCGCCGAGCAGGGCTGGCGGCCGCCCAGGAAGCCGGGCGCCCGGGAGCGCACCGCCCGTTTCGGCCCCCGCGTCGCCACCCTCCGGTCGCCGCGTCACGCTGCTCCGGCTAGCGCGGCCGCCTGACGACGGCCCGATGGCCCCACAGCCCTAGCTTGCCCCGACCTCCCGCGGGGCGCCTTCCCCGGGCGTGCTCTGGCCTGGGCCGAGACCCACGGCAGGGAGCGAAATTCTATTATCCGTGGCGGGCAGGTCTGGGCGAGGGGCGGTGGGGTGGGGTCGGGGGTACAGAACCTAGGATTCGTCCTGGGAGCGGGGCCGGGGTGTGGGGTTTTTTTGTTGGGTTTAAAAGCCAGAGGGACTCCTTCGCTGCTGTAGGGAGCCGAGTAGCAAAGACTTTGAGAGAAGTGCTAATATCTCTTTGAGATGTTGCTTTCAGTTCTTTTGCATGAATACCCAGCAGTGGGGGGGGGCGGGGGGGGGGCGGGGGGTCACTGGATAGTGGGGTAGTTCTAGTTTTAACTTTTTTGAGGAACGTCCCTACTGTTTTCCATAGAAGCCACACCATTTTGCATTCCCACCCACAGGGCACAAGGGTTCCAATTTCTCACACCCCCATCAATACTTGTTTTCTTGATATCTTTTTCTTTCTTTTTTAATAATAGGATAGCCATCCTGACAGGTGTGAGTGATTATCTCCTTGTGGTTTTGATTTGCATTTCTCTGATGATGAGTGATGTTGAGCATCTTTTCAAGCTTGTTGGCCATTTGTATGTCTTCTCTGGAGAAATGTCTCTTCAAGTCCTTAGCCCATTTTTCAGTCGGGCTACTAGTTTGTGTTTTTGTTCTTACAATTGTAGGGGTTCCTTATTTATTTTGGAGATTAACCCCTTACCAGATGTACGGTGTGTAATATTTTCTCCCATTTTGTAGGTTGCTTTTTCACTCCATTGTTTCCCTCCCCATGTACAAGCTTTTTAGTTTGATATAGTCCCACTTGTTTGTTTTCAGGATCTTGAAGAGATGTCAGTACTCCTTTGTTCATTGCAGTATTATTCACAATAGTCACAATAGTCAAGATGTGGAAATAACCTAAATGCCCATCAATAGGTGAATGGATAAACAAAATGTGACATATATACATACAATTGAATACTATCCAGGGCGCCTGGGTGGCTCAGTTGGTTGAGCGACTGCCTTCGGCTCAGGTCATGATCCTGGAGTCCCGGGATCGAGTCCCGCATCGGGCTCCCTGCTCGGCAGGGAGCCTGCTTCTGCCTCTGACCCTCCCCCCTCTCATGTGCTCTCTCTCTCTCTCATTCTCTCTGTCTCAAATAAATAAATAAATAAAATCTTAAAAAAAAAAAAATTGAATACTATCCAGCCTTTAAAAAGAAGGAAATCCTGAAACTGGGAACAACGTGGTTGAACCTTGAGGACATTATGCTAAGGGAAATAAACAAGTCATAGAAAGACAAATACTTTATGATTTCACTTATATGAGGTATCTAAAATAGTCAAGTTCAAGAATCAAAGAGTGGCATGGTGGTTGCCAGAGGCTGAGGAATCACTAATCAATGGCATGAAGTTTCAGGTAAGCAAACAAACAAGCTCCAGGGGTCCTCTGTACAACATTGTACAATAATAATATGTTGTATACTTAAAAATTTGTTAAAACTCTCATGTTAAGTGTCCTTACCACAATTAACAAACAAAAAGTCCAAACAAAACCTCAGGAGGAGCTAGGCTCAGCCCTTTCACCAAGCCAAAGGCCTCTAGGAGAAGAGTCCTGCTTTGAGCACCTGCTCTGGTGGGCCTGGAGCTAGTATGAGTATGAGCCAAAGGGTGGGCCCCAGCCTGCAGGGTCCAGCCTCAAACCCCAGGGCCAAGGGAGAGACAGGGAGGTCCTGCAGCCCTAGGTGTCCCTCCAGATGATAAAACTCGCTGGCAGGGGGTAGATCCCACCAGAAAGAAGAGAGTCACCAGGTCATCTGCTTCTGAGTAAAATCCCCAGGGCCCTTTCTGTTTCTCTGCAATTGTTCTTCCGTCTCCGTGGGCTCGCTGTCCTGGATTGGCCTGAGCCCTCCACTACTCTGGCTACCTTGCTTCCTCCTTGAAGTACACACTTCTGCAAAGACGACCAGGCTGATGGGTGGCGCAGGGACGGTAATGCACCAAGAAGAAAGGTCACCCCCAGGGATGGAGAGTCAGAACACACAAGCCCTCTCGTCAGTTCAACCCCAACAGAGCCCTGGCAGCATGGATGAGCAGGACTCCAAAGCCACACAAGGGAAGCTCAACTGTGCAGGGAACATTTATAAAGCCAAATGGATAATGTATTCATGGGAGGAGGGACTCGACTCTAAATGACTTTGTGTAGGTATGTGCCCTTTAGGTGAGCTATCTGTTTCCCTCCCTGGCACTGCTCAGCCCCCTGTGTCCAAGCCAGACAACTCTGCCTTCTGCAAAGAGACAGCCCTACCTCGTCTCTCCCTTGAAGATGTGCCCTGTGGAACTGGCCTGGTAGCCCCCTCAAAGCTTCCCCACTTCCTTCTTCCTCCCCCTCACCTAGGCCCACCTTGGGAGGGATTGGTTTCACTCAGCCCATGCCCAGCTCTCCCACTCCATTCTTAACCCTGTTTTTTTCAGAGGCTGGAACAAAGCAGTTCAACCAGTCTGTTCCTGTGAGGTGCAGAGGCTCCTGGGGTTGGGGAGGTTTTGGGGAGAAGATGGTATTCAGCAGTCAGATGTGGCCATGAGGACGACAGCCTGAACTGTATGGACCATTCTGGCCACTTAATCAAGGGGTCTGTTTATTCTTGGGGTTGTAGGCACTAGAGGGTAGACTTGATCCTCCCTGTTGTCTCAGTTCTTCCTGTCCTCTTGTGAAACTAGGGAAATTTGAGGGGCCTCTGAGAGATTCCCACCAGATCTAGGACAGGTCTAGTGGGAGCTGGGTCATCATGATGCTAGCCAGCCAGCCCTGGGACCCTCCAGCCTTTGACCTGACTCCTCTGGCCCAGAAATGAACTAGACCCAGGGCAGTCAGTATCTCTCCCGGTTTAGGCTACTCTGCTTTGGATTATATTTTCATCCTGTTCCCGAGACCCCTCCATCTCCGACTGCAGGCTCCAGCTAAGTTATTGCCTGGCCATCCTCTGTGGCCTAGGCTACTGGCAGTGTATGGCCCTTGAGCCAAGTTGAACACCTACCCTGCCACCTTTGTCTCTAGCTCAGGGTTGGCTCTATTCAAGTGCAAAAGTTAAACTCGCTCATCTTTTATTTATTTATTTTTTGAAGATTTTATTCATTTATTTGACAGGGTGAGACACAGCGAGAGAGGCAACACAAGCAGGGGGAGTGGGAGAGGGAGAAGCAGGCTCTCTGCCGAGCAGGGAGCCTGATGCGGGGCTTGATCCCAGGACCCTGGGATCATGACCTGAGCGGAAGGCAGACGCTTAACAACTGAGCCACCCAGGCGCCCCTAAACTAGCTCATCTTTTAGATTGATAAAGTCACACTATTTGAGGAGAAAAAGACTTAAAAAAAAAAAAAATGGAGCAGCTAACATTTACTGAGCCCTTACTGTATACTTAGCACTTTGCAGGAATGAATGAATGCAGTTCTCCCAAGAAGTCCATCAGCTGGTCTATCACCTCATTTTATGGTTGGAGAAACTGGGGCCAGAGAGGTTGAGTAATTTGCACAAGACCACGCAGCTAGTAAGTTGGGGAGCCAGTATTAGGTACTAGTCTTTGCAAGTCTATAGCTATGGGAAAAATACACTCGACAGGGACTCTTACTTGAGGGTACCCTCTCAGCCAGCACAGGAATGTGGAGAGGAGCAGAAACACCTTAGTCGTGATGAAATTATTGTTGATCAACAGTGTATTGCACAAATGGAGAGCAACAAAGGAATGGATGGAAGTTTATTTACCGAATGTATATCCCAGGCACTTTACAATCAAGTAGGAAATACTTTTATTTTCTTTTCTTTTTTTTTTTTTTTTTTTTTTTAAAGATTTTATTTATTCATTTGAGACACAGAGATACAGAGAGAGAGAGAGAGAGAGCATGAGCAGTGGGAGAGGCAGAGGGAGAGGGAGAAGCAGACTCCCAGCCGAGCCAGGAGCCCGATGCGGGGCTCGATCCCAGGACCCCGGGATCATGACCTGAGCCGAAGGCAGACGCTTAACCATCTGAGCCACCCAGGCGCCCCAATACTTTTATTTTCTTAATGGAGGGCTCAAAAACTCATCTTAGAAAGGAACCGTGTTTGTTGGGAAAATACCTGGCATCAGTTAGAAGGTGAAATCCCTAGGCCTGGACTTCAGCTGCAGAGGAGGCTCCAGAGAAGGAGTGGAAGCTCCGGGGCTGAGTCAAGGAGAGGAACTTGTCTGACGCTCTGGAGGTGGGGCGGGAGAGAAGGGGTGTGGGGGAGGGGAGGGAAAGAATGTTTTGTGTGAGTGCAATTTTTCTGGGGAAATCCGTAAGGAAGCTGTGGTTCCCGTCTGGGTTGAAACAATGCTGAGCAGTAGTCGTGAGTAAACAGGAGGAGGAGGATAGCACAAGGACACAAACCTCCCGGGGATTTGCTGGAATCTGGGACTGGCTTAGGACTTTCACAGCCTATGGACTCGGGGGAGTTAAGCTGTTGACCCAGATCTTGAGGGCCAGAGAGACCCTCGCAGCTGCCCAGCAGGCTGCGCTGATGAGGGAGGGGTTATTCTCTTTGTTGTTAATATTTCAGGGTCCGAGTTCAGTCTTTCCCCAAGACATTGCAAATGAGGGAAATAGGATGCCCTCAGAGACATCAGTATGCAGTGGAACAAAGTGAAGATGTACAGACTTATCCCAGGAGGCAGAGATAAGCCTTGTCAGTGGCCATCCGAGCCCCTGTCTTTGAAGGGTTTCCCAGCGGCCAGTCCATCGCTACCCGCAAGAGGAAGCCCCAGTCCTCTTGCATGACCTCAAGTAATCCTCTAGTTACAATTTTACTTCCCAAATATAGCTGCACACAGGGACAAGTGTGCTAGTTATTTGAATAGTTACTCCAAATACTTCTTTAAAAGATTTTATTTATTTGAGAGACAGAGAGAGAGAGAGCACAAGCAAGGGAGGAGCAGAGAGACAAGCAGACTCCCCACTGAGCAGGGAGCCCAACATGGGGCTGGATCCAAGACCCTGGGATCATGACCTGAGCTGAAATCAGACATTCAACCAACTAAGCCACCCAGGCGTCCCTACTCCAAATAATTTCTTATGGTAAATTAATAAGTTGGCATTCTGGTTTATCTATCTGCCTTTCTAAGTTGGTTCATGCGGGCCTCTGGAAATGGCTGCTTCTCCATGTGCTGGTGAAACGGAGGTTTTTATACCGTCAGGCTGAGAGCTGGGCCCCATCTACAATAAATGTATCCACATAATGAGTGCCACCTCTTGGGAGATTGTCTCACTGGCCTTCTGGCCCCCCCACCCTGGAGGTGGCACTCTCATGCTGCCCAATTTTATAGATGAGGAAATGGAGACTGAGGGTAGCGAATCATTTGCGCAAGCTCGCGCAGAGCCAGAATTCACACCTGGGGCTGTGTGACTTTGGGGTCTCTGTTATGTTCACAGTGCTCCATTTCTGATGCAACTGAATAGAAGAGAGACATTTTAAAAATGGGCTTCTTGGGGCTTCTGGGTGGCTCAGTCAGTTAAGCGTCTGTCTGTCTCTCTCTCTCAAATAAATAAATAAATAAATAAAAATTAAAAAAAGAGAGAGCGAGAATAAGAGAGAGTACATGAGAGGGGGGAGGGTCAGAGGGAGAAGCAGGCTCCTCGCTGAGCAGGGAGCCTGACGCGGGACTCGATCCCGGGACTCCAGGATCATGACCTGAGCCGAAGGCAGTTGCTTAACCAACTGAGCCACCCAGGCGCCCAAGTTAATGTTTTGAATATTTAGGTTGTGTCATCATATACTGAAATGAGAGTTTATTCCACATGACTTCCCTTTCATGAGGGAGAACAGTGTTCTCTCGCTCTCTCTCGCTCTCTCTCTCCTCTTTCGACTGGCTTGCATTTGGGGACTTCTCTGTTCCGTGGATTTTGCCTCCAATCTGATTCTATCTCCTCAGCATTTTCCAGATGTTCCTTGATCATTCTGGTTCACTGACGGCACCTATCCTGTTTGTCTTTGACTCTGTGGAGTTATTCTTATTTACGTGTATTTATATTCCCTCTGCATTCAATAATATTTTGCAAGGAAGGAGAGGTAATGCATATATCCATCCACCATCTGGAGATAAAAGCCATATTGTATCTTGAAGTATCTGGGCTCTTGTAGAATAAAGGTAGTTTGTGGCTCATTGGACATAAACAGTGTTTGTGATTTTATTACCTAACTCCCGAATCCAGAAGTTCAATGAAGAATATGAAATTAGTGTGGTCCATTGCACTGATACCTTGTGCATGTAAAATTGTGTCCTTTGGCTGATCACTTAAACGTGGTAGAAGATATATTCTGTTGATTACGGGGTAAACATTCGTGTCATGATTTTCTATAAATGTTAGATGGCGAGATAAAAGTATACAGAGTGGTTGACATCGTTCATGCCAGATTTTCTTCCAATAATAAACATACAAATGCCATTTCTAAGGTAGAAACATGTTTTAAATAAGTGAATATTATTTTGTGAGTATAAAATTATAAAAGTAAATGTTTCAAATACAGGCGAGCTCTGAAGAAAAAATAAAAATCCAATCCAACAGAGAGACCGACCACTGTCAATATTCTAGCACTTTGTCTTTAAATTTAAAAGCTTTTATTCTCACTTCAAACATCAAGGGCATTTTCCCATATCATGAAATGCCTATATGAAATTCTTGACTGAATATGGGAAGAAATATAAAGTGCTCAATAGTTCATAAAACTGGGATTTTAAATCCATGTAACTTAAACTTATTTTTATTTTTTTTATTTTTATTTTATTTTTTTTAAGATTTTATTTATGTATTTATTTGAGAGAGAGAGAGAGAGAGAAACAGCATGAGAGGGGATAGGGTCAGAGGGAGAAGCAGACTCCCCGCCAAGCAGGGAGCCCGATGCGGGACTCGATCCCAGGACTCCAGGATCATGACCTGAGCCGAAGGCAGTTGCTTAACCAACTGAGCCACCCAGGCACCCCTTAAACTTATTTTTAAAAGTCTGATGATTCTTATTTGATAATATTCCGACAACTAATGAATTTACAAAAGACATGTGGATCAGTCATGATAGGCTTGGTTATGTTGTGGTAACAAATAATCCCCAAATCTCAGTGGTTTAAAATGACCAAGATTTATTTCTCGCTCAGGCTACATTTCTATCATGGGTTAACAGGAGGGATCTGTTCACTGTAATCCTTCAGGGTCACCACCAACTCAAACACTCTGGTCACCATTTAAAGAGAGTTCTAGAGATTCTTGCACTGGTAATTAAATGGTTGGCCCAGGAAGTGACATCCACTACTTCTGCTCAAAACTCACTGGCCAATTGGAATTCATCCAGGCCAGAAACTTTTGTGCTATAGGGGCGCCTGGATGGCTCAGTCGTTAAGCATCTGCCTTCTGCTCAGGTCATGATCCCGGGGTCCTGGGATTGAGCTCCGCATTGGGCTCCCCGCTCGGTGGGAAGCCTGCTTCTCCCTCTCCCACTCCCCCTGCTTGTGTTCCCTCTCTTGCTGTGTCTCTCTCTGTCAAATAAATAAATAAAATCTTTAAAAAAAAGAAGAGGTTAAACATAGACTTACCATATCTTCCAGCAATTCTACTCCTAGGTATAGACCCAAGAAGATTGAAAACCTGTGTCCACACAAAAACTTGAACATGAATGTTCATAGCATTATTTGTAATAGCCAAAAAAATGGAAATGACCCAAATGTCCATCAGCTGATGAGCAGATAAACAGATCAAATATGGTATATCCATACAAGAGAATAGTATTCCACCATAAAAAGCAATGAAGTGCTCATACATGCCACGACAGGGATGAACCTTGAAAACATTCTAAGTGAAAGAAGTCAGACACAAAAGGCCTCATTTCCTGTGATTCCATTTATATGCAATATCTGGATTAGGCAAATCCATAAAGACAGAAAGTAGAATCGTGGTTGCCAGGGACTATGGGGAAGTGGTAATAGGAAGGGTACTGAGGGGCGTGGTGTTTCTTTTTTGGGTGATGAAATACTCTGGAATTAGTGGTGGTGGTTGCAGAACCTTGTGAATATATTAAAATCCACTACATTGTACCATTTACAGGATGAATTTTATGGTATACGACTTTTTAAAAAAAATGGACTTATACAGCACATGCTTCAATTTCATTTCTTAAATTAAGGTTTTTAATGATGTTCCAATGATTTATGTAACATAATTTTATAATCTTAATTTTTATTCTAATTTTAGGCATAATCTTACTGTAAGACTATGCTCGAACTTTTAAGTCATTGAAAGATTTTTTTTTTTTTTTTAAGATTTTATTTATCTACTTGACACAGAGAGAGAGATAGCGAGAGCAGGAACACAAGTGGGGGGGTGGGAGAGGGAGAAGCAGGCTTCCCGTAGAGCAGGGAGCCCGATGCGGGGCTCGATCCCAGGACCCTGGGATCATGACCTGAGCCAAAGGCAGACGCTTAACGACTGAGCCACCCAGGCGCCCCCATCGAAAGATTTTAAATACAGTTTTCCATTGTATAAATTTCATCAAAATAATATAATAGAAGAGCCATTTACAGTCTTGCTTTTCACCAAAAAAACTAGAAACCTCTCTGGGACCAATTTCTTAAATAGTTACAGTACATTAAATTTATGACTCAGTTTATGATTAGGCATACATTTTTGTGATTATTAAATTGGTAACAATACTACTCACTAGAAAGTCCCTCGAGGATGGGAACCCTGTCTGTTTCGACTCTCCAGCACCAAGCAGTCTGTGTGGCTTGTAGCAGATACTCAATAAATATTTGTGAGAAATGAGTGGGTGATTAGTTAAAAGAGCTAGAATTTCAAAGCCTCCGCTAAAGCCATTTGGCACTTCCAGGGCAATGATAAAAGATACTAATACGGAAGTGAGGTAAGATGGAGAGAAATACAAAGTAAGTCAATTTCCTAAAAGTGATCCTTTCTCCGCTCTGGAAATTTGTCTTTTTAATTCCTTGAGCATCTCTAGCCATCTTCCAATGTTTCTTAAAGATGACTGACTTGTTATTTTGGGTGTATATCTGACCCTTCTTTCAGTGTCTTAAAATATTTTTCATCTGGGGCGCCTGGGTGGCTCAGTCGGTTAGGCGACTGCCTTCGGCTCAGGTCATGATCCCGGAGTCCCGGGATCAAGTCCCGCATCGGGCTCCCTGCTCGGCAGGGAGTCTGCTTCTCCCTCTGACCCTCTTCCCTCTCATGCTCTCTGTCTCTCATTCTGTCTCAAATAAATAAATAAAATCTTTAAAAAAAAATATTTTTCATCTGGGCTTTAGATTAGAATTTAATCAAGTAATTCTGAATTCTCTGGTTATCTTCGTCACTAAGACATATCGGGTTCTAATTCCTTTTTTAATCACATTTATTTTTCCCTTCCTAGTTTGAAGATAATTTTCCTTGCCCGGGAAGGCAGGTTAGTGCGGTGGCTCAGAGCCCAGGCCCTGAAGTCAGGCTAGTCCCTGAGTCCTGGCTCTAATGCTTACTGACCATGTGATTTTAGTCTCTCATACCTTATTTTTCTCATAGGTAAAATGGGAACAATATTAGGACCTACTCTAAGGGTTGTCACAAGGACTAAATGAGTTAATGCATGTAATATGTTCAACGTAGTCTCAATAACTATTAATTTCTATTATTGTCAGCCCAACAGAGGAGTCAGATATTAATTTATCATTTTCTAGCTGCTGCCAGGTTGTAGGTTTAGCTCTTTCTTGTTTGTTTCCATACGGTAATCAGGGCTTACCATGTCAGTCCCGTTTTTCGTGTTCATGATAATCTCCAAAAGCTTTGGCTCATTGAGGGATTTGGTCTTTATTGGCCAATGGAGACTGTTTCAAAAGGAACAGTGAGGATGGCGAGTGACTATTCAGGACATTTGAGGACCTGTCAGAAGAATCATGCTTTTTAAACAGGAAGAAAGGACTAAGTGACGAGGGCAAGATGGGGTAGAGGGAAAAGGAACAGTGCGTTCCTTAATCTACGTAAAGGACTGCAATGTTGATAGGAGCTGACTTGTTCCTTGTGATCCCAGAAGAAAGAGCTGGGGCCACTGGCTATAAGGTTTGCTTCGATCAAAGGCAAGAATTCCTAATAGAGGGCGCCTGGGTGGCTCAGTTGGTTGAGCGACTGCCTTTGGCTCAGGTCATGATCCTGGAGTCCCTGGATTGAGTCCCGCATCCGGCTCCCTGCTCGGCAGGGAGTCTGCTTCTCCCTCTGACCCTCCCCCCTCTCATGTGCTCTCTCTCATTCTCTCTCTCTCAAATAAATAAATAAAATCTTTAAAAAAAAAAAAAAAAGAATTCCTAATAGAGCTTTCCAAACCTACCTCAGTCCAAGTCACCAGCTTCTCTCTCCCACTTACTACAGTAATCTCATAAATTATTTCCCACGTCACTGAGGCCCCTCCAGTACCCCAGTCACACTGCAGCCAAGGTTCTTTTTGTAAAGCGCCGATGTGATCAAATCATTTCCCTACTTATTACCTTTCAGTATCCTTGGAATAAAGACCCCAATCTGTATCATGGCCTGGAAGGCTTACTGGGTCTGGCCCTCCTCCCTCTCCTGTGCCCCCCCTCACTGGACACTCTCCTTCGCTCACAGTGGCCTACCCACACTGGTCTTCACCATTTGCCTCCTCAAACTGCCCACGGGGCCTTGAACAGGCTTTTATCTCTGCTTATGACATTCAGCTTCCATTTTCTCTCATCAATGCCCTACTCTCCCTTCAGATGTTAATTCAGCCATCCATTCTCGAGGAAGCCTCCCTCGAACTTCCTGTCTTGGGCTATTAGATGTTCTCCGAGCATCATGTACCTCTCACCTGCATGCACTTCTTTCCGCTGTTACAATTTAATGGTATTTGTATGATTTTTTGATTAGTGCCTGCAAGGTCCATGAGTGCAGAGATCATGCTTTTTTTCTTTTTTATCCTCACCTGAAGCCTCATTAGGGAGCACAGTGCCTGGTACAGAGTAGGTGCTCAGTAAATGCTTCTTGAACGAATGCATGAACAAACGACCCAAGAGCTGATGAGCTGTGTTGGTAGGAATTACACTGCTTCTACTGGAGATGTTTAAAGCTGAGGATATGCAAACTCAAAGTCCTTTTTAAAAGACTCTGAGTCTATAATCCCAGGGTCCTTGTAATAGAAGTTTACTTGACTTAAAAAGTGGTAATAAACTCACCGAATTGCTGTCGTCAATCTCTGATCCGCCGTCACATTGTGTAGTTGGAAACTGCGTGAGCGCCACCTAGTGACCAGAGGAGATGCGCCTTTCCCCACCCTCACTGTCCCCTCGCGGTTGATGCCTCCTACTGTGTGCCTCCCTCAGCTCCAGGAGGTACCATTCACAGAGACCACGATGTCAATGGTGCCTCGTGGAGTTCTGCAACATGGTGTCCCTGGCCTTCAAGCATGATTACTGGGGAGGGTTTGGGACAGAGGGAAGAGAGCCATTGGAAAGGAACCAGTTGACGATTTAAGATGGTGAGGGAACAAGTAATGGATCAAGATTCAACAGGGGGGACACCTGGGTGGCCCAGTCGGTGAAGCATCTGCCTTCGGCTCAAGTCATGATCCCGGGGTCCTGGGATCGAGCCCCACATCGGGCTCACTGCTCAGCGTGGAGCCTGCTTCTCCCTCTCCCACCGCCCTGCTTGTGTTCCTGCTCTGACTATCTCTCTCTGTGTCAAATAAATAAATAAAAATCTTAAAAAAAAAAAAAAAGAAGAAGATTCTACAGGGAAGAGGAAGCCACAGGGCAAAGGGTACGATGGGCCAGACGCAGATGAGGTATTACGTGGGAAGAAGGCATCCTAAAGGAGAACATCTTGTGTTCTGGATAGTTTTGAGCTTTTAAACTACTCAAAGATAAATACTTTTTCACTGAACATGTCTTGGGAAAATATTATATGAGGTAAGTTTTCTCAAACTTCCCAAGCCTAGACTTTCTATGGGGTTTGGGCTCAGAGGGCAAACAGATGTTCCCTCCTGCCGGCTCACTTCTCTCAATGTGGGAATTCTCTCCCAAATTCCCTGTTAGCACACGGTCCCTCTTTATCCCAAACCCCAGGCTTCTACAGCCCTATTTTGGTATCTTTGGACTGCAACCATTTTTAGCTGAGGCCTCAGTTTCTCTTTAGAGGTAGGAAGGTAGGGCTCCATCTCTCACCACCTTACTCCTTCTGAGGACCAAGACACCGGAGTGCCAATTTTGTCCTTAGAGAAGGGATCAGACACAGGAACCCCCAGTTCAGGAGTTGGCAAGTGACGCCAGTTGGGGTCAACAATCTCTTCCATATCATATCTTAGCTCAGAAGAGCAAGATGGGGAAGGAAGGTGAGGACAGTCCCATTATAAAGGATAAGGGAGGAGCAATCATTTCTGGAAAGCAGAGGTAAAAAAAATAAGAAAGGAAAAGTGAAATGTGACTGGTTAATAAAAACTCTGACAAACACAGAAATTCAATGCCATATAATAGGAGATAGGAAAACTAAAGTTTTCTGTCATAGTAGTAACATGGTAACTATGAAATGTTTTAGATGAAAATGCCTGTTAGGAATGTTGAAGCTAAGGTGGCAAAATAAATCTATCCATTTACAATGTTTTGAAGAAAAGATGTATCACCTGTTTAGTACTAAAAGAAATATCTTAACTCAGTGCACAAATAAAGTAAAAAATCTCTGGTCCCAAAACTCAAAGTCCAGTCTCAGATAAGCACTTATAAAACATATTTTGACATTTGTGGGGAAAGTCACTATAATCTGTAGTAATTACAAAGCCTTACTTATCTAAGGAGACAAGTTTCCTACAATTGTCATCACATCCCTTACAGTGTCTGATAATGATCTGGTTCTTTTCATTACTACAAGGTAAAGTTCATTGGCACATCCTCCTATGCCACTGGTTCCTAACACATCAAATACCTACTCACTAAAGGATCACTTATGCAACCATTTATGACATAAAGTGTAAAGCTAAGAACTGAAAATAACAAAATGGAGGGCTAGCAAGTTGTCCAAAGATGATTCACGGTTCTAAGCAAAAAAAGTGGTTAAAAGTACATTATTTCGCACCACTATATATCTGTTGAGAGTACAAAGAAGCAAAACAAGAGGAGAGAATGAGAACACTGCAATATGTGAAGGAATAAGGATGGAAGATTTTCCCAATTGAGGACTCACAGATTCAAGAAGTCCCAAGCCATAAGCACACTAAATACAAAGAAAAGCACATCCAAGGATATCACAGTCAAACTTCTGAAACTCAGGGACAAAAAAAAAATCTTAAAAGCAGTGTAAGAAACAGGCATGGTAACTTCGAAATAGCAACACTCTGCTCACTCACTTCTCAGCAGTTAAAGAGAATCAACTGAGAACGCATGTTTCTGGAGTCTCTTCGGGAAGAAACTCAACATCTTGAAGATGCCAGCTCGCTCTTAAGAGTTGAAGGTACCGGGCACCTGGGTGACTCAGTCGTTGAGCGTCTGCCTTCGGCTCAGGTCGTGATCCCAGGGTCCTGGGATCGAGTCCCACATTGGGCTCCCTGCTCGGCGGGAAGTCTGCTTCTCCCTCTCCCACTCTCCCTGCTTGTGTTCCCTCTCTCGCTGTTTCTCTGTGTGTTAAAAAATAAATAAAATCTTAAAAAAAGAGTTGAAGGTACCCCCTCTCCCCCAAATATGCTGAAGTCCTAACCCCCAGTACCTCAGAATGTGATCTTACTTGGGAAGAGTCAGTGCAGATATACATAGATGAGGTCATACTAGAGTAGGGTCAGCCGCTTATGAGTCATGTGAAGACACATACACAGGGAGGACACCACGTGACAATGAAAGCGGCAATTACAGTTATGCAGCTGTAAGCAAGAAATGCCAAAGACTGCTGGCAGACTGCCAGAAGCGAGGAAGGACTCCCCTGCAGCTTTCAGCCACAGCACGGCCCTGCTGACGACACCTGGATTTTGGACTTCCAGCCTCCAGAACTATGGGACGATACACTTCCATTGTTTGAAGGCACCCAGTTTGTGGGACTTTGCTAGAGCAGCCCTGTGAAACTAATATGCCTCCCAATTTAATTACTTAGAGAGTATGTATTTTTGAAAAAGAAAAACGAAATGAGGCCAAATGGGGATGTGTCCATACCACATATCAAAACATACAGTAGGTTCATTAAAACAGGGTAGTGCTGACACAAGGACAGACAGAAAAAAATAATAAAACAGAATAATGAGCCTAGAAATAGGCCCATTCTTTTTAGGGATTTAATGCATGATAAATGTGGCATTTCAAATATTGGGGGAAAGATGGAGATTCAATAAATGATCTTGGGACAAGTGGCCTATCCATTTAGAGGAAAAAAATAAACTTAATACCATTGCCTTAAATTATTGGTGAATTAGAGTGAAACATTAAAAATAAAACTATAAAATAACCAGAAAACAAGAATATTTTTATAATCTTGCAGTGGAAAAGTCCCTTAAAAATGTAAAACCTGGGGGTGCCTGGGTGGCTCAGTCGGTTAAGCGGCTGCCTTCGGCTCAGGTCATGATCCTGGAGTCCTGGGATCAAGCCCCGCGTCAGGCTCCCTGCTCAGTGGGGAGTCTGCTTCTCCCTCTCCCTCTGCCTGCCTCTCTGCCTACTTGTGCTCTCTATCTATCTGTCAAATAAATAAATAAAATCTTAAAAAAAAAAAAAAGTAAAACCTGGAGGTTATACAGTTAAAGACTCAGATCTGATCACACAAACCTACTAGGCTATCAATGAAACTAAAAGAGAAAAGTCATACTGGGAGTAAATATTTGCAACTTAATAAAACAAAAGGATTACTGGCTGTATTATATAGAATTTCTACAAGTCAATTAGGAAAAAATATAATGCAATACAAAGGTGAGCAAAGGAAACAAACAGGAAAATTTACAGAAGAAACACAAATGCCCAAACAAATGAAAAGATTTTCAACCTCACTTTTAATCATGGAAACACAAATTAAAATGAGATCTCATTTTTCAAACATCAGATTGGCAAAAATGTTAAAATACAGATAATATCCAGTATTGCTTAAGTATGTGGGGAAATGGGTGCTCTCATATACCACTAAGTGGGTATTTAACCTGCAACAGCCTTTCGGGGAGGAGATCTTTTTTGAAAAGGGCACTTATTTATATGTATTAAAGTCTCATTACAATCATACCAGGTTAATGACAATAATTTGTCTTTGTTTGAATCATATATTTTAATAATAATTATTATGTTACCGGCAAAAATTAACCTGTGGCATATTATACTTCCTCTATTATTACATTTATTATACTTCAGTGTTCTACTTTCAATGTTCTGTCTTCCTTCCTAGAGTATAATCTTCTTGAGGACAGTGACACTGTCTAATTTACTCTTCTGTCTTTAGCACCACACACAGAAACTGTCATACATTACACATCCAATAAATATTTCTTGAATGAGTGAGATTTCTCTCGATTCCCAATCCAGTGGCCCTTGTACAACAGTATCCTGCCAGTTAAACCTGCTCCCTTAAAGAAGTGTGACTTAAGACACTATTTTTCCCTATGTCTCTATAGTCAATCAAAGTGTACAGACTGCATTATGATACTACCGTAAAAAATTCAGAATTGAACAGGATTAGGATCCTAAAATATCATCTAATCTGTCCCCCTTCTTCTATGCAGACCTACCTACAGCTAAACTATTACTAATTACATTTTCCAGCATTTATGGAACGTCTTCTAACTGCAAAGGAAGTTTAGAGTTAATGTTTCCTGTGGTCAGCTTTCCTATTCTGAGCAAGGACTATAATCACCGATTTTTTTTTTAAACCCCATGTACTTGGTAGGGTGCATTTTATTTTATTTTTAAAGATTTTATTTATTTGACAGAGAGAGACACAGCGAGAGAGGGAACACAAGCAGGTGGAGTGGGAGAGGGAGAAGCAGGCCTCCCGAGGAGCAGGGAGCCCGATGCGGGGCTCGATCCCAAGACCCAGGGATCATGACCTGAGCCGAAGGCAGACGCTTAATGACTGAGCCACCCAGGGGCCCCTGGTAGGGTGCCTTTTAGATGTTTCAGTGAGTACTTGATTAAATTCTACAAACTGATATTTTTTCCTTATCAGCTTAGTTTCTGGAAGCCTGCATCTCAGAATTCTAAACCATACCTCTGTTGTTGTTGCTGAATCTGAGGTTTCTGGATTTGGGTAGCCAGAAAGAACCCATGATAACCCCCCTAAAAATGTCATCACTGACCCTGTCTTTCTTACTTCCTAGTATACTGGTGACCTGACTGTCATTAAAACTCCCTGTGGTTACAACTATTCTCTCAACTCAGAACCATCCCCACAATCAGCCAGGCAAAGGTGTGTGTGACTGTCCTAATCTTTGCCACGTTCCTCAGATCATCTAACTGAATTCTTTGGGGTTTTTTTTCAGGGCTGACTCTGATATTGTTAGAGAAGTAGAGACAAGAAGATGAACACAAGGACCAGATGCTAGAGGCTTTTCCTTTCAGAACCTCACAAACGATGTCATGATGTCAGGCATTTGAGCTACAAAGAGGCTCAGGAAACATGACGACTAATTCCCTCATTTGCCCAAGACACAATCAAGCCTAAGGTCACGCAGCCAGCCACTGGCAGCACGAGGACTATAGCCTCTCTCCATTCTCAAGTTCAGTATTACTTCTCTCCCTTTAAAAATAGTCCAAGCACAACTTATGAAAAGAAAATGACAAGAATAACCAAAAGAATATTTTGAATTATCAGTCAAATCCAGAGATAAAAATTATTAAAAATCAGTGGTTTAGAAGTCTGTAGCAATGGGCTATTCAAGTTTTCCAGAGTCTTTCTAAAGACACGAATACATTATAAATTGTTTAAATAATGATGACCATACCAATGTATCTATTTTTAATCAAACAGGTGGACAGCTGTAAACATTTTAAATGGACAGCCTCCCCGTTGCCATAGGCAACCTGAATGCCTATAAAGCAAATCTCCACTCACAAATGACAATGGGATCGGTATAAATCTGAAATCAATATGCATTTCAACGGTCTAAGCCCAAGCTGAAAATATAGACAGCAAAGCTTTGAGAATTGGCTAAGATGTCTTCTTTTCTATGTTTAAAATAAACTAAACTGAAAATGAGACACACTTGGAAGAGAAGGAAATCCGATACATTTAGTTCTGTTCCAAGAGGGCATAGTTGAGCTCTTCAAACTGAAGTACCTTGTAACTCAAGAATGACAGAAACATGAAGTAACTGTAGAGATTTCTTCCAGTGCATATTAGTGTTGGTGGATAGTAGATCATTTATAATTTTTTAAACCTGTATTTGAATTTTTCTGGAGAAATTACTGTTCTCGATATATCCATTTAAAAATATATATATGTGAACGACGGAACTATCAGGAATTTTGCCCAATGATTATCCCAGACACTGGCCTGGGTACATGAGAGGAAGTGGGATCTAATGCACAAGTAGAGGGGTTGACCATAAATTAGAGCACAGATCTTTACTCTATAGTAACAGGAGGACAGATTACACGGGAATACTTCCAGGAAGGTTGGTGGATGTGAGAGTGAGAGCCTTTGGAAGTTCTTTTTTTGGCTGTTCTCTTCTCTCAGTGAAACAGGAAGCAGGATCATCAGCTGAGGGTGAACGTGGGGAAGGAGCTGGAGGTCTGATGTCAGCAATGTATCAGATAGTTGGCAGGAGTGGGAGAGTAAAGAAAACAGGGAAGTCATCTTTCACCTGGATCACTGCCTTAGTTCCTAACTAAATGTCCTATGTCTGTTCTTGCTTCCATACAGTCTGTTCTCAACAGAGCATCCAGAACGGTTCCTTTAACATATAAGTCAAATCATGTCACTTCTCTCCTCAAAATCCTCCTACAAAAATCGGTAAATTGCATGTAAATTATACCTCAATAGAGCTGATTAAACAATAATTACTACAGACACCTTCCTATGGCTTCTCTTCTCCCTCTGAGTAAATGCGAAACTCCTACACAGCCCTGTGTGATCTGGACCCCTCTTACCTCTCTCATCTCAACATCTACTATGCTGTTACTCACTCTTCTGTCCACAATGGCCTGCATAAAGGCTCAGCATATTTGAACCTCTGGGCCTTTGCATTTGCTGTTCCCTCTGCCTGGGAACTCCCCACCCCAACCTCACCTATGTGCAAGGCTCACCCTCTCATTTTCTTCAGGTCTCTACTCAATGTCACACTCATGAAATAACAGCTGTCCTAGGTTCTCCCTAAGCCTAGTACTCTAGTGTAGTTTCCTCTGCAAGTCACTCTCTGACACACTTATATTTACTTGTTTATTGTCTGTGTGCCCACCCTAGACCATCAGTTCTATGTACACAGGGACTTTGCTTTGTTCACTGCTGTATCCCCAGTGCCTCAAACATTACCTGGCAAAAAAGCAGGCCCTCAATTAACATTTATTCAATGAATGAAAGAAAGAAAAATCTTTCCTCCCTCTGGGCACAGAGATGGTATTTCAGGAAAGAAAAAGTAAAACCTAGTTGTTACAAACTTACTTGTATGTTTTATGTGTACAAAGTTGCCAAACAGGCCCAAGAAAGTATGCCACCTGGAGTGAAGTGTGAGATGGAAAATTCTGCTGTTTCCTCAGTCTCAATTCTCACATGCTTCTCATAAGTGAGCCTCTTGCCATGCCAGGAGTTAGTTCAATGTTTAAAGAACATATTTGTGTACATTTCTACATATATTACTGCATAATTGTATACATGTAATGTGTACATATAACTTATGAGCAATTTAAGAAAATTTCAAAGGATATTTAACTACATGAGATTTTTCAAACTTCGGGTGGGAACTTTAGAAATTAAAACCAGCTTAATGTACAAATTGGCCTTGAAAAGTTTTGCTCACCAAAGACAATGTAGTCAGGTCTTCCTTCTTAATGCCATCTTATCTACTCAAATAGAGACCCGAGAAGGCAGAGCTGAAAAAGACAGGGGCCCTGAGAAGTCAGGATTGTCTTTATGGGAACCCTGTCTGACTACCTGGATGTGACTCACAACAATCACTGCTCTTCATAGCCCACAGAAAGTAGGGAAGCAATTCCACAGCTCCTTACAGAAGAGGATTCAGAAATTTGCCTACAAAACAAAAAACCTCTGGAGAAACTGTTTTCAGAGGAAAGGGCAAAGAAGTGGATGTCAGAAGACCTACATCCTACATTCGGGGGTGGGGTGCTACTAAGTTCCTAGATCAGTTTTCCTCTAATTCCCAAACAAGGTCTGGAGCAGTCGTCCTTACCCCTTTGACTATCTGATCCCAGCACAGCCAAAGGCCCCGCGCAGCCCCACGCTCCGCGCTCCTGACCTACCCCCCAACTCCCAACTCACCAGTGACAGCCCAAACCCCGACCCTTAAGTCTGGAATGCCCAGCCAGAGCTCTGCCTCCCCCTAACCCAGACACAGCCCTAGACCCGCTTAAACCCGATGTGGAGTCCAGATGACCGCTTCGCGCTGAACTCGGACCCGAACCCGGACCTCCAATTCTCTGCCTTTCTCCCGCCCCCACCCCTAAGCCGGGACGACGCGCTATCCAAGCCCCTCGCCACCCCGCCCCATCCCCTGAGGTCGTGAGAATTCCTGAGCGGAGGTCCCTCCCCAGCTACCACCCGGGTGCCGGCGTCAGGGAAAGAACAATCTCACCGGCACCAAGGAGAAAGGAACACCCTCCGGCTATCCAGAACCCCCTACCCCGCAAGCCAGGAAGTGCGCTTGCGCACGCGGCCGCCTAGAACTACATTTCCCAGCGTGCTCTGCAAAGGACGGGCGCCCGCGAGCCGCGTCTCCTAGGGGCTCCGGAGTTGCCTTTTCCTCTCGTGGCTGCTTGCAAGCGGCGTAGCCTTTCTTTCCTTATTCAAATAAAAAGAAAAAAGGGACGAAGAAAAGCTTTTTCTTTCGCAATAGGCAAATATGAATCCGAAGGGATGCAGATTTTTCGTTAACCTTTACATAAAAGGAATACCTATTCATTATATTAATAGATGATTCAGCTGGAATATAACCTTTTATTCAACAAGCTAAAAAGGGTGGGGGGAAAAAAATCAACCCCAAACTAGATGGAATTCCTTAACAAAGAGATAATCACCGTTAACACTGTGGTATACACACAGTATTCTAAAAATAAGTCTCACAATCAGCCCCATTCTTCGTTGGGGCTTGGGGCTTCTTTTTTCAGGATTGTTAGCATACTCTAGACCCTTTGTGATGGTATTTTATTTCCCTTTCAACTCAAAATTCTCTTTTTTTTTTCAAGATTTTATTTATTTGAGAGAGAGAGCGCGGGCATGAGCAGGGGGAGGAGCAGAGGGAAAAGCAGACTCCCCGCTGTACAGGGAGCCAGAGGTGGGGCTCCACAGAGGACCCCAGGATCATTTCCTGAGCTGAAGGCAGGCGCTTAACCAACTGAGCCATCCAGGCGCCCCAGAATTCTCATTGTTAGTATATAAAATATAATTACTGTATTACTTCTATTCTGTAACCTTGCTAAAGTCACTTACTGGATTTATTTATTTTTATGTTTTTTACAATATATCCTAAACATATGAAATTCTTAAAGAAAATTTAACACAGTATGGGTAAGGCTTGCATGTTGAATACTACAAAACATTACACAGAGAAATTAAAGACCAAATAAATAGAGGGGATATATCATGCTTATGGAAAGGAAGATTCAAATTGCTGAGATGGTTATCTCTAAATTGATTTATAGGTTCAATTAAATCTAAATCAAATCTCTTCAGGTTTCTTTGTAGAAATTGACAAGCTGATTCTAAAATGATGTAAAAATGCAAAGGGTCTAGAATATGCATAACGATCCTGAAAAAAGAAAAATAAAGTTTATTTCAACACAACAGAAAACTAAAGAATAAATACAATGTGGTAAGAACAGATGTAAATATCAGTGAAAAAAAGAAAGTACAAAAATATATATACTTGATTTCTGACAGAGGTATTATGGTAATTCAACAGAAAAGGATAATCTTTTTTTGGAAAATGGTGCTAATCAATTACATATCCCTATGCAAAAAATATGTACCTCAATTTTAATTCACAAATATATTAAAATTAACTGAATAGGGCTCTTAAACATAGATGTAGGAGCTAAAACTACAAAAATCTCTAGAAGAAAACAAAGGGAAAAAATCTTTGTGACTTTAATTTAGGCAAAGATTTCTTGAACACAAAAAGCACAAACCATAAAAGGAAAGATTGATAAACTGGACTTCTCAAAATTAAAAGCTTTCCTCCTCTGAAGAGACTGCTTAGAAATTGAAAAGAGAAACTAGATAGGGAGAAAACATTTGCAAAATATATCTGATAAAACTTGTATCTAGAACACAAAAGGAATTATTATCACTCCATAATAAAAAGACTAATGATTTGATTTTTTAAAATGAGTATAAGATTTGGAAAATCACCAACATAGATAAACAAATTGCCAATAAGCATACATAAAGATGCTCAGCATCATTAGATTTTAGGGAAATGCAAATTAAAACCACAAAGTAATACCACTACACATCTCCTAGAATGGCTACATTTTTTTTTTTAAACTGAGGGCCATTTTACAAAAAACCTGAAAGGTACTCCTCAAAAAGTACAAGATCATGAAAAACAGGAAAGAGTAAGAAGGTCAGTTGTGTGGTTTTTGTTAACATTTGTTAAGTACGGTCTTGGGGTGTCCGATGTCAAGGCAAAGTTCAACAAAGACTGCAAGGGAAAGTGATCTAGTTTTATGTTTGGTCAATATCATGCTGTCCTTACACTTAGGACAATACTTACACTGACTCACAGGTCCTGGAGGAGATACATGGCACTCAAGGACACACATGGGGAGGTTAAGGCAGGGGACAGGCAAAGAGTGAGCAACAAGAGTTGGAGCATATGGCTTTTCTAGGGCTTGAGGGTCTAGTGCTTTGGGATCCTTGGGCTAAGGCCAGATTGGTCAATTCAAACTAAGAAGAATGAGGTTTTGGTAAGTTTTGCAGGGGTCTTATCTAAGGGGCCCATAAGGGAAGGATGCACAATCCCAGGAGAGGCTGCTTACCACAAAGACTACTTACTTGTGATTCAGCAGGCTGTTATCTGAGGGAGGCATGCACATGAGGGAGGGGCCAATGTCAGTTCAAGGCCACTTAGCCACACAAAATGGATGCCAAGGAGGCAATACTATGAAGTAATTTAGCTAACCAATAGTTGCAGGCCAGAGGAGACAAAGGAGACATGATGACTAAATCCTACATGAAATCCCTGCGTTGAATTCTGGAACAGAAAAAGGATAGTGGAATTCAAATAAAGCCTGGGATATGATTAATATTAATGTAAATGTTAGTTTTCTAGTTTTCACAAATGTACAATGATAATGTAAGATGTGAACATCAGAAGAAACCAGGTGGCGGGCATGTGGGAACTCTCTCTACCAGCTTTGTAACTTTTGTAAATCTAAAATTATTATTATTTTTTAAAGATTTTATTTATTTATTTGAGAGAGAGAGACTGAGAGAGAGAGCACATGAGAGGGGGGAGGGTTGGGAGGGTCAGAGGGAGAAGCAGACTCCCTGCAGAGCAGGGAGCCCGATGGGGGACTCGATCCAGGGACTCCATCCAGGGACTCCAGGATAATGACCTGAGCCGAAGGCAGTCGCTTAACCAACTGAGCCACCCAGGCGCCCTAAAATTATTTTCAAACAAAATGTTGATTTAAAAAAAATCAGTTGGGGGCGCCTGAGTGGCTCAGTTGTTAAGCGTCTGCCTTCAGCTCAGGTCATGATCCCAGGCTCCTGGGATCAAGCCCTGCGTCAGGCTCCCTGCTCCGCGGGAAGCCTGCTTCTCCCTCTCCCACTTCCCCTGCTTGTGTTCCCTCTCTCGCTGTGTCTCTCTTTCTCAAATAAATAAAAGCTTAAATCTTAGAAAAAAAAAAAAAAAATTTAACCTTTGTAGATTCCTTAGGATTTTAAATGTATAAGATCAGGTTGTCATGAATAAAGAAAGTTTTACTTCATCCTTCCTAATTTGTATGCTTTCTTATTTTTTTTTCCTTTGCTTATTACATTGGCCAGAACTTCTATTACATTGTTGAATAAAAATGAGGGGGTGCCTGGGTGGCTCAGTCAGTTAAGCATCTGACTCTTGGTTTCAGCTCAGGTCATGTTCTTGGTGTCCTGGGATTGAGCCCTGAGTTGGACTCCACATTCAGTGTGGAGTTTGTTTGTCCCTCTCCCTCTGCTCCTCCCCCCCGCAACCCATTCTCTCTCTCTGGAATAAATAAGTATCTTTTTAAAAAATGAGGACGGGGCGCCTGAGTGGCTCAGTTGTTAAGCATCTGCCTTTGGCTCAGGTCATGATACCAGGGTCCTGGGATCAAGCCCTGCATCAGGCTCCCTGCTCTGAGGGAAGCCTGCTTCTCCCACTCCCCCTGCTTGTGTTCCCTCTCTCGCTGTGTCTCTGTCAAATAAACAAATAAAATCTTGAAAAAAAATGAGGACAGATATTTTTGATTGGTTTCTAATCTTATGTAGAAAGAAGTAACCATGAAACTGGTTGAAGTAGAGAAGTTACCATCTGTTGTTCATTTGTTGAGTTTTCATCACAAATGGATGTTGAATTTTGTCAAATGCTTTTTCTACATCTATGGGAATGTTTTTCCCCTCATCAAAAAAAAATTTGGTGAACTACATGGATGGATAATTAGCTATTTAAATAAAATATTGCATTCTTGGAATACACTCCAATTGGTCAGGACATAGTTCACTTTTTATGTACTGGTGGATTCAAAATATTTTCTTAAGCTAGGCTCCATGCTGGGCATGAACTCACAACCTGGGGCCTGAACCCATGACTCTGAGATCAAGACCTGAGCTGAGAGTCAGATGCTTAACCGAATGAGCCACCCAGGTGCCCCTCAAAAATATTAATTTTAAAGCAATTTTCACATCTACAGTTATCAGGGATATCAGCTTGTAATTTTCTTTACTTATAATGTCTTCATCTGGTTTTGGTTTCAGGGTAATACTGATCCAATATGATGAGTTGGAAAATGTTAATCCTCCTCTACTTTCTAAAGTTTTTGAAGAATTAGTATTATTTCTTCCTTAAATATTGATAGAATGCCCCAGTGAAGCCTCTAGACCCATAATTTTCTTTCAGGGAAGATTTTAAATTACAAATTCAATATCTTTAATCAGTATAGGGCTATTTGTGCATTCTAATTCTTCTTTACTCAGTTTTGGTAACTTATGCTATTTCAAGGAGATCTTCCATTTTACCTAAGTTGTCAAATTTTCGAAGTAAAAGTCATTAATAACTCTGTATCATCTTTTTGACTATAAAATAGTGGTGCCACCTCCTTTATTCCTACTAGTACTTTTTGTCTTCTATTTCTCTTGATCAGTCTATCCAAAGATTTACCAATTATATTGATTATTTCAATGAATCACCTTTTGTTCTCATTGATTTTTGTTTGCATATGCTCTGGTTTAGGAATTGGCGAACATTTTTCTGTAAAGGGCCAGATAGTGGATATTTTAGGTTTTGTGATCCACCTATGGTTTCTGTTGTGTAGTCTCTGTTTTATTCTTTTTTTCTTTTCTTTTTGTTTGGTTTGTGTGTTTTATAACTCGTTAAAAATGTAAAAATGAATCTTAGTTTAAGGCCTGTATGGGAACAGGCCACTAGCCAGGTTTGGCCTATAGTCTGATCCCTGTTCTAGTTCATTGATTTGTGCTCTTCCATTTATACTTATATCTTCCTACTTATTTTGGGGTATCATTTGCTCATATCTTTCTACCTTCATAAGATGGAAACTTAAATAATTGATTTTACACATTCCTTCTTTTCTAATAAATCATTTAAAATTATAAATTTTATTCTAAGCTCTGGTCTAGTGACATCCCCAATACCCACACACACAATGAGTCCTGACTTTCCACTGAAGGCTCTCCCACACTGAATATATTTATATGATTTCTTACTGGTTAGAATTTCGGTTGTACAAAGAGGTGTGACTTCTGCATGAAGGCTCTGATGTGTTCATTAGATGTTCTGTTCAGATGAATTCCTTTTCCCGGCACATTGTTTCATTCATAATCTATCTCCTCAATTCTGACATATTGTATTTTCATTCAATATTATCTAAACATTTTCTAATTTCTCTTGTGACTCATCTCTACCTAGGCTAACAAATGGAAATTCAGTTTTCTCTACCTTTTCAGAAAAAATTCCATGGTGTGCCTCTTTCCCATCCTACCCACTCACATTTACATAATGCCATTTTGTTCTGTTATACCCTAAGAATGTCCAAAGTAGGGTAGATTAGACTGTGAAGTGTGTAACTGTGATAACTTGAAGTTGAAATAAACATAATACCTAAGCATTTGTGTGACCAGCAGCATATAAAACTTAAAGTAAGCATTAACATCTCAATAGCAAGCATGTTAACATTTTAATTATTTAATTTCCAAACCATTTAAAACCATATTTTCAGAATTACTAGGGTAGTTCCACTTGTTTCAACTTTTAACTCTGCCTGAAAACTCCAAAATATGTTTATATATAGCATGTTTCAGAGTCCTTAGATATGAGTCATGGTATCTTGTGTAATCTCTTAAATTCCAGTTGTTTAAGGAGACCAGTACCTAATTAATTCATAGTACCCAAGAAATATCTATTAGTAATACTACTGAAGTATACAAGTAAATAGGCTCAGATAACAACATATTAGGAGGCAAGTTAAAAAAAAAAACCTGGGGGGCGCCTGGTGGCTCAGTCAGTTGAACATCGACTCTGGATTTTGGCTCAGGTCATGATCTCAGGGTCGTGGGATCAAGGCCCGCGTCAGGCTCCACACTCAGTGCAGAGTCTGCTTGTCCCTCTCCTTATGCTCCTCCCCCCACTCCTCCCCCTACTCATGCTCTCTCTCAAAATAAGTAACATCCTTAAAAAAAAAAAAACACTAAAATTTCCTACTTATCTTATGTTAATGGCAATACTAGCTATGTATAAGAAACCATTAAATAGAAGGCAAAACATTGAAAATAGAGATATTGAATCTCCTAAGCACCTGAGACTTGAAATGACTATAGAAGGGGCAAAGCCTTCTTCTTCCTGAAGTCATGCACAGAATTAACGGGATGATAGGAAGGATAAGGGCGAGAAAAACAATGAATTCTAATTATGGAAGGCTCTCTGAAAATATTACATAGTTTCATATGAGGCCTGACAGGCAAACTAGATCTGAAAGAAGTTCTAATAGACAGGAATTCCACAAATTATTGGCTGCACAAGCGGTATTATCATATAGTTTCCAAGATGACAACAATGAAGGCGAGATACACATTAATAGTTTAGTTTCTGACGTGTTTAGAAAATGAATGTCCTACATTTACTTAACAGCTAAATATTTATCTTCAAAAGTGACTTAAAAAATGACTAATAAAAGAATTACATGACTGCAATTCACTATTTAGTTTAAAATTATTATTTGTGGAGTGCCTGGGTAGCTAAGTCGGTTAAGTGTCCCTTTTTGATTTTGGCTTGGGTCATGATCTCAGGGTCATGAGATCAAACCCCACATTGGGCTCCACACTCAGCACAGAGTCTGCTCGAGATTCTCTTTCCCTCGCCCTCTGCCCCTCCCCCAGCTCACACTCACTCTCTAAATAAAATCTTAAAAAAATAAATTATTTGAAAGTTAAGATTTACAGTGAAAATCATGGCTGCTGTTGACCGTTTTCAATTTTAAAACATTTTTAATTTAAAATCTAAGAAAAAATGTTTGATTAAAAATTTAGGATCAAGGGGCGCCTGGGTGGCTCAGTCGTTAAGCATCTGCCTTCAGCTCAGGTCATGATCCCAGGGTCCTGGGATCGAGCCCCGCATCAGGCTCCCTGCTCCGTGGGAAGCCTGCTTCTCCCTCTCCCACTCCCCCTGCTTGTGTTCCCTCTCTCTCTGTGTCTCTCTCTGTCAAATAAAATCTTAAAAAAAAAAATTTAGGATCAAGCTCTATGGTGTATCAGCTTCACCTTCATTTCAAGGAAAGACTGAAAAAGGTTTTTTGCTATCAATCCTTCTTTTCCTAATATTGCTTCACAATGAATATTTACAACTTACATAAGGTTAAGTTATTGTGCTTGAAAAGGAAAGGATGCCCTGGATAATAGAATTTGTAAGAAAAGTTATTAGTGATGATAAAATGACAACTCAACAAAACAATTTTTTTCAAACAAATTATAAAATAATAGTATAATTTCTATGTTCAGACTGATCACAAAAAAATGTATAGGGCAGCAAAACAGGTATCCCTGAACCAATATCTCAAAATATACCTCTAAGAGCTTCTACATGTAAGACACTAAAACTTAATACCTCCTTTGAAATGCATTTTTCTTGTTAATTTATTTAACATAATGTAGGGACAGGATACAGAATACCATATGATGTCCAGTCAAATTCAATTCAATTCTGTCTGGAGCTGAAGTGACATTACATTCAGTCCTGCTTGTCTCGAGTGGGACAGAATCCTGTGGAGGCTAAGAGGCTGATCTGAATCTCAGCCCTCCACTTACCAGGCCCATAGCTTTAGCTGAATCAGGGCACCTCTCTGGGCTCCACTTGCCTCATCTATAAAATGGTAATAATCTCAGTTTCATATATTTGCTCTAAGGATTAAATAAGAAAATACATGTCAAAGTGCTTAGCAGAATGTGTGTGTGGCAGAAATATCCAATAAAGGAAGCTTAAAAAAATTCAATTCTAAGAATCACAAGGATATAAAGATCCCAAGCTATGCATACCAGTACTCACATAAGTCCTATGAGTTGAAACAAGACTAGGAACAGGAATTTCTTTGTGTAGAACTATTTTTATCATGTGTTGAATACGCCAACATTGCTTACAGCCACATCACTGCCTGCTTTGCCTGTTGTTTAATGTCTCTCTTAACTATATGCTTTACACCAAGTGATATTTTTAAAAGTCCACCACTTTTTTTTTAAGATTTATTTGAGAGCAAGGGAGAGAGAGAGTGCACAGGGGGGAGGGGCAGAGGGAGATGGAGAGAATCTCAAGCAGACTCCCTGCTGAGCACGGAGCCCAATGTGAGGCTTGATCCCATGACTCAGATCATGACCTGTTCTGAAATCGAGAGTCAGACACTTCACTGACTGAGCCACCCAGGCGCCCCTCTACCACTAACTTTTGATGTCTCTATAAATGCACTGGCTTCATCTTCTCTTAATTCTATATACCTTAAGAAAGAGTGGGGGAAGATCTATTTGTTATTTAGTTACAATTTATCCTTTTATGTTTTTTAAGACGTGGGGAAAATGGTGTCGTTTAGTGTGGAAAGTAAGGCAGGTGCAAAGATCCATATTCACTTCCAAATGACAGATAATTTGGGTTATGAATGCCATTTCTACATCACTTGTAGAATGATCACATACAGTAGTCACTTTGTTGTCCTGATTAATCAATTTGCAGTTGACCCTTGAACAACACAGGTTTTAACTGTGCAGGTCCATGGATTTTTTTTTATTAATACAGTACAGTACTATAAATTTATTTTTTCTTCCTTATGACTTTCTTAATAACATCTTTTCTCTAGCACATTTAATTGTAAGAATACAGTATGCAATACATATTACATAAAAATATGTGTTGATTGACTGTTCATGTTACCAGTAAGGCTTCCAGTCAATAATAGACTATTAGTAGTTAAGTTTTTGGAGAGTTAAAAGTTATACATGAATTTTCAACTGCACAGGGGGACCCTAATCCATGTTGTTCAATGATCAGCTGTACTCACTCATTAAAAAAATTTGTACCTTGGAATGCCTGGGTAGCTCAGTCGTTTAAAAAATTTGCACCACATGTGATCAAGCCAATCACCTATGGTTGAGATTTTTCTACATACTTAAAAAACTTACTATTAGGCTGAACCAAGATGTCCAATATAATTTTTTGGATACATGATTTTTCAAACTTGCTTCTCAGTATGGATTTTCTGGTGCTTAATAGTTTGGGAGCTATTGTGGAAGGCTTCCCATGTTTAGTATATTCATAGAGTTTTTAGACTTTGTGAATTCTATGATGTGTGATGAAATTTTAATCATTTAAGTTTTCTCATTCCATTAAAAGGGTTTCTGTTTCGTATGAATTCTCTGATGAACAGTCAGAGTAGATTTCTTGCTGAAAGCTTTTCTACAAATACTACATTCATAGGGTTTTTCTCCAGTGTGTATTCTATGATGTACAGTGAGGTGTGACTTCTTACTAAAGGCTTTTCCACACTCAGTGCATTCATACGGCTTCATCCCAGTATGGATTCTTTGATGAACAGTGAGTTGTGATTTCTGGATAAAAGCTTTTCTGCATTCACTGCATTCATAGGGTTTCTCCCCAGTATGAATTCTCTGATGTTCAATGAACTGTGAGCTCCGGATAAAGGCTTTCCCACAATCACAGCATTGATACCTTTTGTCCCCAGTGTGAGTTCTCTGATGTACAATGAGATCTGACTTTTTAATGAAGGCTTTTTTACATTCACTACACTCAAAGGGTTTCTCTCCAGTGTGAATTCTGTGATGTACACTTAGTTCTGACTTCCTGTTGAAGGCTTTTCCACACTCTTTACATCCATGGGGTTTCTCCCCAGTATGAGTTCTCTGATGTACAACAAGCTGTGACTGCCAGATGAAGGCTTTTCCACAGTCACTGCATTCATATGGTTTCTCCCCAGTATGAGCTCTTTGATGAATACTAAGTGTTGACTTCTTGATGAAAGCTTTCCCACATTCCTTGCATTCATAGGGTTTTTCCCCTGTGTGAATCCTCTGATGAATAATGAGGTTTGACTTCTGGATGAATGCTTTCCCACACTCACCACATTTATAGGGTTTCTCTCCTGTATGAATTCTCTGATGTACAGTGAGTTGTGACTTCTGAATAAAGGCTTTTTCACATTCATTACATTTGTATGGTTTCTCCCCAGTATGAATTCTCTGATGTGCAATGAGTCCTGACTTTCCACTGAAGGCCTTCCCACACTGAATACATTTATATGATTTCTCACTGGTTAGAATTTTTGGTTGTACAAAGAGGTGTGACTTCTGCATGAAGGCTCCGATGTGTTCATTAGATGTTCTGTTTAGATGAATCCCTTTCCCCAGTACATTGTTACATTCATGATCTATCTCCTCAGTTAGTGGCTTATTGCTAATGAATGCAACTTGATTCAAAAGCTTGTCTTGGTTTTCCTGGTGATTTATCTCATCTTCAAGTCTCCAATCTTCAGAAGTTGAGTATACAATCATGTTATGAAGTATCACTTGTTCAGAAATGCTCTTCCATGGTGTTAATTCTTTCATCTTGGGTCTAATACAAAAGTCTGAAAAAAGCCCAAGTGTAAATGATGTTACTTCACTCTTGAGCTCTGAAGAATACAAAACAAAGCACAAAAATAAAAAACAAATAAAGCTCTTCATTTTAATAGAAACAGATAGAAATCTGATAATGAGTGCAATCAGTTTTGAAATGTAAGAATATGACCTTAAAACTCAAAGACAGAAGAAGAAACAGACCTAAAAGAAAAAGAAGTGAGTAAGGGAGCAATGGAAAAAGAAGAGGTGATGAACTCAGTGTCAAAGTTCCACGAGGCACCAGGGCCAATCCACCACAAGGCTCTGTGAAGAGCAGAAGCAGATCAAAAAATCATTTCAGGAAAGACAGAGGAAGGATGCTAGCAAAGGAGACTGAAGGTGAGTTGAAGTGACCAGCAGAAAGATTAAATCCACACTAAATATAACAATATTCATAAATATTTTATAAGTAACCAGGTAGAAGCACAACTACAGGGTAGGGCTTTCCAAGTACATTCATCTTAAAGAGTCAGATGACACAAAAAGCATGGGATGGGACAGGCTCTATTAAAAGGGGGAAACTGAGTTTGAAGAATAGGCAGTTTCAGAGAGAGGGGAAAAAAGGCAAAAAAGGAAGGAAGAAATACCTGCTCATAATTGGGTGGTGTTAATGGGGAAAGAAAACAAGGGAAATTCAGGGTCCTGGAAGACAAAGAGAACCACAAAACCAGAAAAGCCGAAACTCCTCTTCAATCCAAAAGAAAGGAAGGAGGGAAAGGCCCTGCTATATTAACAGAGAAGGACTCCATAATATTTAAAAATCTTATGAAAATACTGTAATGTAATAAAAATGAACAAAGAAATATATGGTCCATAGAGAACTACTACAGAAAATCAGGAAATGAATTTGTGCAGCTATCAACAGAGGAAATTGTCCCTTGTCAAACCAAAACCAAAAAGAAAACTAGCCATAAAGCAAAATAAAATTTTGTCTGAACTCTAAACAGAATTAAATATACTCAAACAAGCATTTCAGGTCATGGAAAACCACCATGAATCAGAACTTATTTAAAAAAGAAAAAAACAAATAAACAAAAAATGGAGTGATGAAAAAGAATTGGTTAAACTTTGGGGGGGGGAATGAAAGATTAAATTATGAGGTGTGGGCAGGGGGTAAGGAGAATTTCTTTTTTTATTATTAATTTTTTATTGTTATGTTAATCACCATACATTACATCATTAATTTTTGATGTAGTGTTCCGTGATTCATTGTTTGTGCATAACACCCAGTGCTCCATGCAGAATGTGCCCTCTTTAATACCCATCACCATGCTGACCCATCCTCCCACCCCCCTCCCCTCCAGAACCCTCAGTTTGTTTTTCAGAGTCCATCGTCTCTCATGGTTCATCTCCCCCTCCGATTTCCCCCCTTCATTCTTCCCCTCCTGCTATCTTCTTCTGCTTTTTTTTCTTAACATATATCGCATTATTTGTTTCAGAGGTACAGGTCTGTGATTCAACAGTCTTGCACAATTCACAGCACTCACCATAGCACATACCCTCCCCAGTGTCTATCACCCAGCCACCCCATCCCTCCCACCACCACTCCCCACTCCAGCAACCCTCAGTTTGTTTCCTGAGATTAAGAGTTCCTCATATCAGTGAGGTCATATGATACATGTCTTTCTCTGATTGACTTATTTCGCTCAGCATAACACCCTCCAGTTCCATCCACATCGTTGCAAATGGCAAGATCTCATTCCTTTTGATGGCTGCATAATATTCCATTGTATATATATAGGGGGTAAGGAGAATTTAATAAGCAGCACTGAAAAAGGCAGGAAAACAGCCAACATAATAAAAATAACATAAAAAATCCAGTAAAAATGGTCACAGAGAAAGGAGAAAAAGAAGAAGGCAAAGTAGTATTTATATTACTGGAGTATCTGAAAAATTTAAAAACACAAAGCATAAGATTATAACTCTAAGACATATCACACTGAAAGAAGGTGAGAAAAACAAGGTAATTATAAAGGATATGAATATCATTCAATAAGTTACTTTGATAGAGGGCATATCTAAGACTGGGGAAATGCATAAAGGGAGGAATATAAGCCCATTCTGGAAGAATAGGGTGCTGAAGATGTTAGCCAAAGAGAGGTTAACTAAGAAATGTCCTAAATGACATGGGCATAAATAAGATCCAAAGTACAGGTAAGGGGGTTACTTCTCTCTCTCTCTAAAAGTTAAGCAAAGAAAATGGATTGCATGGTTGTTAGATATGTAGCAGTGTTATTTAGGTATTTGACAATCCCACACCAACTGTCTTCAGCCATTTCTAGACATCTATGACCTTAAAGAATGATTTCCTAAAAAATATTTCAAAGATAAATGTCTCATTAATCAGGATTAATCTTACATCCCTGTCTCCCATATGCCAGGTTCTCACTTACCTGAGTAGGCCCAACTTGAGATTTCTTCCTCCTTCATCCATGGTTCTCCTCGCTTCAATGAGATTACATCTGACTTCAGAGACTGACATCCTGTTTATGGGAAATGATACAGGACTTGGCCATTAGTGGACATCCAACCATCCTAGAACTCAAGCCCACCACATATGCACCAGAATAGCTAAAATTAAAAAGACTAACATTATCAGATGTTGATGGAACTCTCATATATTGCTAGTAGGAAATAAATTGGTATAACCTCTATGGACAACTGTCTGGTAGTATCTACTAAAGCTAAATATACATGTACTCCATGACCCAGAAATTTCCCAATAGAAATAAAATACTTATTTCCACTAGAACATGCATATAAGAATGTCCATAGAAAAAGTAAAAAAAGACAAAGACAAAAACACAGAACAAGAAGATTAAAAAAAAAAAGAAAGTCCAAAACAGCTTTATTCAATGACCCAAGTCTGAAATAAGCCAAATAACTATCAACAGAATGGATAAGTTGATGAATTACCCTATACTCGTTAAATGGAATATGGTGCAACAGTAAGAACAAATATTGTCATGTGCAACAACATGGATGAATTCCACAGACACTATGTTAAATGAAAGATGCCAGACAATTACAGTGATTACACTTACATGAAGTTCAAGAACAGACAAAACTAATCTATGGTGATAGAAGCCACAAGTTGTTATCTCTGAGGAGATAAATGGCAAGGGGTCAAAGGGAGCCTGCTAGGGTGCCTGAAATGTTTTACACCTTGATCTGGGCGGTGGTTAAATAACATAGGAAAAAGATGCATCAATCTGTATATTTAAGGTTTGAGCACTTTACTACATATGTTCTATTTCAATTAATCTATAAAAACTAAGAACTTGGGCACAGCCCATTGTCTTTAACCCTCAAAGAATGAGCAGGATGCAGCACCCATTCTCTTTTCATCCAAGTCCAATGGTGTATTTGGTACTCAAAATCAATATTCTTTTGACCTTTATAGTTTGAAATGAAGCTCATTAAACATGCAGAGACCCAGCAGCTTTTAGTAAATAAGAAAGGAAAGGTAGTCAATTGGGTACTATGGTGGATTTAATATATGTTCGTAAATTCCTTGGCATTCCTCCCTTCAAAAAGTCCTTTCCTTCCCTTAAGCATGGGCTGGACTTGATAACTATTTCTAATAAACACAGTAAGGTAGAGGTGATGGTCTGTGATTTCAGAGACCTGGTCACAAAAGGCCCTGTGACTTCCTCCTGGCTCTCCCGGATCACTCTCTGCGGAAGTTTGTCATGTCGTGAGAACAGGCCCCCATGGTGAGGAAGGAGCTGAAGGCTCCTGTCAACAGCCATGTGAGTTATCTTAGGAACAGATCCTACACTCTCCGTCAAGCCTTCAGATGACTGCAGCCCCTGCTCACATCTGATTCCAGCCACACGGGAGACCACAAGCCAGAACCACCCAGCTAAGCCCTTCCAAACTAAACTGTTTGTTTTAAGCCACTAAATGTTGAAGTAATTGTTATGCAGCAGCAGATAACTAATATCCAGTACCCTCTGAGAGATGTTCTTACCCACTGAAACAAGGTTGCTATAGTTCTCCAGCATCACATCCCTGTACAAGTTTCTTTGAGCAGAGTCCAGGTACTGCCACTCCTCCCAAGTGAAGTCCACAGTCACATCCTTGAGTGACACAAATCCCTGTAACAGGACATTCCTGTTCAATCTAAAGTGAAAAACACTGGGTGATGTGTAAAAGATGTTTAATCATGCAGAGTTCATCATAATAAATTAAAGAAGATGTTTACTATGAGGCCAGTTTTACTATGTGGGAGAAGCAGAACTCCTATTAGAAAAACTCTGCTATTGAGAAACCATTCATCCTCTCTTTCCAGCAATAAGCACGTATTAGGCCACAACACAACCTGCACTATTTGATGGTCAGAATACAAACATGAAGAAAACACTGGAAGTTTACAGAATAGTAGATGGAGACAAACAAGTAAATATATAAATGCTATTGGGTGTTAAATGGGTTATAATAGAAATGGGAAAGAAGAAATGATTCTATTTGGGGAAGTTGAGATGGGTTTTGTAGGTGATATACAGTTATGCAAAATGAATAATGAAAAATGTAAAATTTTTTAAAGTAAAGATAAAATACTTTTTTTGAAGTGTTAAAAATGAATAGTGTAGGGCGCCTGGGTGGCTCAGTTGGTTAAGCAACTGCCTTCGGCTCAGGTCATGATCCTGGAGTCCTGGGATCGAGTCCCACATCAGGCTCCCTGCTCAGCGGGGGGTCTGCTTCTCCCTCTGACCCTCTTCCCTCTCGTGCTGTCTCTCATTCTCTCTCTCAAATAAATAAATTAAAAAAAAAAAAAAAAAGGGCTCCTGGGTGGCTCAGTTGGTTAAGCAACTGCCTTCGGCTCAGGTCATGATCCTGGAGTCCTGGGATCGAGTCCCGCATCGGGCTCCCTGCTCAGCAAGGAGCCTGCTACTCCCTCTGACCCTCCCCCCTCTCATGTACTCTCTCTCATTCTCGCTCTCAAATGAATAAATAAATCTTAAAAAAAAAAAATGAATAGTGTAAACTCCAGTAAGGTATGGAGGAGGGAGAAAGATCATTCTAGATGGAGAAATGAGTAAAGAAAAAAGCGATGGGGACGAGAAAAAGAACATGGCAAATTCAAGGAACTGTTCGTACCTTTGGAATAATGCTCAGACATCATTTATTCATTTACTGTTTTCACAATTTTTATGTATCTGCATGTCACTCACACTATCTTTGACTTAATAGTTTTAACAACTCTTTTACTTAAATAAATGATTTTAAAAGGAAACCACTAAAGGGAAAACCAGTATCAGTTCCTAAAACGAAGATAACAAAATCTGCAAAACAAGCATATACTGATGAAATGTCATTTATGGGGTTTGCTTTAAAATACTCTAGAGAACAGGGGTGCTTGGGTGGCTCAGTTGGTTAAACATCTGACTCTTGATCTCATCTCAGGTCTTGAACTCAAGGTCGTTAAGATCAAGCCTCCACTGGGCTCCACACTGGGCATGGAGCCTACTTAAAAATAAAAAAATACAAACAAAAAACTCTAGAGAACAAATGAAGTAAGAGGGGAAAGACAAGATTGGAAAAACACTGGTAATCGCTGAAAATATAAGAAGAAACACAGGGGTTTATTAAACTGTTCTCTAAATTTTTGTGTATGTTGGCATTTTCCCTTAAAGAACTTATAAAAATTAAATACAACAAAACCATTGTTTTTAAAGTTTAAACTAAAATGAAGACAATAAAATGTAAGCAATATTTAATTTGGTCAATTTATTTTTTTAAATACCTACTTAGAAATAAGAAGAACAGAATAACTTATGACCAGTTAGTAATAAAGTATTACTTTGTTTTTACTTATTTTTCAAACCATGATTAGGTTCCACCTCAATAAGAGAATTCAATTTTTAAATTTGATGTTGATCAAATCCAACTAAGATGTATCTGAAAGACAGTGGGAAGATGAGGGAAGGAGAGTAATCAACTAAGAGCGCTTGGGTTTCAGGCTAAGCAACTGGCATCCCACTCAAGTCCAGAAAGTAAGAGCGAGCAGGTCTGGGGGGAGGAGAGAAGTGGAATCTACTTGTCCAACAGTAAAAGGACAAATGATCTGATTTAAAAATGGGCAAAGGTTTTCAATAAACATTTCTCCAAAGAAGATATGCAAATGGACAATAAGCACATGTAAAGATGCTCAACCTTACTAGTCACTAGGGAAATGCGAGTCAAAACCACAAGGAGATACAACTTTACACCTAATAGGATGGTTATAATCAACAAAATGGAAAATACAAGTGTTAGTGAGGATGTGGAGAAACTGGAACCCTCATAGGCTGCTGGTGGGAATGTAAAATGGTGCAGCTGCTACACAAAACACTTGGGCAGTTCTTCCAAAAGTTAAATGTAGAATTACCATATAACCCAGCAATTCCGCTAGGTGAAAAAAAAAGACCCCAATAATTGGACAACACCAGCTGAAAGACAAGATGGAGTCCTTCATGTCAAGGGAGAGAAACTACAGTTTTAACCTGCCCAAATGACCATGGGAAACAAAACCAGTTAGCATATCATGAGGTGACAAACCTGCACAAAAGTCAACAAAATCCATAAAATCCCTTGCAACACATCTTACCATGTTCTCCGTGGCTGCCACAGCCTGATGCTGCCACCAGGAATAGCAGGCTGTATCCTGTTTGTCATTCTACTCCTTAGGATGACAGGTTACAGCTTAGGCCTGCAGTCTGACCAACCTGGATAAGGGCACAGAACTTGCAGTTTTTGCCTATTTAACCCCAAACATAAACCTTCCCCTTCAGAGCACACTTTTGGTTGTAGCTGAAGGCTGCGATCTCCCTGGTTTACACACTGTATGGCAATAAAGCTTTCCCTTGCCTCTGACTAAACCTCTGCGTTCCAGGAATTTTGGTTGACAGAGGTATATACCCAAGATTTGAAAACAGGTACTCAAAGAGATACTTGTAGGCAATTCATAGCAGCTTTATTTACAATAAAGCCAAAAGGTAGAAACAACCTGAGTGTCCATCAGATGAAGGGATAGACAAAATGTGTTTATATAATGGAATATTACTCAGCCATAAAAAGGAATGAGGTTCTGATACATGCTACCGCGTAGATAAACCTCAAAAACATGCGAAGTGAAGTAAGTTAGACACAAAAGGACAAATTTCATACGATTCCACTTCTATGAAATACCTAGAGTAAGCAAATTCATAGAGCCAGAAAGTAGTTTTTGAGTTTACCAAGGGCTGTGGGGGTAAGGGAAAAATGGGAGTTATTGCTCAATGGGTACAGAGTTTCTGTTCGGGATGATGAAAAAGGTTTGGGAACAGAGAGTGGTGATGGATTCACAAATTGCAAACATAATACCACTGAATTGCACACTTAAAAATGGTTAAAATGGCAAATTTTATATTTCACCACAAAAATTCTATTGGCCCAAATTAACTTTAGTTTAAGTTTCCTTTGTGAGATAACTCTCCCTGGTGTAGTTTCTATCTGTGACTCACCAAAGAGTAAACTCATGTTAGTTCGGTTTTAGTACCAACAGTACTGATAATGTGATTTAGAATAAGAAATATATATTTGGTCTTTGTATTTCCTAGCATAGAGCTCCTAAAACCCTTGGAATTTCCTGTGATGAAGGCGATAAAGGTGCCTTTTGCTATGATAATGACATGGCTTTTGGAAAGCACCTAAGGAGGGGGTGGCTGGTCACCAGAGGCACCAACCAAGAGTAGACAGAACTTTCAGTCCCACTCCTGATTTGGGGGGAGGGAGGTGGGGCTGGAGGTTCAATCCATCACCAATGGCCAATGATTTAATTGATTATGCCCACATCATGAAGCCTCTAGAAAGACCCGAGAGAGTTCAGAGGGCTACCAGAATGTTTCCACGTGACAGATGCCAGGTGCCAAACCTTGGACTCCACGCTTCTTTGTTCAGGACCTTGTCTTATGTATCTCTTCCTTGGCTGTTGATTTGTATCCTTTAATATCCTTTGTAATCAACTGGCAATCAAGTGTTTAAATTGGTTTCCTGACTCCCAGGAGCTACACTAGCAAATTAATAGAACCAAAGGAGGGGGTTGTGGGAACCTCTGATTTATACCTAGTGAGTCCAAAGCAGAGGCAACAACTTGGACTTGTGATTGGCATCTGAAGTGAAGGGCAGTCTTGTGGGACCGAGCCCTTGACCTATAGGATCTGACACTATCTCCAAGTGGATAGTGTCAAAATTGAGCCAAATTGCAGGACAGCCAGCTGGTGTCAGAGATTGATTGCCTGGTGGTATGGGGAAGAAACCCCACACATTGGAAATGGGTGCAGAATTACAGGTACATAACCCAGTATTCCCCAAACTTTCTTTTTTTTTTTTTTTAAAGATTGTATTTATTTGACAGAGAGAGACACAGTGAGAGAGGGAACACAAGCAGGGGGAGTGGGAGAGGGAGAAACAGGCTTCCCGCGGAGCAGGGAGCCTGATGCATGTCTCGATCCCAGGACCCTGAGATCATGACCTGAGCTGAAGGCAGACGCTTAACGACTGAGCCACCCAGGCGCCCCTCCCCAAACTTCTAAAATCAGAGACTGGATACTGTGATATGATAAGAAATACATATTTTGGTCTTCATCCCTGGCTCCTAGTCAGAATTCCCAAAACCCTTAAAATTTCCTAAGGAATAAAGGTGTGGCGAGCATCTTTTGCTCTAATATTTGTTCTTTGACTCTGTCTGGTTCCTGACACAGAACTCCTAAAATCCTTAGAATTTCCTGGATGACAGGAGTGTCTTTTGTTCTAATGAGGTGACTCTTGATGAGACATTTTTCAGTTAAAAAAAAAAAAAGTGCACACATCAATAATATATACCTTTTTAAAAAAACATAAATTATTTCAATACTGAGATATGGTCATTAAAAAGACATGTAGGTAGGGGCGCCTGGGTAGCTCAGTTGGTTGAGTGATTTCAGCTCTTGATTTCAGCTCAGGTCATGATCTCAGGGTCCTGAGATTGAGCCCTTTGTGTCAGGCTCTGCACTCAGCAGGGAGTCTGCTTGAGATTCTTTTTCTCCCTCTCCCTCTGCCCCTCCCCCCACCCGTGCTCTCTCACTCATTTCTCTCTAAAATTAAAAAAAAAAAAGATATGTAGGTAGTTCTTTTCTCCCCATACCTCAGGGGATCACCTTGCACATCTAAGGAATGGATGCTCCCCACTTTGAAGACTACTATACTGAAACTGTGTGCTACATAGTGGGTATAACCAATGGAACATGATAGATAAAAATTAGATACATATCTTCAAATAAAAACATTTAAAACCATATGACAATCACAACCACTAAGATGCTTGCTAGCAATGTTTAGCTGAGTGATAAACCAACAGAAATGAGCAAATTCACTTGATTTCCACTATCCATGAAGCATACTCACCTGATAATACACTTTGAGGCTCTCAACCTATTGCATTTTTAAAAAATATTTTATTTATTTACTTGAGAGAGAGAAAGAGCGAGAGCACAGAGGAAGAGGGAGAAGCAGACTCCCCACTGAGCAGGGAGCCCGATGCGGAACTCTATCCCAGGACCCTGAGATCATGACCTGAGCCGAAGGCAGACACTTAATCAACTGAGTCACCCAGGCACCCCAACCTATTGCATTTTAAAGGAAAAATATTTCATTATTTATTGGTTAAAAACTGCAAATTAAAATTGATACTATTATGACCTTTAATAGTATTAATTCCTTGGACCAATTTCACAAACTTTTATTCATGGATCAAGACAGATTTTTTGACAGCTATGTACCTGGGCCCCATGATTTTACTGCCCAGAAATTGAATTCTGCCTTGTTATGATGCCCTGTAGTTATTTTGAGAAATGACTTAAGAAACAGCTATAGGGAGGCCTCCTATGGTATTTATCATGGGTTGGTAAATGTTAAAGACACTGTCTACTACACCATATGTATGCATCAAGAGAATAATTTCAAACCTAAATGCCAAAAATTCTTTACTTCCCTCAAGAAAATATCATATTTAATGTGTTATATAAATCCTATCATTGTAGATGATATGCTCAACTTCAATAACTATAAAAGATCTTATAACTTGTATGACTATATTTCACACATTATTTGGTCTAGATTTTCTATTTTCCCAGATCTCTATTTACATTTTTTCATTTAACTGAATTAATTCTTTTAAACTGCCTCAAATACAATGGAAAATAATATGGGATATAAATAACTCACTTACCTGAGAATTGGTCATTTTCTGTTGCTCTTCAGAAGGTGCAGATATCGGTAAAGATAGAGCTGGGATGGGCAGGGAGGGGATAAAAAGAAGACCACCTTGAGAATCTGGGCCTGCCCTGTGATTCCCAGAACTATGAGCCTAGAAATTCCTATAACCAACTACATAAAAGACTACCTTTCAGAGACTGCCCCTTTCAAAGTTTCCTTTGAGGGACCACATAAGATTATGCTCTGATAACATCAACCTATTACAGTTCTGAAAGGGTCAGGCCATGGTCTGTTTTATCTTTATAGATGTGTATCCCATTGTATGTTTAAGAAGTTTCTCCTCCTTTGACCCCATAAATCTATAATTAGATATTTATCCTAAAAAAATAAGCATGGATGTACATAAAGATATATCTGCAAGGATATTCATCACGATGCTGTTTGATCACTTAAAAAGTAGAAACCACCTAGATGTTCAACAATAGGGATTGGTTACATCGGTTATCAAAGTATAGAATACTAGACAGCCATTAAATTATCTTAGAAAAGTATTTACAGACTTGGAAAAAGGGTCTTGTTGTATTACAAAGCAAGAAAATAGGTTATAAAACAACAAATATATTGAAAAGAAATATATTTGAAAGAAAAAAAGTGTGTGAAAGGACATACATCAAAATGTTATGGTTACCTTTGGGTGGTAGAATTACAAGTGATTTCTATTGGGTTATATTTAGCATTTTCATTTTCCAGTTTTTCTAGAATGAACTGTTACTTTTTAGCAGCGGTTATTCTACTGACCTCTTAACCCAAACTCCTATCAAGGAAGTTCTAAAGGGCACAATTCACTAGCTCAATAAATTCAATAAGCTGTAACAGTCACTCTCATCCACAGACTTATAGGACCACTTCAAATGTATAGGCTCAGTTCAAATGTCACCTCCTCTAGAAAGCCTTTTCAAATGTCTCCTGGATAGACTCAGCTATTCCTTCCTTTGACTTGCCCATAGTGTCCAACACTCTGACACTGGGTTTTCCTGATAGAGGTTTAAGGCAAGGGATGATGAAGCCTGAACTAAGACCATGGCAGTGGGAATGGGGAGGACAAACTGGAGAGATGTCAGGGAGGCAAAATCACCAGGATCAGAAGATTGATCCAACATGGGGAGAAGGGTGGGGAGAAAACTAGATGTCTCCAGGATTTGTACTATGGCCACCTAGAAGATGAGTGAGTGACGTTATTCATAATGATGAACATAGTAGGATTAGCAGGTGAAGTATGGAGAAGGAAGATGCTATTGTCTACTGCCATCACGTTAAGGTTGAGATCCTGTGAGTAAACCTCACAGAGATGTGGAGACAGTTGTCTACTGTGAATCTGGAGCGTGTTAGAAATGTCTGGGCTGGTGCTATAGACTGGCAAGTCATACTTTTAAAGGCGGAAGCTGATAGAATGAGTGTGGTTGAAATTATCCAGAGAGAGCACATGGATTGAAAGACAGGCAAAGGGAAAAGGCACAGCTTTGAGAAAGGGTTTTTGAGAGACTTCGGCTTGAAGTACTTAGCTAGCTAAAAGACAGTAGTAGAGAATATAAACTGCCTGAAGTCCATTCACCAGACAGATCCAAGGGTGGAAACAAAACCTCCGGGGGCAGGATGGGAACTCTCCCCTGACTCTCATACCCTTACATGCATAAAACCCATACAAGAAAACCCAGCACACAATATGTGTGGAGTGCAGCCTGAATGCAAGCTATTTATTATTCAGGGCTGGAGCCCCAATCCCTGGTCGCGAGCCATCTGCTCCCCAAGCTACCAAATAGGCTCCTAACAGTAGCCCACTACAACCCCCACACACTGATCCAAAATAACCCTAAAAATGGGTATCTGCCTTCAGGACCCAACCGTTGATATCCATGTGACCCCAATCCGGGACTCTGAGAGACGCAGAATCACACAGACACGCTCAATCACTAGTCCCACAAATTCCCAATCAGCCGCTGAACCCCCTCAGAGTCCACTACCGGCAGCACCACTAAATACCGATCTCCACGTGGCGGCAATCACTATTTTGAGCGGGGCTGTTTAATCAATAACCACAATTAAGACCGAAAATTACGGACCGCTAGAGATGCTCTGTCGCTGATCAAACATGATGCCCTTACTCCCAACACCGCAGCCAGGGACTGAAACTTCCTTTCCTGAAGACCGGAACCCTCAACTCACAGCCTCGCCTGCAGGGCCCTCAGCTGAGCGCTAGGGCCGCCCCCTCCGCCGCCAGCGCTCCGGACTCTCCGGTGTTAACGGCGGAAGCAGGGCAGCCCGCGACCTGCTTCTATCGCGAGACTTACCGGGTGTTTAGTCGGCCGGAGCCGGGGGGATTAATATGGCCGCGCCTAGTGAGCGGGAAGTGTGTCGGAGTGGGAGGCGCCATATTTCGAGTAGATGTTGGCGCCGTACAGCAGAGAATGCTAAGAGAAAGGGAAGTTAGAACTGGGATACGGGAGCTACTGAAAAGATGTACTGGGACAATGCGGGAGCAAAAACATGAAGTAGGAAAAAATCCCAGGTCTCTGAGGATGGAGTCAGGGAATCTCTCCAGCTAAGATGTGTAGAAAATGGAAACTCAGCGCAAGGTGCAAATAAAGATGGGGAAGCAGGGTGGGGAAAGAGGAAGAGCCGCTCCTGTTATTAAGCAAACGAGGAGCATGAGTCTCAGCCCGAGTCAGTTGATCTACAACACATTGCCTCACTTTCCCAATGTTAGGTATAGTAATGATAATAGTATGCGTACTGAGGGAGGTTATTTATTTATTTATTTATTTATTTATTTAATTTTTTTAAATTTATTTATTCATGAGAGACAGAGAGAGAGAGAGGCAGAGGGAGAAGCAGGCTCCCAAGGAGCAGGGAGCCCGATGCGGGACTCGATCCCAGGACCCTGGGATCATGACCTGAGCCGAAGGCAGACGCTTAACCATCTGAGCCACCCAGGCGCCCTGAGGGAGGTTATTTAATTTAGGTTTTAACTGAGGTGGAAAAGTCAGGATGGAGCAGTATACTCCCTGAGAGAGAGCCCTGGGAGAGGGAAAGTCAGAATGCTTTCATCTGGTGACCTCCAGCCTGCCATCCTGGAAAATGAAATTCAAATGTCCTCTTCTGGGAATGCTTTCCCAGATTGGGATGGGGAGACTCTGCCCCTGCTGAAGACACATCAAATAGCAGCAGAGGGGAAATGATTGAGGATAAACTCCGTAGGATGATTCAGAACCCCTAGGTCTTCTGAACCTGGTCTTGAACTTGCTCTGTGGCTTTGGGCCAGCTGCTTTCCCTCAGGTCTCTCATTTGTAAAGGAGAAGATTATGAAATACTCGTTTGGGTATTTCAATGTTTGCTGACATAAAGAAGAAAATTTCAGCGTCAGTGTCAATGAAAAGCACTTCAGAACCCATGCAGTTTTTAAAAAATAATAAATACCATATAGTAGCATTATTAATGTTAAATTAAATAAGGAGGCTATTAGACTGAGGTGGTTCTAATGCCTTAGCAAACCCAAACCTAAGCCTGTAAATGCCTCAAGGTTAAGAAATCAAAACCTAAGGACAATCACAAACGAGGCTTTCCCAAATAAGACACCTGCTTCAACTATAGGCAATCAAATAATTTCCTTGCTTTGCTTCTAGGTCTTTTCTATAAAAGTCTTGCCTCTAGCTCTTGTCAGTGGAGCACTTCTAACCACTTGTGGTTTGGTGCTGCCTGATTCGACTCAGTTACTACTGCTCATTACTAGAAAATATCCAACCCTAACTGATGCTGAACGACACTATGAATTAATTCTCAGGGTTGACTCAGCTCTTTGAGTCGGATACAGTGGACATCATGCTTCTGGAATGTCCTCCCCAACTTTATGTCAGGAAAAGTTCTATTTGTGCTTTAAAGCTGGGCTCCAATATCCTGTTCTAAGTTTTTTCCAGAGCTTCCTGGCATCTGTGCCTTCCTATGCTTTCCTGTGTCTCAGTCATCACTGCCTGGCACTGGGGTTGGCAGTGTTTGTGTCTTTTCTCCCCTGGGGTCTGACAGCTACTCAGGGCAAGACTGTCAGAATCAGCTTAGTTTCCCTTTTTTGGTTTAATACATATTCATGTCTACTGAGTCTTCCACCATAATGTAAAGTTCATTCCTTCCTTCACTCACACACATTCATTTTTTGTCATGCTTGGTAATGCAAGGAAGGAGCTCAGAGTCTGAGAATGACAATGTAGTGTGATGAGTGACCTGACAGAAGCATGACTGGTGGGCACAGTAAGAGGTAACTAGCTAGGTTAGGGACCGGGTGGTAGTGGTGGGGGTGTGGGAAGGGGCTGTCATGATACTAAGGACATGATTTTAAAACCTGAGTCTTGGGGGGCGCCTGGGTGGCTCAGTCAGTTAAGCGTCTGCCTTCGGCTCAGGTCATGATCCCAGGGTCCTGGGATCGAGCCCCGCATCGGGCTCTCTGCTTGGCCAGGAGCCTGCTTCTCCCTCTCCCACTTCCCCTGCTTGTGTTCCCTCTCTCGCTGTGTCTCTCTCTGCCAAATGAATAAATAAAATCTTAAAAAAAAAAGTTTAAAACCTGAGTCTTGGAAGGGGAGCAGGAGTTTGTCAGGAAAACAAGGTGAAGAAGGGAAGTCTCAACAGAAGAAAAGCAGTTATATACCACTTCTTACATACTTGATAGAAGACTAATCCCACCCCTACATCTTTGTTCAGGTGGTTCCCTCTTTTAGGAATTCCCACACACTCCTATTTTGGGGGTAAATCCTATGCCAAAAACCAAGGGAGGTTCTTATGCTTTGTGAGGCCCCAAATTAATAGCTCCTTTACATGTATAATCTAATTCAGGAGTCTGCAATCTACAGCCCTGAGGCAAATCTGGCCTGTTGTCTATTTTGATAAATAAAGTTTTATTGGAACACAGTCATGCTTATTCATTTACATATTGTCTGTGGTTGCTTTTGTGTTTTAATGGTAGAGTTGAGTAGTTGTGACAAAAACCATATGGCCTAACAAGTCTAAAAGACTTACTATCTATTCTTTTACAGAAAAGTTTGCTGACCCCTAATCTAATTTAATGCTGAGGGAGAAACCATTATTATCCCTCTTATACAGAGAAGGAATCTGAGGCACCAAAAGGTCACATAGCAGGTTAGTGGTATAGCCAAGATGTAAACTCCCAAAGTCTAACTCAGAGCTTATGCTCCTAGCCACTACACTACACTTCAATGAATGTCTTTTGAACATCAATTAATTTCTGTTGGTAAAGAGACAAAGATATCAATATAATTTGTCATCCAACCCAGGACAGCTTTGACAGTGAACAGAGGTGCTATTAATAACTATATCTGGACAAGGGGCACCAAACCTCTTCTGGGCAATCTGTGATGTGGGATCACCCTAGAGATAGGAACAGAGATAAACAAGATAGAACAAAATACATAGATAAAATAATGAAAGATGTTTTACTTCATAATCCAGATAAGTGTACTTTCTTGCTTTAGAGTTGTACACATCTACATTAAGAATACTTTCTGGTGAATTTTTATGTCACTCTCACTAGCTTATGATATTTCATCTTACTTAAGCAATGAAAATAATTCTTACTGTTCAAATACTCCAGGTTAATTATGTTGTGTGGGGGTGGGGTGGGGGTGGGTGTTCTGTTTAATATTCCACTCTACTCTCAGCTGGCTTATAAGGTGAGAGGGAACATGGCCAGACAATCCATGGAAATGGCATAAGGCACATCAGAAAAAAAAATGTGTAGAATCTTATGTGCAGCAGATGTGTGATAGCTACTTACTTTTAGACAAATTTATAATATAAATACTGCCTTCAATCAATAAAATATAATCAAAATGCATCTAAAGCTGGTGGTTCTTATAGATTATTATAGAAAAGAGATGCAATCAATCAGGGAAAGCACATACAATGGAAAAAACAAGACACCTAGGGTGGAGCCCTGGAAAATTTCAACTGGTGAGGGATAAAAGAAAGAGGAACTGACGATGGGAAAGGAGGAGAGAGGGAGGGCGCAGAAGATCAAGAAGAATGGTGTCAGAGGAACTAATGGTGAAATTTTTCAAGGAAGAGGGAAGCATCAAATATCAGACGCAACAAAAATCCACTAAGATAAGGACAAAAATGTCCCTTGGATTTAATAATTAGCAAGGTGGTTTTTTTAGAAATTGTGTCACAGTAATGATGAAGACAGAGCCCTACCGAACTGCACTGAAGTATAATGTGACTGAGGAAGTAGAAACACCATGAAGCTTGTATATTAAGGGAGAGAAAGATGAGAATTCAGGTTACAAGCTGTTTTTAACACACAAGAGAATTTAAGCAGGTCAAAGACTGATTTCCGATGAAACACATGTCTTCAGACAACTAAAAAGACACAGATCAAAAATCCAATGGAAAAAAGGACAGGTACCTCAATAATAATTAAAGATATGTAAATTAAACAATGAACTTTTCCATATTGATAAAAATTTTTAAATTGATGTTATCCAATATGAAGAAATCAAGTATGGAATTGTTCGCACATACATGTAGATGGGTGGCAGACATTTGGCAATACTCTCAAAATATAAGATGTGCCAAAACAACTTTAAAAAAGAAAAACAAAGTGGGAGGGATTACTCTCTTTACCTGACTTCAAAACTTAGTATAAAGTTACAAGAATCAATTTAATGTAATATTGGCATCAGTTTAATGTAATAGATAAATAGATAAATGGAACAGAGAGTCCAGAAATAGACTCTCACATACATATTCAGCTGATGTTTATTTAACCCTTGGTATTGGTGGTTATCAGTGGTGGGGAATGGACGCCATGTGGAGTTCGTGGCAAGCCACAATAGGAGAACAACATAGGCTCCTCAAATTTTGGAGTAAGGCCAGCCCATCTGCGGTGGAGGATTAGATGCTTTTGTAAAACATCTGCTGGCAGGCTATCGCACCCAGGTAAAGGCAGAATGCATGACCATGGGACACTAAATGACTACTCCACCAGAACTACCCAGTATGAAGTAGAATCTGTCAAAACCATCAAGTCATTAATTAAGTGGGTTTAGAAAATATCCATTTTAAGATACAAGTGGAACATTCAGGAACAGCAGGAATAAGCAAGCACATGGCATCCACCACTGTTACATCAGCATCCCCTACAGGAACTTCAGGCTGATGCCTAAGTATGAGCTCTTTGTGTTCAGGAACCAGCAGGCAAGAGGGAGGTTATCACTATCTTAGAAGAGGTGAATAACCCTGACGTCAGTAGAAAGTGAGGTGCTATCACACAATGTGGGCAGGGAAGAAAACAAAGAACGCATTGATCCACTTGGTACCCCTTGCCCAATTGTGCCATAAAAAGATGTACAGGTTCAGGTCTGAGAAGGGCATAATGGCCAGTGTCTTATGTCAGCAGAGACATATGTTAGCTGAGAATGGAAAGTGGGGAAGTGAGATGATGAATTATCTGTTATAACCTTGGGACCACGATAGCACCTTGAGCTATAGTTTATCCCACTAATCTCTTCTGAGAGACCATGACCTGAGCTGAAATCAAGAGTCAGGCACTCAACTGAGCTATCCAGGAGCCCCTATCTTAACTAATTTTTCTGTCTAGCTGTTCTATGAGCTGCCAAGATCAGGATGTGAAAATCTCCAATTATGACTGTCGAATTTTTTATCTCTCTCTTCAGTTTTTTCAATTTCTGCTTCTTGTATTTTGGAACCCTGTTTTAGGTGCATAAATGTTCATGAACCTTATGTCTTCCTGAGGAATTAATCCTTTGATCTTTTTAAATTGGCCCTCTTTATCTCTGTTAATACTTTTATTGAGAAGTCTGTTTTGTCTGCTATTAATATAGCCATTCATGCCTTTGTATGTATTTGTATGATATATCATTTCAATCCATTTAATTTTAACTTCTTTGTGTCTTTTTAAAGTCTAGACTTTGTACAGAGCATAAAACTGGGTCTTGCTTTTTTATCCCATTATGAAAATCTCTGCCTTTTCATTGGAGAGTTTAGGTCACTAACTTTTAAAGTAATTATTGCTGAGATTGGATTTAGGTCCACCATCTTATTATTTGTGTGTTTGTCTCCTTTGATTTTCTTCTTCTGTGCTTCCCTTCCTATTTCCATTATGAATTTTAAAATACTTTTTAGAGGTTCATAAATTTATCTGTTATGTTTCTGGCTATACCCCTTTGCTTTACTCTTCAGCGGTTTCTCCAGGGATTGCTCTATCATCTTTGACATTCATAGTCTACTTGAAGTCGATATTGTACCAAATGACATAAAATTTAGACACATTCCTACATTATAGGCCTGCCCCCATTCTTCATGCTAGCATTGTTACATGTATTGCATCTAAATGCCTTACAATCCACATAAGACAATGTTATAAGTTTTGTTTCAAACAACCCTAAGCGGGTGCCTGGGTGGCTCAGTCAGTCTGCCTTTGGCTCAGGTCATGATCCCAGGGTTCTGGGATCAAGCCTTGCTCAGTGGAGAGCCTGCTTCTCCCTCTCCCTCTGCTGCTCTCCCAGCTTGTTCCTCTGTCAGATAAATAAAATCTTTTTTAAAAAAATTAAAAATCCTAAATATTTTAAAGAAATGAAGAGGTTAAAATAGTCTTATATTTACTTACATATTTACTATTTCTCATGCTCTTCAGTGCTTCCTGAAGAACTGAGTTTCCATTTGGTATCATTTTTTTCAACCTGAAAAACATTATGGTCTTCTGGGGATAAATTCTCTTAATTCTTTTATCTAAGATGTCATTACTTCACCTTCATTTTTTTTTAAGATTTATTTATTTATTTATTTATTTGACAGAGAGAGAGAAACAGCGAGAAAGGGAATACAAGCAGGGGGAGTGGGAGAGGGAAAAGCAGGCTTCCCTCTGAGCAGGGAGCCCGATGCGGGGCTCGATCCCAGGACCTGGGATCATGACCTGAGCCGAAGGCAGACGCTTAACGACCAAGCCACTCAGGCGTCCCTTCACCTTCATTTTTGAAGGATACTTTTGTTGGATACAGAATTCAAGGTCGGAGGGTTTTGTTTTGTTTTTCCATACCACTTGAAGGATCTACTGATCTACGGTTTTCTGTTCCCCACAGTTTCTGATAGTAAGTCACCAATCATTAGAATTGTTTTCTATCACATATGGGTTGCTTTTCCCCTGGCTTTCCAGATTTTATTTTTATCTTTAGGTTCTGGCAGCTTGTCTAGGATGTGTTTTCCTCACACTTAACCTGCTTAGAGTTCACTGAGATTCTCAATCAGTACATTTATATCACTTACCAAATTTGGGGAAATTTCAACCATTATATCTTCAAATATTTTGTGTATCCCACTCTTTCCTTGCTCTCCTTTTGGGACTTCAGCTACACATATTCAAGACATTTTGTTACTGTCCCACAAGTCACTGAGGTTCTCTTCCTATCTTTTCAATCATTTCCCCCTCACTTTGAATCATTTCTACTGAGCTATTTCAAGTTCAATCACCCCTTCCTCTGTCATTTTCATTCTGCTGGTAAACTTACCCAGTGAAATTTAAATTTAAGACATTGTATTTTTAAGTTCTAGAATTTTCTTTTTGTTTTTCTTCATAGTTTCTATTTCTTTGCTTAGTTTTAAAAAAAATCTTTATTCACTGTGAGCATATATATCTTTATTTCATTAAGCACCATTATAATAATTATATTAATATCCCCATATGTTCATTCCAACTTCTGGGTTGGTTGTCTCTTTTCTTGAAATGGGGTTGCAATTTCTCAATTCTTTGACTGTCAAGTAAGTTTTTCTTATATCCTATATATCATGAACGATAAGTTGTGGAGAGTTTGGATTCTATTTCTCTGAAGAGTATTAATATTTTTGTTTTATCAAGTAATTAGCATGGTTGAGCTCAAACTTCAAACTAAGTCTGTGGGGCAGTAGCACAAATCAAAGCTCAGTTCTCGTCTGTAGTTGAAGCGTTAGGAGTCTGTGCCAAATATGCATGGTTCAGGGGTCAGTCAGATATTTGGGCAGAATTTATTCACAGAATTTGGGTTACCTCCTCTTTGAGTCTCTCTTTTCTGGGATTCTCCTCTCACTTTCCAAGTGGCTGTGGTTGCCCTGAACTCAGTCCTATGGTTTTTCATCTTAAAAAGACTGCATGTTTTCTATCAAATTACACCCCCTGCCCCCGCCACACCAACTTCAGTGTGTCCTCAGGCTAAAAGCTGTGATCTAACCGCCTACATTCCCTTCTTCCAAGTTTCAACTCTTTCCCATAATCTGCTTTTGTTCACTCTCCAGTACCTTCAGGTCACTGGTTGTGTGTGTGTGTGTGTGTGTGTATGTGGTTTTGTCCAGAGTTTATAACTGTTTTCTGTGGGAGGGTCAGGATTAGTAGGACCCTATTGGCCATACCCCAGTAATGAAAATTGATTACAACAAAATAAATTCAGGAAAATAGAAAAATTATTTAGAAAAACATAAAACTTACTCTTAAACTGACAATCCTGAAAAAATCACTGTCCACATAATGATGGTGATATTATGCATTTTCTAATGTGTATTTGTGTATAGAGACATTATCTTCATATTAAAGAAATATCTCAGAAACATTTTAAAATACTTTTTAAATTCACTTCAACAGGGCACCTGGGTGGCTCAGTTGGTTAAGCAACTGCCTTCGGCTCAGGTCATGATCCTGGAGTCCCGGGATTGAGTCCCACATCAGGCTCCCTGCTCAGCAGGGAGTCTGCTTCTCCCTCTGACCCTCCTCCCTCTCATGCTGTCTCTCATTGTCTCTCTCGCAAATAAATAAAATCTTAAAAAAATAATAATAATAAATAAATTCACTTCAACAATGATTTAAATCAGTTTCTCAAAGTGTGGTCCCCAGACCAGCAGCACCAGTTTCCTGGCGAGTTATTAAAAATGCAAAATCTCAGCCACCCGTCCCCACCCCCAACCTACTGAATCAGAAACTCTGTGGGTGGGGCCCATTTCTAAAGTCTGTGTTTTAACAACCCCTCCAGGAAATTTTGATACATTTTATCATTGATTTAGACTCACTTCTGTATGTCTATTTTCTTTCATCCTTTGCCTCCAATCTTTTAGACATCACTTCCTCATTTATTGATGCTAACTTTTAATTCCTTTCTTACTCTACAGGATGACTTTCAGCATTCATTTCTACTACTCAGGCATACTGTCCCAAGTATGGTACTATTATGGGTTCTCCAAGAGATGTGGGTAATTTAACATAGCCATAAAACATGCAACTGTTTTATCCTTCTAAAAAGTGCAGATTTTCCACAGCTCTGGACAGTGAGGATTCATTTAGTGCATAGTACCAAACTTCCACGTGGTTATAAGTTACTGATGGAAAATGGCTTTCACATTGCTCTTTCCTTCTCTAAGAGTAAATAAGTTACTTGGAAACGAGGTTCTAACATCCATGAGTTGATTTTTCAATGCATATGTGCACACATGAATGCACACATACATAATTTCATTCTCAATACTTACATCTGTTAATTCTCTGAAATGAGGAAATCAGGAAGGCAGGAACTTGAATGCGAAGTATTTGCAAAGATGGCACTTAATCACTTGTTTGTTGAGGGTCCATCATTATGCTAGACTAGTATCCAGGTGAAATATTTATTGAGCAGAATTGACCACTAGAAAAGTCTTGCTTATTGACCCATATGTTTATTCTGAAGAACAAATGAGGTAATGTAGTGAATGTGCTGTGAAAATGTAAAAGGTGACATGCATGCCCAATATTATTACCTTATATAACAAAACCATTTTTGTCCTTATGTCACTGTTTTTGGTGTAACAATTTAAAAATAATTCAGTTGTATTTTATCTATGACTTATGAGTAAAAAATAATAATAGTAAATAGGTATGCAGTAGAAAATAGGTCTCATCTGGAAACCCAGACTGATTCACAGTACCTTCCGGAATGCATGCTTAAGAGTGACTCTGAGACCAAGTCTAGGTTCACTCAGAAAAAGTGCGGTGATCCATTAACAGTGTCTGCTATTGAGCAAGAACAGGAAGTAGTGGTATTTGTTGCAATACATTTGAAATCCCAGATTCAGGTGTTTGTATATAAGTGCTCTGAATATGTGATAAAATGGAGTGACTTCGGAAAATCACTTTCATTCACCTGCAATCACAATTTATCTTCAGTCTTTTAAAAATATGGCATTAGAAGAAACACGGTGCTAAATTATAGTTGTAATTCATTATTTTAATAAAAAGATGTGTGTTTGATAGGAAAAGTCTTTGTGAATTCAATATTAAGTTTAATACCATATCCTCAGATTCATCACCCTGAATTGATAATAGGCATAGACTTTCACTTCATCGAACAACACCATGGAGTGAGCTCAGTCAAAATTTTAATCAGTGTTGATGTATGCATATTAAAAAGATTTTAATTGTGAAAATAACACATGTACATTATTTAAAATTTCAAACAGTATATAATAAAAAGGAGGTCTCCTTCCCATCCTAGCCCCCATTCCTGTACTCCTCTGCTCATGACAACCACCATAAAGTTTCTTCTGTATTTTTTCAAACCAAGTCTATTCACATACAAATATATGTATATATATTTACTTACACACACACACACACACACACACAGAGACAAGACAGGCAAACACACCCTTTTGTACATTAAGTGGGAACATACTATACACACAGTTCAGCAACCTGCTTTTTTCACTTAACAATTTTAATCACTTAACAATACACAGGTGCTGGTAGGGAATGATGTCCCTATCCTTGGCTGCTTTCTTTTTTTTCTTAATTTTGTGTTAATGTTTTTTACATAAATAACTTTTAGAAAGTATGCAGCTGATGTAGAAGCTAACAAAGACATTAAGAAAGAGCTAGGTGATAACATCAAAGATGAAGCTCATACCAGTGGCCAGACACACTTATACATGGAAATTAACAGATGTGCAAATTCAATTCTCAGATGTGGAGCTTAAGGGCACATACTCAAGCAACTCAGGAATTGTCAGCATATGTAATTTGTTTCTCTTTTGCTCTGATTATTCAGCTCATTAACGATTTTTAAAGCTATATTTTGGTCTGAATATATAAATAATTAATAATTACTTTTAAAACAATATATTCTATAAAAGGTTGGTATCGTCCATCGCTTCTATGTAAGATTCACTTTCTTTTTTTTAATTTTTTTTTTATTTATTTATCTGAGAGAGAGAATGGGAGACAGAGAGCATGAGAGGGGTAGGATCAGAGGGAGAAGCAGACTCCCCGCTGAGCAGGGAGTCCGATGCGGGACTCGATCCCGGGACTCCAGGATCATGACCTGAGCCGAAGGCAGTTGCTTAACCAACTGAGCCACCCAGGCGCCCCTAAGATTCACTTTCAAACTCTCTCATGTGTAATTAGGTATGACTGACTTCTTATTAAAAGCTTTCTAACATCCTTAAAATTCAGAGTCCTACTAAGGTTAAACAAAACCTTAGTTGAATTAAAAGGTTTCCCACATTAATTTCACTCATGAGATTTTTCTTCTGAATGAGTTTTCACATGTTTGGTAAGAGATGCATTTTGTTTGAAAGCTTTTCCACATTCATTACATTCATAGGGTTTCTCTCCAGTGTGGGATCTCTGATGTATAACAAGTTGTGACTTCACATTGAAAGCCTTTCCACATTCATTACATTCAAAAGGTCTCTCCCCAGTATGAGTTCTCTGATGTACAATGAGGTGTGACTTTTGGCTAAAAGCTTTCCCACATTCATTACATTCATAGGGTTTCTCCCCAGTATGAACTCTCTGATGTTGAGTAAGGCCCTCAATTTGTTTGAAGGCCTTCCCACACTGATTACATTCAAAAGGACTTTCACCTGTATGAGTTCTCATGTGGTAAGTAAGAGAAGAGCTATGTCCAAATGCTTTTCCACATTCATTACATTTATAGGGCTTCTCCTTAGTATGAGTTCTTTGATGTATAAGGAGGTGTGACTTCTTGCTGAAAGCTTTCCCACATTCATTACATTCAAAGGGTTTCTCACCTGTATGAATTCTCATATGTTTAGTAAGGGATGAGCTATATTTAAAGGCCTTTCCACATTCATTACATTCATATGGTATTTCACCTGTATGAGTTCTCACATGTTCAGTAAGAGATGAGTTATACCTAAAGGATTTTCCACATTCCTTACATTCATAGGGCTTCTCACCTGTATGAGATCTCACATGTTGAACAAGATTTGAGCTGTGTCTAAAGGTTTTCCCACATTCAGTACATTTATAGGGCTTTTCCCCAGTATGAACTCTCAGATGGTCGGTAAGGGCATGTTTATGACTGTGGGCTTTGCCACACTGAATACATTCATATGGTTTTTCTCCAGTGTGAGTTCTTTGATGTACAACGAGGTGTGACTTTTGGCTAAAGGCTATCCCACATTCATTACATTCATACGGTTTCTCTCCAGTATGAATTCTCTGATGGTCAATGAGTCCTTGTTTATGGCTGAGAACCTTCCCACATTGATTACATTCATAGGGTTTTGCTTTAGTTTGAGTTCTGTCACACTTAGTAGGAGATGGGCTATGGCTGGATGATTTCTCATGTTTCTCTCCAGTTTGAATTTTGTCCCATTTAGTATCGGATGAGCTATGATGAGCTAATTTCTTATGTTTCTTGCCAGTTTGAGTTTTGTCATGCTTATTAGATAAGCTAGGGTTGGAGAATTTTTGTTTCTTTCCAGTTTGATTTTTGTCTTTCTTTGTATCAGGTAAGCTATGGCTTAATGATTTCTTGTGCTCTTTAGCTACACTAGGTTTCTTTTTTGCATAGTTTCTTATACGACCAGGTAAGTCTGAACTCTGTTTCAAACTCTTTCCATGTGAATCGAATTTAAGCTTTTTCTTTGAAGGAACATGTTTTGTACTCACACTCTTTTCCCCCAGTGAACTACATTCATGGCTTTTCTTCTTAGTCAGACTTCTTTTCTTGAATGCAACTTCCTTAAGGAGTTTGTTTTGAGATTCCTGGTGGTTCGCTGGCTGGTCATTACCTTGCTGGACCTCGTCTAAAATGGAATTCAGTAAGAATTCAATTGTGAATCTTTGCCCTCTCATATTTTGGAACACAACTTATAAAAGAAATGTACTATTGTGGGGGCTGAATCTTTACTCAAGCTTAGTATCCCGAAGTGAGTGAATTATCAAGTGCAAATGTCCCTAAGCTCTTGGGCTTGAGGGGAAAGTGCTGTAGGAAAAACAAGAAAAGTTAATTGACAATAGAAACTAGACAAAACTTTGCCTGTTTATAAATATGACCTTGCAACCTGGGATGGAAGATGAAATAAACACAAGGAGCAGTGACTAGGTAACAGATGAAGTTAGAGGAGCTTGTGATTGTAGTTGATATTTTTTGAGATTTCTCCTAAGCCCAAGCTTCCCAGCTTTGGTAACAGCCAATCCATCCACAGTATTTGGCTCCCACAGCCTCTCCATGGTCATAGTTGGAGACACACCTGGCCCAAGCCACGGTGTCCAATGAGAGTCTTCCTCCTAAAAATTTCGACTCTAGTCTCCCTGGGTTTTACAAGGATATAAGACAAGAAATAGTAAAGTCATATCTTCCCCGTGTATGCAGAAGGTTCATCAGTACAAAGAATGAAGCATATATCCACAGGGAAAGAGATGTAAGATCACGGGTCCTCAAAGAGGCCATTCACATAACCCCAATTGCTGACGGCTTCCCAATTCTAGTTCTAGTCCCTGGTAGGGTCTGGCTGAAGTATCAGCCTTTAGGTTACAAGAGATAACCATATGTCCTTGTAATAAATTCCTCTATTTACTTAGGCTAGCTCAAGTTATCATTATTTGTCATTTGTTATTGCACTCCAAAGAGCCAAAAGAGAGAAAATAAGATAAGTACATCAAGAAATACTGAATAGCTTATAGGCGACTAAGGGGATAAGCAGGAAAGCATGTTACACCGCCACCACCAATGATCAATAATGACATGCCTGGAAATAAGTCAAACAGAGAAAGACATGTATCATATGACCTCACTGATATGAGGAATTCCTAATCTCAGGAAACAAACTGAGGGTTGCTGGAGTGGGGGGTGGGGTGGGAGGGATGGGGTGACTGGGTGATAGACACTGGGGAGGTATGTGCTCTGGTAAGCGCTGTGAATTGTGCAAGACTGTTGAATCTCAGATCTGTACCTCTGAAACAAATAATGCAATATATGTTAAGAAAAAAAAAGAAGAAGAAGAATGTAGCAGGAGGGGAAGAATGAAGCAGGGGAAATCGGAGGGGTAGATGAACCATGAGAGACGATGGACTCTGAGAAACAAACTGAGGGTTCTAGAGGGGAGGGGGGTGGGAGGATGGGTTAGCCTGGTGGTGGGTATTGAGGAGGGCACATTCTGCATGGAGCACTGGGTGTTATGCACAAACAATGAATCATGGAACACTACATCTAAAACTAATGATATAATGTATGGGGATTAACATAACAATAAAAATTTTTTTAAAAAAATTCTCAGGAAAAAAAAAAATAATGACATGCCTGTACTAAACACAAACCCTCAAAACCAAAGTAACAACCTGCAGTTTTTCTGCATTCCCTGCTGCTTTTACCATGATAAAAGTAGTGCCATGATAGTAATGAGATTAGCAAACAAACTTTATAGCATTTGGATTTAGAGTGTACACGTGTGCTTGTTTTCCAACAGTTTGCTATGGAGCATGCCTTTGCTTCTGCCAGGTCACTCTACTAATTACCAATTATAAATTTTAAGCTTATTCCCAGCTTTAAGTGATTGCTCACATCCTTTCCTCCACACATTATACAATGACATATTTTAAGCTATCTTCCCAGTGTGCGTTGCTTCTCTGAAACCACCACCCACACTGACAAATGGAGGCAACCATGTTTGAACCATATGATCCAACCCTTGGGTGAAAACAATTGACTGGGCAGTGGTAAACAGAGGGCCCTACCTAGACCAATAATATTCTCGCTCCTAAGAATTTAGAATTGAAATCCAGAGAGTTCTTTTAGCTAGGTATGGATACTACACGTTTAAAAATCCGAAAACTTAAGAGTTGAGACTACCATTTTAAGGTGATTTTTTTCAGTTATGTGCATGGAAAAGCAGAAAGATCGTTAGGGTGGGAATTAAACAGACTCAAAGAGAAAAGCAGATATGAGTCTCCAAGAAAGAAAGAAATAGAAATTGAACAGCTGCCTTGGTTGTAAAGGAACATTACATGGATAAAGTGAAACCTGGGATCAAACAGAAAAGAGTCATGGTATTTGAATATAAGCCAGGAAATACTATTCCTTTCATCAAGGATTCTTAAGAGATTAGTTCCCATGGAGTAAAAGATCAATTTTTGTAAGTATAGATATAGTAGTACAGATATAGTAGGGAGAAGTAGAGTTTCCAGCTGCTTTTTCATTTAGGAAATTTTAAGTGATACAAGCATTTTGGGGGAAAGAATATAACAAGAGCATGACAAAGGCAGCATCTCCCAATGCCCAAGGATGCTGGAGAGGATGGAGGCAAATCTCTTTCTGGGAAGAAAGGGATCAAAACTCAAAACTACACCCCTTGAGGCATAACATTATAGGAACCCCTTATGATGATGGAAATTGGCCAACAGGAAAAGATATAAAGCACTATGAGAGAAATTTACCATGAGGGGGAGAAAGAAAAGAACCTGAACTAGTGAAATGGTATAATAATAAGGTAATACTAGGAGAGAGTTGGGTGTGACAGAGCATGTGATTAAGGCTGTAAGCTTGTCCTGAATCTGAGACAGTAACTAAAACATGAATTTTAAGCTAAAATGATTGTAACTTCAGGAACTGAAGTATATAGCTCACTACACTCAGCAAATCATTGGAGGGAATAGAATAGTCTTTCCTTGAAGAAACTCCAAGTACTATATAAGAACCTGAACCAAGAAGAAAGTCACTGCAGCAATGACAAAGATGTATTAGATGACTCGGGACTATTTTTTAGTTGTAACACCAAGTATCAGAGAGAGAGAAGTAAACAGAGCCAAAATTGGAGCCCCGAGTGGATGAATCAAAACTCCAGGAGGTCTCTTCATTTGTCATTTGAAGGACTAGTCCCTCTGGTTTCAGGAAATTCATGGAGTCTTGGAAAATTCAGAGGACACTTAAAAATACATTGTAAACAGTCTGCTATTTGGGGGACTATAGTGATATAAATAATAACTGAATATTTTAATGTTTGGTGGCAACATATAAGAGGAATCTAAGAAACAAAAAATGGAGCCAATAAATCAGCCTAAGAATGGGAGGAATTTAGGTAGGAGATAATATACACCTGATTTGGGTGATGTCTGTGAGAACTGGAGAAAACCAACCAACCAACCAGGAACTGAGGCAAGGACAGTAAAAGAGAAGGCAGAGAGCAGAGATTCACAGGAACTCCATGGTACACAGGCCTAAAATCAAAGTAGACCCTGATAAAAAGAGGGAAGGTGAAAGAAAGCTCTAATTTAGAAAGAAAGGCAAAAAGACACAGCTTTCCATTTCTGACACTGTGAGATTGAACTTTCCTGGAAGCAGTAAAATATGAGTGCAACATGAAGAAACTGGAGATTTATCTGGACAAGATAAATTTACCTTAAAAGTCACCAGTATAGAATAAATAGCTTGATTCTTTCGAGGACCCTACCTAGACCAATAATATCCTCGCTCCTAGGAGTTTAGAATTGAAATCCAAAGAGTTTTCGAGGGAAATACGATGAAATACGATAGAGAAAAAAAAAAAAAAAGAACAGATAGTAGAAGACAAAACCTTAGGGACACTTCAGCAAAGTGAGAAGGAAGAGAATCTGGTGAAATAAATGTAAAGAAACACTTAGAAAAGAAGACCAGATTCAAGTGGTGTAATTCAAGCCAGGGGCAAGAACTTCACGCTGACCAAAACTATTAAAATATGAATTGGAAGGGAAGCCAGAAATTTACATACAGGCATGAATTCTGTGGGATCTGACTGCATAGGTTAACAAGTAAATGGAAATAATGATGCACTATAAACCACAAGTTTAGAGCATTTCACAGCGAAAAGGAGGGAAATGGAAAATAATTAAAGGCAGGGGAACATCATGCCAAGAGATTTGGAAAGAGGATGGATCTAAGAAGGTTTGAAGATACAAGGAGAGAAATATGATACCACGGAGTCCCAGAGTTTGAGTGGATGAAGGGAAAAAACTGAGGATATTAGGAAAAAAGAAGATAATAAAAAACAGCACAGCTTCAAAAAAGGTAAGCTGTAATGGGATTCTGAAAACAGCTAAGAGGGGTTAGTGCTCCTTCTGGAAGCTGAGCGATGGAGAGCACGGATGAGGAAAGACAATAAGGAAGGGTCAGGTAGGCATTTGAGGGGCTGGTACCCGAGGTTCAGAGCTCTGGTTTTCACCTTTTTTCCTACCACAATACTCATGGTGTGGCAAACTGTACTACTGTTCCTTGTGGAAAGATTGTACCTCCCAGACCCATTGCATGGTCCCTTGAATCCTCCCTGTGGAAGGATTATACATTCCTACCTATTGAACTTAGGAGTAGCGAGGTGATCTGCTCTAACCAATTAACCAATGAAATGTGAGCAGAAAGAGGCATCAGTGATGTTAAGAGTCATCAGTGGTTCTACTCATTCTTCTTTCCTTCTGCCATGAGACCAGAATTTGCCAAATAGGGACTGATCTTTCAGTATAGGTTCAAAGGATAACGTGGAATAGGGCCATAGCATGAGCAAGAAACAAATCTTTCTTGTTGGAAGCCACTAAGGTTTAGGGGTCATTCCTTAATAGAGCAGAACTTAGCCTAAGCTCACTGATGCGAGTGGTGTAAGCAAACTCCCATGAGTAACACTGGCTTACAACTATAATGACTCTCATATGAGAGCCTCACACATGAAGAGGTTCACAGACAGAAGAGAGATTAGGATCTCTAAGGTTAGAGAACCTGTGTAGTTTGAATTCCTCCTCCCCAAGAAATTCTGATACTTTTCAACTGCTACTCCTGGTTAAGAAAAAAGGGCCTAGGATCTTGAAGAAGATTTAAAAAATGAATTATTCATTGAACAATTCCAAGTTACCACCAAAAAATTAGAAACTTACTTCCATTGGTTCCTATTTGCTTGGGTCTTGCTATTTCACTGGGACCACCTTGTCTGGGTCTTTTGCCCTTCCCCAACCATGGCTCTTCTCCTTTTTCCAACTTGGAGATCATGTCTGGTTTGGGAGCTTGATACCCTGCTCATGAGAAATGGCAGAAGTTGAGTGTTAGGAAAACAAACATCCCAGAAATCAAGCCCTAATATTTGGACTTCAGAGCCTTGAGAGGATAAAGAATATATGGCTTCTAAGGAGAAAGAGAGAAAGAGAGAGAGGAAGGAAGGAAGGAAAGAAAAGAAAGAAAGAAAAGACAAGAAGAGAGGGAGGGAGGAGGGAGGAAGGAAAGAAAGAATATATGGCTTCTGAAATTTCACAATGTGGCTGCCCATGTACCCCGTCTAAGCAGACCTTCCATTTTGGAGACAGGGGCACAAGTATCCTGCCTCATACCCAAAGGGATTAAAACTCTTTGATTCATAATAGCCAAGGCCAAACTTATCAAGAACTTCAGAGAGAAGGTATTACAGTGGACACATTTTGAATTATGATAGAATTGTCCTTACCCATTGAGGCAAGGTTGCTGTAGTTCTCCAGCATCACATCCTTATACAGGTTCCTCTGAGCAGGATCTAGCTGCTCCCATTCCTTGTGGGTAAAGGCCATAGTCACATCTTTGAATGTTACCAATCCCTGTAATAGCAATATTCCTATTCAGTCTAATGTTATCCATATTATTGGGTGATTTGGACAAGGTAATAAAGATTTGCTCTTACCTCAACCATTCAATGTTGATCATGATGTTATATAGGATACTAATTCTTTACCCAAGTCTGCATTTTTTTGAGAGACAAAAATCATATTAAGAAATGTCCCTGAGGGGCGCCTGAGTGCCTCAGTTGTTAAGCATCTGCCTTCGGCTCAGGTCATGATCCCAGGGTCCTGGGATTGAGCCCCGCATTGGGCTCCCTGCTCCGTGGGAAGCCTGCTTCTTCCTCTCCCACTCCCCCTGCTTGTGTTCCCTCTCTCGCTGTCTCTCTCTCTGTCAAATAAATAAATAAAATCTTAAAAAAAAAAAAAGAAAGACATGTCCCTGTTATGGATTGAATGTCTGTGTATCCCCAGAATTCATATGTTGAAACCCTACCCTCCAATGTGATAGCATTAGGAGAGAGGGCCTGTGGGAAGTAATTAGAACTGGATAAGTACATGCAGGTGGAGTCTCCATGAATGGGATTAACGCCTTTATAAGAGTCGCAAGACAGCTTGCTTCCTCTCTGCTCTCTCTGCCAAGTGAGGATACAAACAAGAGTCTGCAACCTGGGATCACCAGATCCCAACCATGCTGGCACCCTGATCTTGGGACTTCTAGCCTCCAGAACTGTCAGAAATAAATTTTTTTTTTTTAAGATTTTTTTTTTTTATTCATGAGAGACAGAGTGAGAGAGAAAGGCAGAGGGAGAAGCAGGCTCCCAAGGAGCAGGGAGCCCGATGCGGGACTCGATCCCAGGACCCTGGGATCATGACCTGAGCTGAAGGCAGACGCTTAACCATTTGAGCCACCCAGGCGCCCAAATTTCTGTTGTTTTTAAGCTACCCAGTCAATGGTACTTTGTTGTAACAGCCCAAAATGACAGTCCCATTTGCAAATTTGTTTATTCAAGAGGATAAAAAATCAGAGAGAAAGAAAGTTACCAAAAACAAACAGAATCAGTCTATCTTTTCTTCTATAACAAAAGATGATGGAATAGAGTTCTGAGGTAGAAGACTTGAGACCCTTGATTTTTATAACCAGTCAAAAGATCATTCATGTTTGGAAGCAAAAATAATGTATTTTAGGCATGTAAGGATGCAGAAAGTATATCACCTATGGGCTTTAGAATTAAAGAGAAGGAAAGGGACAGGGAAAGAGGAGGAGAAGCAGAAAAGAAGTGATTTTTAAAAGAAGGAAACCGCATCAGAATAAAGATTTCAAGATTGGGAAAGATGTAATATACAAGAAAGAGCTATGAATAATAAAACCAGTCAAATGTCTAGTTACATCCGAGTAACTTGATAATGTTGTACAACTGTTATAAAAGTATCCTTAAAATCAAGAGGTATGTTGTAAGAAAAATAAGCAGGAATATAACTGGTAGGGTTGGGAGATGGGGGAGAAATTAAAGCATGTTCAAGATTCTCCTCTTACTAGGCAGGTGAGAGGAGGATGACACAGCTACTAGAGAATTTTGCCACTAATGAATACACGTTCAAACATGATTGTTTCACATTGAAAAATGACCCCTTACCTCCACAAACCACCAATCAATTAGCTGCATATGTCACTAATCTATAATCTCACGGACCTCCAGTCACTGATTTCTTTTTTTTTTTTAAAGATTTTATTTATTTATTTGACAGAGAGACAGAGAGAGAAAGCACAAGTAGGCAGAGCAGCAGGCAGAGGGAGAGGGAGAAGCAGGCTCCCGACTGAGCAGGGAGCCCGATGTGGGGCTCGATCCCAGGACCCTGGGATCATGACCTGAGCCAAAGGCAGCTGCTTAACCTACTGAGCCACCCAGGCACCCCCAGTCACTGATTTCTAATAAGCCCCATCACTGAGGGCCACTGGCCTCCCAATCATTGATGTAATTCCAAAATGACTGATCCCAGCAAACTTCCCAATCACTAACAGCAACAGATTTCCCCAATCGCTCCCCAGACACTCCAGTCACATATTCCCAGGGGTCCTCCACTACTGATACCCATGGAACACATCAATCTCTATCTCCGATACGACCCCAAATCCCTATCCTATCAATCCCCAATCACTGACACCAACAGAACTCCACCAACAGCGGCCTTTACAGAAACCCTAATCACTGCCAGCAAACTGCACTGCACCTTCAACCTCTTTGGCCAGTCCCTTCACCTGCTCCCTTTATCTGAAATCTACCAGTCTCCTGAGAATCCTGCCCCTTACAGTGTTCCCTGGAGGAGGTTGTTTGTTTCGGCCCAACCAAGACTCATGTACCTCATGGCCTGAAGATGAGGTAAATGCTAACTTTCAACCATTTTTCATACGTCCTTCAAAATCCCTACCATGTTTAGAATATCACGAGACTTTAAACCATTAACCCTCTGGTTCAATGATTCACTAGATAAACGCACAGGACTCAGCATACAGTTGTACCCGTAGCTATGATTTAGTACAGCTCAGGAACACACAGCAAAATCAGCTAAGAAAACGGTGTGTATGGGGTAAAGTCTACAGAAACCAGGCACAAGCATCCAAGAGTCCTCTTCCAGTGGAATTACGCAGCGCATACTTGATTCCTCCAGAAATAAGTTGCGAGAACACGTGTGAAACGTTTCCCAAGGAAGTGCATCAGGGACTCGGTGGCACTCATAGGCACCCTCTGCCTGGCACACACAAAGATCCTAGGTTCCCATAAGGAAATCAGGAGCTCGGCATAAACCACACTGTTTACATAGTTTAGGCACAGTGAGCCACTTTTATCATTTCTGGAAACGATAGGAAGCCTCCTGAAGTCTAAGTTCTCAGACATCAGCCAAAGGTCAACCTTGCAAGCAGGCTTTTCGAAGGATAGCTGTTTGGGGCCGCTTAGGTCAACTTCTGCACACAGTCATTCTGCCTCGTTCACTGAAAACTTGAACGCCATGCTCCTCCTCACTCCAGCTCCTGAGCTCTCACTACATCAACGTAGAGGAGTCCACAGCCTGGCCCTTCTCTTTCCTGACTCCAACAATCTTTTCTCACACCCAAACTCAGCCACCTCCTTCTCACCCATCCATTCCTCTCTACTTAAAACATTCCACCCTCCGACCACTGTTTCCTATGCTGTCAGCCTTTTTCCTCTAGCACTTCCATGCCAATAATTCTCCAAATGCATTCAGCCCCCAAAGCATTGATCTGAATCACTTTTCTACAGTCTTCCATCACCACACGGCCTTACTTTTCCTCTATCTTGTTTAGATTCTTTGTTCTAACAGCATATGCACTCCATGGAAAACAGCTTTAACTTCCTTGCCCCTTTTCTTCTCTACTGTACTTACCTAGCAAAGCCTCAAACTTAATCAAACCCAACTCTCCTCTTCATCTCTGCCTGCAACCTTGTAGCTGAACATCCCAAGAGAGAAAAATCAAACAACTGTGTTGCCTGGACTCACTTTAGGTTTATAACACATATCGCAATTGGGCATCCAATACCGGGAGTTTCCTATTCCTCTTTCCAAGATGGTTATTCCAAACATTCTCCTCTTTCTCTCGGAAATCTCCAGCATCTACTCCTTCCCCACTCTCAGCTGATAAATTCATCTTATACTTTCAAAGAGAAAGTAAGTGTAAATGGACAAGAACTACCTTGCCTTGTCACCACCAATTCCACCAATCTGTTTCCAAAACCCCTATCATCTGTCTCCTTTCTGTTAAAATGGAAGAAGTGTTCCTTTTCTCACCTAAGGCTAGTTTCTCCACTTACGCTCTACAGCCCATCCTCAACGGCCTTCTCAAGGAACTCACCCCCTGCAATTAACCTCTTTCTCTTTTGTACCACCTATTTTTCCCTTTCTACTCAATCATTCCTATTGACATACAAAGTTGCTTTAAAATCAATTCATCTAATGAAAACCATCTCTTAATCTCATGTCCCATCCAATGTCAATTTATTTGCTCCCTTTACCAGCAAAACTCCTGGTGTGGTTGATACTTGCTGTCTCTACTTCATTACCTCCATTCTTTCAACTCATTCCAACAGGATTTTACTCTTATCACTCCACTACAAAGCTCTAATCAATCAAAATAATCATTGAGCTACATCTTGCCAAAGTCAAATTCTCTGCAGTCATGCGTCTGGGACTCACAAGAGCCTATGGCACAACTGTGACAACACAACTCGCATTGTCTTGAAAAGCTTTCTTCTTTATGCTTCTTTGACACCCACCTTTACAATTTTCATCCTATCTGAAAGATAGGAGAGATGACTACTCCTCATTCTCTCTTTTTTTTTTTTCTGTCCTCTACCAAACCTCTAAATGGAAGAGTGACCCAGAGCTCTGTCCTTGGTCCCTCTTTTCTTCTCTGTCTGCCTTCTCTCCCTAAGTGATCTCATCCAATCTTACGGCTTTAAATACCATCTGCACGCCGAAGCCTTTCACATATGGATTCTTTAGCCCAAACCTCTCCTAAGTTTTAGATTCACACATTTAACAACTACTCATTCTCTACTTGGACATGTAATGGGCATCTTGACGTGGCCAAAACAGAACCACTGTCATCCACTCTGGCTCCCACTTATATCCATCAAATCTGGTTGTCTCCAACGCAACCCTTTCTCAGAAAAGGGAAGCACCCTTTATCCAGTGCCTCAAGCCAAAAGTCTAGGTGTAAATCTTGATTCTTCTCTTCCCTCATGTTTCATATCAACTCATCAGTAAGTCCTACTGGCTCATCTCCAGATGTATTCTGAATCTGATTTTGCATTTCCCTATTCTAAACCATCATCACCTCTTCTCATGAACTATTGTGATAAACCCCTATCGGACCTCCCTGCACCTCTGCACACACACAAGGACAATCCGGTAACTCCCACAGGCACTATAATCGCTTGGCTCCCATAGATCACAAATTGTCACACACCTCCCCAGTCTTCGACACACCACAGAGCCCCTGTATCTGATCCGCAGAGCCTTCCAGACTCTGGCTTTTCCGTGAGTGCCACAGACCCCCCCCCACCACTGCCCCACAGATCCCCCAGAACGCCGACGCCCCCCCCCCCCCCCCGCCAGAAGGCCCTCCGGCATCGCCTCCGATTCCCAAATCGCTCGTCTCAGAGACTACGGTCACCCTCCAATCACGGACCCCCAATTAGACCACCTCGGGCCACCACGCCGCCCCGCCCCGCCCCGCCCCGCCCCGCCATCGCGCTCACCGCCGCGCTGCCCCCCGGCTCGGACACAGCCATCTCCGCTGGACGCCCGGCCCCTTCGGCCGTCCGCGCACTCCTCCTCCGGCCCACGCTCTCCCGCTTTGTGAGGATCGGCTCGCAGGCGGAGGCCGACATGGCGGCGGCTCGAAGCGCGGCCTCAGCGAGTCCGGCGGCTGCCATGGCGGCGCCCCTGGGTATCGCGGCCGGGCGCGGCCATCTTGACCGAGGCTCCGCCGTACAGCGGGGCTCCGCGCTCCCGCGCTCCCGCGGGCGCGCAGGCGGGTGGCCGCGGGGCTCCGCGGAGAGAGTCCTGCGAGGGGAGCTGCGAGCCGGCGGAAAGCGTGCTCAGTTCCTCACGGCGCGGTGCCTCGCGGTGTCCGACGCCCAGAGGCTCGGCCACGCGAAGGCAGAATCTGGAGTTGCCTTTCCGAATTGGTCACCGCAGCCTGCTGCCGGGAAACCCGCAAGCATGAAGCCCAGCGAGGACTCCAGACAGCCAGGATAATAAGAGAGATTGAGGGAGGAAAGGGAAAGAGCCCGATCACGCAGACACCACTGTTTTATAGGGAAAGAGCACTGATCGCTCAAATATATGTCTTTACATGTACGGTATAAGAACAATGAGAGGGCGCCTGGGTGGCTCAGTCGTTAAGCGTCTGCCTTCCGCTCAGGTCATGATCCCAGGGTCCTGGGATCGAGTCCCACATCGGGCTTCCCGCTCTGCAGGAAGCCTGCTTCTCCGTCTCCCACTCCCCCTGCTTGTGTTCCCTCTCTCGCTGTGTCTCTCTCTGTCAAATAAATAAATGAAATCTTAAAAAAAAAATTTAAAAATAAAGTCAACTAAGAGGGGCGCCTGGGTTGCTCAGTCGTTAAGCGTCTGCCTTCAGCTCAGGTCATGATCCCAGGGCCCTGGGATCGAGCCCCACATCGGGCTCCCCACTCAGCAGGAAGCCTGCTTCTCCCTCTCCCACTCCCCCTGCTTGTGTTCCTGCTCTCGCTATGTCTCTCTCTGTTAAATAAATAAAATCTTAAAAAAAAAAAAAAAAGAACAATGAGAAAAAAAGGAAGCGGCAGGTTCCATGAACACATCACTCCTCCGTGAAAACCCACGTCTAATGGAGATCAAACGGAACCCAATAATCAAACAATTGGAGCAGAAGTTATTTCTCAATGAGCTGTTCGGTGTATTGACGCCATTCATTTCACAATTATAAGTTGAGCTTTTTAACTGTGTGCAGACTAGGTTGCTGCGCTGTGCTAGATAATGGGGAAAGAGTGGAGACCCACTTAGACACAGCCTGTGTTCGCCCTGCTGGAATTTACAATGGGGCAGTAGGCTTGTGAAGTTATTCTAAATATGCTGTTCCTTTTTCCAGAGTCAAACACACCCTGTTTCGCACCTTCCACTTAGATGAATAAAGGACTAGGTCCCTCAGTCAGCAGCGGCTGCATCTGCGGACTTTGCCCTCTCAGTCTTTAGTCTGAATATAATTCTCAGTGCATCTTCGCTGAGCTCAAGACTCCCTAGACCACCTAATTTCAAGACAGTTTTCTGCCTAGTCTCCCCATCCTATTACTGAAATTTTTTCCTAACAATTATTTTTTGCCGTTGCACAAATCACAGTGGTACGTTTCTCATTTATTCTCAAACTATCCCAACAATGCTTTCCCTAGTCTTGTGGCATCAATTCTAGAGCCTAACAAAGTATGTTGTAAATATTTTGACAAGCAGAATGCTAATATGGCCCCCATTATTTCTGCCCAACCCCCCCACACCCCGTGTTACACCATTATGAGATCCCCTCTCAGGAACCTGTATATCATTCCCATGATAAGATCCCAAATCAGTTGATTTTGAGTTCATAAAAGTGGAGATTATCCTGGGTGGACCTGACCTAATCAGGTGAGCCCTTAGAAGAGACCGGACCTTTCCTGAAGTCAGACATTACAAATATGGGGGTGCCTGGATGGTTCAGTCGGTTAAGCGGCTGCCTTTGGCTCAGGTCATGATCTCAGGGCCCTGGGATTGGCCCTTTTCCTCTACCTCCCACCCCTGCTCATGCTCTCTCTCTCTTTCAAATAAATAAATAATCTTAGAAAAAGAAAGAAAGAGGGGCGCCTGGGTGGCTCAGTTGGTTGGGCGACTGCTTTCAGCTCAGGTCATGATCCTGGAGTCCTGGGATCCAGTCGCGCATCGGGCTCCCTGCTCAGCGGGGAGTCTGCTTCTCCCTCTGACCCTCCTCCCTCTCATGCTCTCTGTCTCTCATTCTCTCTCTCTCAAATAAATAAAATATTTTTAAAAAGAAAGAAGAAAGAAAGAAAGAAAGAAAGAAAGAAAGAAAGAAAGAAAGAAAGAAAGAAAGAAATTACAATATGAACAGACCTGTGGAGGGGCCATGTGGCAAGCACCTGAAATCAGCCTCTGGGAGCTCAGTCCTCAACAGCAAGGAAATGATTTCTGCCAACAATCTGAGGGAGCTTGGAAGCATACCTTTCTCTAGTGGAGCCTCTAGATTAGTACACAACCCAGCCAATACCTTGATTTCAGCTTCGTGTGACCTTGAGCAGGGAATCCAGCCATGCCGGGCAGAATTATGACCTACTGAAATTCTGAGATAATAAATTTGTGTTGTTTTAATCCAGTAAAGTTAGTGATAATTTATTATGCAGCAATAGAAAACTAAGGACTCCATGGAAATTGAAGGCTAATTGCTTGATTGAGATTTCTCTTTGTCTTCTGGGGACACAGCCCTCTTCCCTGTGTTCCAGACTGAGCATTCTTCCATCCTCATCTTCTGGGTGGGAGCAGTTCCTTCCCATGCTCCTCAAGTATAGTCCTGACTTAATTGACCCTGATATTACTGTCCTAAAGGTCCAATATTTACGTGAAAGAAAATAGCTGTCTGCTCTCTATCTGCTGATAGCTAGCTCAGAAAGAAGAGAGGCAGGCCAGTGTCTCCAGGCTTTTCTCTAACATAGTATTCCCTCACAAATGGAAACAAATCCCACCATATCTATAAACAAAAATGCTGTACTAACTGTGACAGTTCTCCAAGACACCTTGATTCTAGTATTGACCAGTCAACCTCAGATACCCTTTGGGAAGCACAGTATTGAGAGAAAGAACTGGATGGAAAAGCATAGGAGAAGTAGGTTGAGGATATTCCTGCACTGAAGAGGGGGCGATGGGAGCAAGGAGGAGAGACCTGCCAAGAGAAAATGAGGGAATAAAGTTGGTAGGTCAGGGGTGCCAGACTGGCTCAGTCTGTAGAGCATGTGGCTCTTGATTCTAGGATTGTGAGTTCAAGCCCCATGTTGTAGAGATTGCTTAAATTAAAAAAAAAAAAAAAAAGTCAGTTGGTGAGAATGGGATGGTTACCAGAAGCTTTTCAACTTACATAGTTCCATCATTTCTGCACATTGCAGTCAGTCAGTTTCCTACTTCAGATTAATTGGAAAAGAGAAAATCTTATACTTGAATTAATTCTGTAAAAACTGTGTGTTGGTAATATATTTACATTTGAATTTTTGTATATGTTAAGACATTCTCAGATGAGTAAAAAACTTGTAATATCAAAGAAATCCCTAGAAAATTGTCTCCTTTGGATCAACTCTATTATTTCCTTTGCTAACAGCTGACCTTACTGAATATACAGTTTTAGGTACCCCAGTTTCTAACTCTGTCTCCTCTATTAGCCTGTATTTTGACTCTTGACTATGTAGAACTTCTTACAACAGTCTCTAGGAAATGTCCTACAAACTCATCTCGTGTAGGGCTGTACCAGGAAAGGAAAGAGAACTGTGTGGTCCTACGTATCAATGCTTTCTCATTCATTCAATACTTCAATACTCAATAAGTACTTACTGCACATCTATTGTATACCAGGAACTATGATAGGCATTGTGGATGCAATGATGAGAAAAAACTTAAACACAGCTCCTACGTTCAGGGAGCTGAGGATCAGGGGAGGAGACCACTATTCTTCCAATAAGCACACAACGAAAATGTAAAATGATAGCTATGAAAAGTGCTTCTAGGAAATACACAGAGTGCCAGGAGAGCTCATAATCTAGTCTCAGCAATTTTGAACCTTTCCGTGATAGCTGAAGATGAGTAAGAGTGGACTCAGACAGCATTTCAGCTCGAAGGAATGGCGTGAGCAAAAGCCAGGGCACCTCCCAGCCCTCACCCTCTCCCAGAAGAACATGGAACCTTCCTGATCTCCTCTGACAGCCCCTCCCCCCTGAGTCTTGATAGATCTCTGCTCCTCCATCCTTTTACTAGGGGCCTCACCCTCTCCTTTCTCTTCAAGGGACAGGGTTCCCTTGCAGGAAATGCCTCCATATTTTCTGTGTCAAGGACCTCAACTCTCAAAGTTCTCATCGCCTGGGCTCTTGCCCTGTAGCCCATCCCACATCACCTATGTACATCACTCTCTTTTACTCAGAGTAAGGGGTGGAGGAAGAGTCAAGGAGTGGTGTGCCACGCAGGTAGGAAACTTTAGGAATATGCAGGTAGATGAAGCATGTGACATGTAGCTATGTCCAAAGCAATTGCTTCAAAGAAGAGTTGATGTTGGGTGGTGTAAGGATTGCAAAGTGGCAAGCTAGAAATATGCTATGTCTTGACTGGGATGCTGGTTGTATGGGTATGTGATACATCTGTGAACGTTTTAGTGATGTGTACGCTTGACGACGCTGGGCATTCTAGGGTTACAAATAAAATCTCTTTCATGTTCGTACAATGAAGCCCTGAAATAGGAAAACCAAAGATGAATGAAAGATTCAAGAGACGAACAGAATACACAATCACAGTAGCAAAGGTCTGAAGTGGTAATAAATTTATTGCAACATATGTAAACATGGTAATCCATAAGGAAGGGAACGCGGGGTGTTCACTTCAGCATCAGCCACCCTGCGAAACCCTCACATCTCCAGTTGCTCATTTGTCCTAATATAAGCCCTGCTAGAGGTCAGCTTCCAAGCGTTCGTCCTGAAGAAACCCAATGTCCAGCAGCGCCCCCCCCCCCCCGGCCCCCGCGCGCAGGACAAGTGTATTTTAGTTTTCAACTAAAACAGGAAAACACATAGGGGCGAGAGGACACAAATCCCTTCACTCCGGCGATCCGAGGCCACCAGAGGCACAGAAGGGTTTTGCTCTGCAGGCTCATCTTCGCGGGCTGTCTTCCGGAAACCGGGCCCGTGTCCCTGAGCTGGGGACCGCGCGGCAGCGGAGCTGTGGTCCGACCGAAAACCGTTTCGCGGCCCGGCGGGTCTGGGCCCGGCTGGGCGGGAGCTGGGCGGGAGCTGGTCGCGGCGGTGCGCACCGTGCGGCCTCGGACGCCGGCCGCGGAGTGGGGCGCGCCGATCGGAGCGGCTCCGGGCAGGGCGGACCGGCGGGGAG